ACACACTCTACATACTAGCCTGGAAACCTTAGGCCTCCACCGCTCAACTTATATACTTCTTCAAAAAGCCGCAATTTTAAATACATGCCGAATTGTAAGAAAATTCCTATCCTTATAGGTGGTAACTTTCTTACAGTTTTGGATTTTTAACAGGATTGTACTCGCAGATTTATTTATTACTATTATTTATTTATAATATTTTATTTATATAACCTTATTTTATTTATATAGTTACATGGCTGATATCTTTCTTAAATCACCGAAACATAAAAAAAAAACCACCCAGTTTTTGCTTGGCTATTTGCCTGCAATAATTGGTTATACCCTAGTCATCTAGGAGAACAAAATTGTAAAAAAATAATAATAATAACTTAATGAAAAAATAATTAAATAACAACTTACTTTTTTTTATTATATATTTTTTACTTTTTAACTGTTTATGATATTCTTTCTGTTATTTGTACGTAGTAAATTCTGATACGACTGAAAGACGTAGTAGTAGTAGAATTCAATGGTTGACCTTTCACCGATGATTTTGCATTGCATTTATGAATAACTAAACAATGTAAGATTAATGCACCTTAAAACTTCACACTCATTAATTATAATACATATATAAAGTACATAAATATGTAAAAAAAAATATTACTGGCCGTTGTATACTTATTCGTTATTTTCATTTGTTGTAGATTACAATTCTTTAACTACTTCCGGGTAAATTTCTAAGAAATGAATTAAAATTCTAAAAATCTATTGTTAACTGACACACCAGCGTGTCCGCGGTCGTGGAGGGATTAATTGATTATTTCAAATACTACCAACCCTTCTAATGGAATCCCCCATCCCGATATAATTCAAATATTCCAACAAAATAAAATATTAAACAACCTGATAAAATTATTTATAAGAGTTTAAGTAGTTTATAATATTTAAAAAATATATATTGATTGAATGATTTACTCTTTATTGTACACCCACAAAGATAACAAAGCGGACAATATTTTAAGATATGAATATCTAATAAGTAAATATGTATTTTACGTATCAAAATATATTAGATTTCCTATGCGTCGGCTGGCACCGACTTCGAAAATATCTGATTAGGTATCTATTCTAAATGAAAGCCCCCGTTTAGTAATTTTTTACATTTTAGTGCCTGGAAGTCGATTTAAAGACGAGAATGGGTGCATCCAAGGAATGAGAATAGCTCCTTGAGGTAAGGAGGAGTACATGGATCAAACAGAATACAGTAAAGAAGATGGAGAATTTCTGCAAAGGCAGATAGGGAGCCACTTGAGATTTTTTCGAAATTCAGAAACATGGTCATATTTACGCAAACTAAATATGAACCAAATACAAAGATTTTGGAGCCGCTCAAGTTTATTTAATTGCCCCTGAGTAATGTCGAGGTAACAAATATCAGCATAATCAAGAATTGGTAAAAGGAGAGATTGTGCTAACTAAATTTTGGCGGAAATAGGGAGAAAGTTACGCAAACGCTTAAGTGATGCAAACATCTTCCTACTCACTTCACTTACCCGTGAAACCCACGACATATTTTGGTTCATGATAATGCCAAGATTTTTAACTGACTTTCTGAAAGGTATGCTTTCACCGTTTAAAACTACATTAGGCAGAGAGTTGAAGTCAATTTTGGATATAAGTTTAGGACTGCCAAGAATTATGTATTACTTGGGGTTTTTGCAGAATTTAACTGCAGCCCAAACGACTCACTCCAAGTGGTTATATTAAATAGGTTGGTATTAATAACGCCAATAGCTGTAGGTAGATCGGCAATATTTGCTTGGCTTTAAATTTGTAAATCATCTGCATAGAGGTGGTAGAGAGAGGAGATATGTTGACAAATATTACTAATGAAAATTGAAAATAAGAGAGGAGACAACACGCCACCCTGAGGAACGCCAGCCTTGACTGGGAGCCAGTCCGAGTACGTATCTTGGACACGTATACGCTGACGACGTTCACAGAGGTAATCACGAAACCAGTCAATTACATTAGGAGATATGTTAAAAGAACCTAAAGACGCAAGCAAAATATCAAAATCTACAGTACCAAACGCATTGCTAAAGTCTAACAATGCTAATACGGTGACTTGCTGCGTATCCATGCCCATGCGAATATCGTCAGTAATCTTAGCTAATGCAGTAGTCGTACTATGACCTGGACGGAAGCCGGATTGTAAAGGATTATGAAGGTTATGTTTACAAAGGAATTGAGTAAATTGATGTTGAACAAGACATTCAAGGACTTTGGATAGTAATGGAAGGATTGAGATGGGATGATAGTCATTATGATTAGAAGTATTGTTTTTTTTGGCAGTGGTATGATATGAGCGTCTTTCCAGGACGCATGAAAAACACCGTTATCAATAGAGCAATTAAAGATGTATGTTAAAACAAGAGATATAATGTCAAGGATGGGAATGATCATTTTACGACTAATACAATCAGCACCGACCGCATCAGAGTTGATGGCAAGAATATTCTTTTTAACATCACTATCTGTAAATTATAAGAGGATGAAGCTGAGATTTGATTAATTATAATATATATTTATAATTATAGTTAACATAACTTGCAGTTTTATTAAAAATTGTTTTTTCTGATCTTTTATTATACGACTTATAAAATTTATGCCACCTTCACCACCTCTGAATATTGCAAGCAAAAAAAAAACATAAAAATAAAAAAGCTCACCAAAAATATGAAAACAAGTTCACGAAGGAATACAGTATTTATGCAGTCGGAGACATACACGACTACATAGTAGATACTATATTCCTTTGTCAATTTGTTTTCATATTTTTATTTAGCTTTTATGCAGGGTTTATTCGGTTTTTTCTTTTTATATTTTTTTTATTTACAGCTTTTTAGTTTTTGGCATTAAGACATTTAAAGTTATATTTAGAAATTTTTATACTAAATTACTTTTAAACATGTAAGTTGTATATATTTTTGTAAACATCTCTTAAACACCTTTATTTTTATACCTTACTCGTTTAGTTTGGAAGATTTTTTTTTAAAGACACAAATTGTGAAATCCGCCATTTTAATTTTTAACAGTTTTTATTGCTCGCTCGGGTTCGTACTGTAAGTACGTTGATTCCCCATACAAACTATCATCCTCATTTTCACCCCCTTAAGGACGATTTTCGGGATAAACATCCTTCCCAGGATGTCAAACTATCTTCTTACCAAATTTCATCTAAATCGATTCAGTAGATCCAGAGATTACTCCCTACAACCTCACAAACTCACAAAATTTACCTCTTTATAATATTAGTATAGATTACACTTGCGTTATCAAGATATTCATCTATATAATATAAGATATATCGACGTATGAATCACTAAAATCGGCCTAGGCTCTCTAGTCTCTTGAGTGTCACAAAAAAACAAACATACATACATACATACTCATAGGCTGATAAAGACATTACCATCCTTTGAGTCGCGAGTAAAAATAAGTAGGTATCCGCGGTAATATATTTTTGCACAAGCGCGGATCTAGAGTAAAATTGGAAAGGGGGGTGGGGTGGGGGGGGGCTTGTTCATCGTAGGAAAATCTTCATTCCCACGGGAAAACATTACGGGTTCTATTGAGTCGTCCTTAGAAATTTACATGGCTAACGCTGGCTAAACCTTTAGAGATACGTTAAAAGAATGTACTAGAAAATTGTAGGTCTTAAAAAGGCCTAAAGAAAAATCTGCAATAGCATAAGTTTTTCTTCTGATGTACACTCGCAGCTATTTATATCTATTTGAAAAGTACCTACTACCTAGAGGGAAGCACTCGAGCGAAGTGAGGGTAAGCCGCTAGTTATAAAAGATAGAAAGAAAAATAGTTTTATGCATTTAGACCAATCTGAATCCGTTTATTTTTAAGAGAAAAAAATTAATTAAAAGCTGTAGTTTTATTGATTAAAACGTTAGGAGGTGTATAAAGAACAAAAATCCCTAAAATTTTCTCGCTGTCCAGCTACCCCCTAGAAATGGAGGGATAAAAAGATTTTTTTAAATATCCAGCTTACTGTGACATCCTATCGAAAATATTTTATGGTCTCGGGAGGTTGAAAATCACCCCCAACTTCAAGTGGATGTTTACATACATAAAAAGTATTTCGTTCAATTTTCAGATAGGGCTCATTTTTTTCGTCCTGCACTCGTCTACTTGAAGTTGGTTGTGATTGTAAGCCTCCCGAGACCATAAAATATAAATTTCTCGAAAACGACTAAACATTTCAATTTCAAAAATCAGAAAATCAAAAAATTATTGCAGAAATTAAAAATTAAAAATCGAGAAAAAATTAAAAATAGTTTTTTTTGCAAATATATCGAAACCTTTGAGGTTATTGTAAAAAGTGTCATTTATAAAATTCATAGATTTTTACTAGATCTACAACTTTTGTCAAGAACATTTTTCGATAGGATGTCACAGCAAGCCAGAAATTGAAAAAAAAAACTAATTTTCAAAGTTTTGCATTCCCCGTTTTTCGGGGTTTTTCGTATAGCGCATCGCGATCGGACTATTTCGAAATTTTATAGCGAATATTTAAATTAAAGAAAAACTGAATAATTAATAAAAACTGAATTTGTTTCGAATTAGGTACTTACAAAAATAATTTTGTATTAATCCTTCTTTTCTCAAACTTCAAACTTTTCAAAAAGTAGGTATATTTGGCTTTGGGGGGGTCATGTCCCCAATGACCCCCCCTCCCCCCTCCCGTCCCTGGATCCACACTTGTTTTTGCATTATGCTTATAAATTAAAAAAAGTAGATCATCAATAATTACATATTAATATGGAATGACGTAGGTACTGTTTAATTTTAAAGACCTTTTGAATTTCGATAAAGATTTTCAGTTTGTTTTAACTTTACATAAAAGCAAGTCGTGTCATGATTAATGAGTGACTATTTATAATTATCGGTATTTTTATTTAATAAAAAATTTCATCAATAATAATAGAACTGCTTAAACTATGGCGGTTATATTTAATGGAGCAGTGAAACTTTATTATTATCTCAACGAAGAAATTGCTGGTATAATATACTTTCTAACTAAAATAATATAAAAGAAAATTTTAGTAAATAAATTCTTTGTTTTTAATATATTTATAGGGTAATAATGTGTGTGTGTAAAAAAATGTAATCTTATTGTCTCAGATCATAGAACAGAAAACTGGCCTTTGATGCGCACCCCATGGCCCGGTCTGGTCATTATTTCACTTTATCTTATGACCGTTTTAAAGTGGCTTCCAAAATATATGGAAAATAGATCACCTTTCGACCTTCGCAAGTACATCGCCTTATATAACGCTATCCAGATTGTATGCTGTGCTTACGTTGTTTACCAGGTGAGAAAGTCATTATTTATAATTGTCTACAAACTTATGGCTATCTAGCCACTTGCATTAGTAAGCTCTTACGTGTTTGCTCTATGTGTTTTAAGTATAGTCACTTACTTGATTTTTACCCGACTGCGGCGAAGCCCAAAAGAGGGTTATGTCTGACCTGCATGTACTAGTCCGTCCGATCGTGTAATCCTATGTTGTCTCGTAATTACTAAACTACTAACTGATTCGTTTTGATAACGCGAGTGTGATGTGATATGTATAATATTATTAAAAATAAATATGACAAAGTTCAAAAATTTTCTTCTACCAATCCAATTGAGTGAAAAAACTGTTAAGAAAAAAAATGAAAAGTTTTAAGTGATCACCAAATATATAATTTATGAAAACTAATTGTTAATTGTTAAATAAAACTCCAAATATATAACTAGCCAAAACTAAAGAGCTTATTTACAGAATTCTCTAATTTAGCCTTTTCTAATATAGGTACCTACCTCCTCATTTTTCAAAATCTGTAATTTGCATAACAATTTTAACATTCCAGAGTATGGTATTGGGTTGGCTAAATCATTATAAATTAATATGTCAGCCACTGGATGATGGACCGTTGGATACAGAATACGCATGGAAAGTGTGCTATGCCTACTTTACTATCAAACTTATGGATCTCCTGGACACGGTACATACTTACTGATTACATAATACATATACATAAATTATAATAAATTAATTTTATTTATTATCTATTATAAAAACATTTCAGGTATTCTTTGTGTTAAGAAAGAAACAAAATCAAGTATCGTTTCTCCACGTGTACCACCATTTTGGAATGGTAGCAGTATCTTGGTCCATGGTAAAATGGGTCCCAGGTTTGTACTTCAAAGCTATTGCGGTCGTTTATAACCCTTACTATCTACCCACACACAGGTCATAGTCTTTAGCCCGTATAGTATTATAGGGAAAACATCAATGCTTCTGAAATTCCAAAGCATAAATACTTCGCCTCGTTCTGATTAAAATAAGATGCACAAAATAAAATACAATTAATTTGACATTATACGTGAGTAATAGTTTACAAATCTATTTAACTAAATAAAAATTCATGTTCATATGTTTGTCTTTTATACGTTTCTAAAACATTCAAGCTTAGGGATGCACCCGCTAGTAAATCTATACATATAATAAATTTCTAACTGAGTCGAATCTGTACATTAAATATTTTTTAGAAAATCTTATCGAAATAGTTATTATTATAGATACAAAGACCGAAACTATAGTTTTTAGAATTTGTATGTGGGAACGCATCACGAGAAAGCCACTGGATAGATTTTGATGTTTGATAAGATGATAGCTGGTTATCCGAGTCAACATAAAGGATGCCTTTTACTGCAGAAAATATCTCATTTCTGAGAAATTTACACTAAGCGTTAAAAAGCGTTTACCTACTGCTTACAAAATATTTACCATTTTAATTAAATGCGTAAAAACAATAACACACACAAATTAGGTAGGTAATTAATTTTGTCAGCTTCTATTTCTTTCGCAGGTGGTCACACCAGCATGTTGGTGCCAATAAATTCATTCGTACATATAATTATGTACTCATACTACCTTCTGACGACGTGGGATGACAGCTACAAGAAATCTTTGTGGTGGAAGAAACATGTTACTCAAGTTCAAATTGTTAGTAACTATGTAAATTCATCATATTTTACTTATGAGAACGGTGTATAATTTGCACAACCTCAAGATAAAATTAATTATTATTAAGTATAAGTAGGTACATACTGTATCGTTACATATTGTATCGTTAAATTATGCTAAAACAACGGGTGAGATCACGCTTTCGAACAGGACATGGATGATTTTATCCTTACCATTGAAAGAGTTATATTTAAAAATAAAAGAATGTTTCCTTTAAAAGAATAGATATAATAATCTTATATCTTCATAGGTACTTTTCTTCCAAACGAACGAGTCGTTTGTTCTATCCTGTATAATAAAATCTCATATTTGAAAAATTGAAACTAAGTTATGACAACTCTTGGTTGTAGAGGAAGAACATTGTTAAATATCATGGATATACAGGTTCTCGCTATTTATTTAAATCACTAATTTGATCTACCCACTTGTTAAAACACATCGAATGTCGAGTTGCGAAAAATACCCACTATAATTTTTCACTTACGATAATTTCAAACCTGACTAGATGAAAGTCGAGGCTAGTCTTCTATATTTTTGTTTGTTGAATAATATCACAGATCACATAATACACACATAATACTAGTACAGATGCCTCATCCCATACAAAGAAATTGGACAGCGCTAATTTGTTCTATTCTGCGGGCTATTTTTATTTGCTTGAATAGATAATAGATGTCGCTGATTCGCAAATAGTTAAAATGTTTTATTTTACAAATATGTGCAAACTATTATGGTAAATATAATAAGTATAATGGTAAATAGATAAAAATTCAATCTGCATTCGAATAAAAAACAAACAGTGATTTTAACCATTTTTAACAGTGACAAACTATTCGTAAAATGTAAAAGCGCCATCTGTGAATATTTACTACATACCAATCATATGATTGCTGATATTTCAATAATCAGTAGAATTACGCAAATTTGATTTACGGGCACATTATTTCTTGTTCCTTTACTTAGAATATTTTTTGAAACAATTATAATATGCCTTTTTGGGATCTACTTCTTATCTTTTGTTATTTTAACACAATATCACAACACAACTTTAATAACAAATCAATACATGTAACGGTATTTATTGACAATTTTTTGAACTAATTTTTCTTTGTTCGTGATGAGATAATATTTAGGCATATTAGAGATACTGATCATATTTTAAGCTTTTTAATAAAACTAATGATAAATTATTTTTTAATTCCAGATTCAATTTGCACTTCTGCTGTTACACTTCTTATTATTGATGTTGGTCCCAGAGTGTGCATTCCCACGCCAGCCCGCCTACATACTCATCCCACAAAATCTATTCATGTTAATCTTATTCAGTGACTTCTATTACAATACATACATTAAGACCAGTGCAAATAAAAATAAATAAAATTTTATTTGAACTACATATATTATGTTGATGAATGTTTTCTAACCCCATATATGTATATAATCTATATCTATATTAATATTATAAAGAGGTAAAGTTTGTGACTTTGTAGGGGGTAATCTCTGGATCTACTGAACCGATTTAAATAAAATTTGGTAAGAAGATAGTTTGACACCCTGGGAAGGACATAGGATACTTTTTATCCCGGAAATCATCCCTTAAGGGAGTAAAAATGGGGATGAAAGTGTGTACTGGGAAGCAAGCTAGGGATGAACCCTAGCGAAGCGAGGGTGAGTCGCTAGTACATCTAGGTACATAATTTGTTAAATAATTTGCTGTGTGATCTATTCTAATATTATAAAGAGGAAAAATTTGTTTTTTTTTTGTTTGTTGTTTGTACCGAATACGCTGCGAAACTACTGAACCGATTTAGATGAAATTTGGTAAGAAGATGTTTGAGACCCTGGGAAGGACATGGGATAATTTTTATCCCGGAAATCATCCCTTAAGGGGGTGAAGGTTTGTATGGGGAAGCAAACTAGGGATGAACCCAAGCAAAGCGAGGGTGAGCCGCTAGTATTTTTTTTTATAAATAGATAGGTACTTCATTTATATTGTTCAATGTCCATTATTAAATAAAACTATCTTTTCGGATTATTTCGCGGATTTATTTTGATTTTTGGTTCCCGACGTTTCGAATGCTTTACAGCATCCATGGTCACGGGAGAGACTGAGGTGTTACATGTCTTAAAGATATAGTTGTTACAGACAGCCTACCCACAATTAACAAAATGAAAATTGCACCAATTACATTACAATATTTTTAACTTTAAAGATTTTTTATAATTTTAATTATAATTGAATATGGAAAATTATTTATTTAATTTTTGCTATTATTTTTATAATTATTACAATTTTAAAAATATTAATTAGTAATCTATATTTAGTGTTGCCATTATTATATTTATAGCCATAAATAAAAATATAAAAATATAGTATTAATTATTAAAGCCATATAATTGTTCTATGTGTAATTTAAAAAGTTAAAATTAATTACGGATAATCATTTTAATTTAGTTTGCTATTATTTAAAAACAACTTACTAAGCAACACTATTAAAATATACTTTTACAAATGAAAAATATTAATCTGATAAGCTGTCATTTTGATCTACACAGTATGAACTTACTACATCTGCCTGTCTGTTATGTTTATATTTATTATTTGATTTTATTATATTAATAACAGGATCCCATGACGATGGTAGTACCCAGCCATCTTCCCTATTGAAATTTGGATGTTTTTTAATTTCTATGGCTTCTCGAATCATTCTAGGGCGATATCGGTTTTCTTTCGCCAGGATTTGAGGTCTATCGAAACGAATATAATGGCTTGGGCGGTCCTGGCTATGTTTGCAGACAGCAGATGTTGTATTGCGACGGTGCTTCACATCAGCTATGTGTTCTTTGACCCGGGTTCTAATGGATCGCTTTGTTTGTCCAATGTAAGAGAGCCCACAATCACAATCAAGCTTGTAGACTCCTGCATCTTGTAGAGGGATGTGGCACTTGACAGATGGTAAGAACTGACTAATTTTCTTTGGCGGCTTGAAGTAAGTTTTAATTGAAGCTCGCTTTAGAATGTAGCCAATCTTGTCAGTGACTCCTTTCATGTATGGCAAGACTGCAGGGACGCGCTCGACTGTGGCTGGTTTCACTCGGTCACTGTGACGCAGGCGCGGCACTTGCAGCTTGTTGTCACGCAGAACTTGCTTGACATGTTGCAGTTCTCCGGCCAGGTGTTGCTCGTCACAGATCCCGCGCGCTCTCTGAAACAGAGATTTTCCACGGTAGCTAACTGTGAAGGATGGTGGTGAGATTCACCGTTCAGGTACCTATCAGTATGGGTCTTCTTTCTATACACAGTATGACTCAAGGTGTTGTCTGGGTTACGTTTAACTAATACATCTACAACACCTGGCCGGAGAACTGCAACATGTCAAGCAAGTTCTGCGTGACAACAAGCTGCAAGTGCCGCGCCTGCGTCACAGTGACCGAGTGAAACCAGCCACAGTCGAGCGCGTCCCTGCAGTCTTGCCATACATGAAAGGAGTCACTGACAAGATTGGCTACATTCTAAAGCGAGCTTCAATTAAAACTTACTTCAAGCCGCCAAAGAAAATTAGTCAGTTCTTACCATCTGTCAAGTGCCACATCCCTCTACAAGATGCAGGAGTCTACAAGCTTGATTGTGATTGTGGGCTCTCTTACATTGGACAAACAAAGCGATCCATTAGAACCCGGGTCAAAGAACACATAGCTGATGTGAAGCACCGTCGCAATACAACATCTGCTGTCTGCAAACATAGCCAGGACCGCCCAAGCCATTATATTCGTTTCGATAGACCTCAAATCCTGGCGAAAGAAAACCGATATCGCCCTAGAATGATTCGAGAAGCCATAGAAATTAAAAAACATCCAAATTTCAATAGGGAAGATGGCTGGGTACTACCATCGTCATGGGATCCTGTTATTAATATAATAAAATCAAATAATAAATATAAACATAACAGACAGGCAGATGTAGTAAGTTCATACTGTGTAGATCAAAATGACAGCTTATCAGATTAATATTTTTCATTTGTAAAAGTATATTTTAATAGTGTTGCTTAGTAAGTTGTTTTTAAATAATAGCAAACTAAATTAAAATGATTATCCGTAATTAATTTTAACTTTTTAAATTACACATAGAACAATTATATGGCTTTAATAATTAATACTATATTTTTATATTTTTATTTATGGTTATAAATATAATAATGGCAACACTAAATATAGATTACTAATTAATATTTTTAAAATTGTAATAATTATAAAAATAATAGCAAAAATTAAATAAATAATTTTCCATATTCAATTATAATTAAAATTATAAAAAATCTTTAAAGTTAAAAATATTGTAATGTAATTGGTGCAATTTTCATTTTGTTAATTGTGGGTAGGCTGTCTGTAACAACTATATCTTTAAGACATGTAACACCTCAGTCTCTCCCGTGACCATGGATGCTGTAAAGCATTCGAAACGTCGGGAACCAAAAATCAAAATAAATCCGCGAAATAATCCGAAAAGATAGTTTTATTTAATAATGTCAAACATTCGCGTAAATCTAAGAAAGTATTATGTTCAATGTCCATGTAATTATAATCATTGACCCTCCCTCATAGGTGACGAGTTCAAGATATTTTTTAAAGTAAAATAAAATAACTTTCTATATGTTCCATAAATAAGTATATTTATGATAATTCAAATCGTAGTATTTTGACAGACATTAAAATTATAGTTTTTTACATATTATTACACTTTGTAAATAATCATCGAAAATATGAAACTATATACATACGTTTATGCATTTTGAGACAGCAGTGATTAAGGCACAATATATTAATAGAATTATATATGCAAATAAAATATTTTTATTTTATTTATGTACTATATTTACATAGTACTTAATAAAACTAAAGCAAAGTGTGATGTTTTCATCATGTCTCTTCTCGTCTTCTCTTTATCTTTGACAATAATTTAAACAACCTTAATAACCGAAACGGCAAAAATTACAATGCCAAATAAATAAAAATATTAAAAATTAAAAGTAAGTACTAATTACCTTATTAACACTGGCAATAATTTAGTTTCTTCACTTTCTAAATTTAAACTAAGCTAAAAAAATTAACAATTGAGAACCAGATCACAAAAAACATCTAATTAAGATATAAAGGAAAACTTCTTCTCTTACACATTTAGAAAAAAAATACTTTCTTTGCTTTACAAAATAAGGTACTAATTCTCATTCCTCAAAGAAATGATCTATCATATGCATTTTTTTTTTTTATAAATTTACAATATTATCCAATGTTCCCAACAAGGGACCTTTATATCCTAGGGGCCCTGGGTTGTAGCCCAAAAAACCTATAGGTCCTCCGCTATAGGAGATCCGATCCTGCATATCAAAATATGTACTAATTCGGACCTAACGATGAAACCGACAGTAAAATAATTGAAATATAAATAATAACCCCCATTTTAACTAAGTTTAGCAACCAGATTATGTTTGACTAAATCAATCACATTACCCTGGCTGAAAGCGTCAATTAGGGCCTTGGTCAAATATAGACCGCTTGTACCGCCGTCTACTTCATCTTCATCATGTGATGCATTACTAGCAAACTCCTTTAAATTTCCTTTTATTATGTCTATAAGATCGCTGTTACTTATATTAGGAACTATTTCGAATTTATTAGCATCCAGTAGGGGTTTAATGTCGACTTCCTCAGTATCTAGTTCTTCAGTATTATCCTCTCTTGTTCTTTGTCGTTTCATTCGTCGCGTCTTTCGTTTCTTATCTAAGTATATTTTTAATACTGTGTCTAATTGTAGGAACAGCACTGCCAGTGGTGTGTCCGATATATCGTCCTGAAAGTAATTATAATTTCAATGTTAGAATAATAATTATATTTGAACTAGTGACTTATCCTCGCTTCCCTCGGATGTGTCTCTAGGTACGTTTTAATTTTACGTTTTAGTTTTTGGCACCGACTTCGAAAATGTCTGATTAGGTATCTATCTATTCTAAATGAAAACCCCCGTATTCTTTACATTTTAGTTCCTGGAAGTAGAAGTGTTATTTTTTTAAGTTTTTATTTCTATCACTGTTTTATCAAATTTAATTTAAACTAGTTTGTTAATGTATTTTTATCTAATCATACAGTCTAGCAGTCATTTGCCTAAAAGCGAACTAGCAGTTCCAACAATCTCAAAAATGTGTCACACTAATCACTCTTCACCATCAATCTATTACATTTTAATTGAGCTATAAGAAACTTTAATACAATCCATCGATTATTTAAGCATCTATTAATACCAGTGAAAAACTAAGAATTGCCAACTATCATTATGATAGCAATGCCACCAGATTAGTCATTATATAGTGTGTCACATGGTCATAATATTTGTACACTAGCAGAACCCGCGGCTTCGTCCGCGCTAAAAGTACAAATTGATGATACTATATATATATGATGATGATACAATGATCCCCCAGGTGGTGATGTGGGGCTCACCGGCTAGAAGAGCCGGTACTACCCACTAAAACCCGACATCCCTTCCCCCCGCCTTAGTGGGACGCCGCAGGATCGCTTGCGCATAACTACTACGGCGCCCCGGCGGCAGGTCTGCCTAAATACTAGGCAGACCACCAAACCAATGGGGCTGCTCCACAGTCAACTCTGCTACGTCAGAGAGGTACCCGGAGCAACCCCATAAAACCAAAACACCGTAACTGTTCTAACCTAACCTAACCAAGATATGACGAATAATAAATAAATAATCTTAACTGTTCTAACCTAACCTAACCAAGATATGACGAACTAAAACACGCATTGAGTACAGAGTACAGATTCACAAATTATGAAACTTCGCGGTATTTTAAGAACACCCGCCAATAATACTGAAAAATATTCACAGATAAAAAAATGATTTTTTTTTTTACTAAATGTACAATTTTAAAACAATATATTTTACATAAATCAGATAAAAAGTCATAAATGTATTTATGAAGTGAAAATAATATTTTTCTTTTTATTTATTTATTAATATTACCAACAGAAAAAGCAAAAATAATCAAATATAATCTGTTGTCATTTAAGCGGTAATATAAAACAAAGTGACAGTTTTGCTTTTGTCAAAATGTAAGATCATTTTGTTTGTGTTGTGAAATATTAAAATATTAAATACAATAAAGCATTAATTGTTGTGAAAATATGTATTGTACATAAAAAAGGATGCGTACTATTCGTTAAAGGTATGTTTATCTGTTGTAATCACTTATTTAGGTAAAGAAATGTATGGAAATGTGTTAGATATGTTATAACTTTAAGTCTCAATAACTTTTTACTCGTACGTTTCCTCTAAATATTTTCAATATATTTTGACTCTCTGTCACCTCCCCTATTTAAAAATACCACCCACTCCGAATGGTGGCAAAGAAATATATGAAAATGTATGGAAATGTTGTAACTTTAAGTCTCAATAACTTTTTACCCGTACGTTTCCGTAAATTTTTTTATTTAACATTTCGACTCCCTATCACGTCCCCTATCCAGAAATACCACCCACTCCACCAGGGGCAATGTCCCATATTCTAAACTTGTGCTAGGAACGTTTAGGGGCAATACACTATGACACAAGAGTTACAACACAAACACATAAAGCCCACGTACAATATCTCGCGAAAAAGATTCACTTCTATATAACAAGTATATCGCATCAAAGGCAAAGGTATTGACTGGTGGTAAGTAAAAAGTTATTAGTGGTCGGTAGATGTAAAATAAATTCCGATCTACTATATACTACCGGTTTCGCGCGGCTATGTTTGTCGAATTAATATAATATGTGAATAATTAATAATGAATAAATATAAATAATTATATAAACGTGTTGTATGTGTGTATGTAGGTGAGTAGATAATACAAATACGTAAATTAAATATTTAATAAAATATAAATATTATGAAATGTGAAGTTTAATATATAAATATGATAAATTAAGTATATTATGTTATAAGTCACCTACATCACTCCCCTCCAGAGGCCGTGTCTACGGACGATAAAAATCAGGGAAGTGTACCCTGCGTCCCGAACGTGTTGTTTTTACGGGACATTCCTTAACAGGAGGAATATTGTCCTGTCGGGATGAGGATGTATCAGAGGACAGTATATAGGCCGGTTTCAGGCGGTCAATGGACACTGTCACTTCATTGTTTTTAACGAGTATTTTAAATATCTTGTCCCCTCGAGAGATAACTTTATATGGCCCAGAATAAGCAGGCTGGAGAGCACCTCGCGATGCGTCTTCACGAAGGAAAACATGATCGCAAGTTTCTAGCTCTTTATACACAAACACTTTGGGCTTGCAGTGGCGGGAAGCTGGTACCGGCCGCAATTTATCGGCGAAGTTTCTGAGCCTTGCAGTAAATTCAGCTGTGTCTACAGTACCGTTGATAGTAGGCTCAAAGAATTCTCCGGGTAACCTTAGCGGCTCCCCATACAGCAGTTCCACGGAAGAGGCTTGGAGGTCTTCCTTAAAGGCAGATCTTACGCCTAATAAGACCCATGGCAAAGATTCCGTCCACCTATCGTTTGCATGGCAGACGATCGCCGCCTTCAGCTGACGGTGGAATCGTTCAACCAAGCCATTGCATGCTGGATGGTAGACTGTCGTCCGCTTATGTTCGAATCCGGCTATCTTCGACAGACATTGGAATAAGGCCGATTCGAACTGGCGGCCACGGTCGGTTACAATGTCTGTCGGGCAACCGAACCGAGATATCCAAATGGACAGCAAAGCCTTGGCAACCGTTTCCGCTGTAATGTCTTGTATCGGTACTGCCTCTGGCCACCGTGTAAATCTATCCACGGCCGTTAAGCAGTACCGATAACCTTGGGAAAGTGGAAGTGGGCCCACCAGGTCAATATGGATCTGCTTGAACCGGGCGCGCGGTAAGTTATAAGTGCCGAGAGGAGAAGTCACGTGACGGTTGACTTTAGTCCTTTGGCACGGTATACAAGCACGCGCCCAGTCCCTACAGTCTTTTCTCACGCCCGGCCATACAAACCGCTCGGCTATCAGCTTGGCCGACGCATTTGCACCGGGGTGGCTTAAAGAATGCAAGCTATTAAAGATTTGCTTGCGAAGTGGTTCAGGTACGTATGGCCTGGAAACTGAAGTACTGACGTCGCAGTACAGGGGAATTTGGCTTCCAGGGACATTACATTTTTTGAGCTGCAGAGAAGAACCTTTGCTCAAAAGCTTACAGAGTTCTGAGTTAGAAGCCTGGGCTTGAGCTAGTTTCTCGAGGTCTACTGGGTCTGCTAGCTCTTCAATTCGCGACAAGGTATCTGCAACCACATTATCCTTACCAGAAATGTGGCGGATATCTGTCGTGAATTGAGAAATGAAATCTAGGTGCCTAAACTGCCTAGGCGAACAGTTTTTCCTTTCGTTAAAGGCAAAACTAATAGGCTTATGGTCAGTGTAGACTATAAAATGGCGAGCTTCTAGCATGTGCCTAAAATATTTAATGGCCTCATAAATTGCTAGAAGCTCCCTATCATATGGTGAGTATTTCTCCTGTGAAGGGCTCAATTTCCTTGAGAAAAAAGCTAAGGGCTGCCACGCATCGTCTTTAAATTGCTGCAGTACCGCTCCGATAGCTTTATCGGAGGCGTCTGTTACAACTGCAAGTTTAGCGGTGCAGTCCGGATGAGCTAGTAGAGCAGCGTTGGCCAAGCTTTCTTTGCAAGCCTCGAAAGCAGCCAGTGTGTCGCCAGTTAAGGTAATTGGGTTCGAACCTTTGACGGAGCCTGTCAGTAAGGCGTGAAGTGGAGCTTGGATTTCGGCTGCGTGAGGGAGGAATCTCCTATAAAAATTAACCATGCCTAGGAAACCTCTTAGCTGGCGAACATTGCTTGGAGGGGGAAACTCCTTGACCGCCTGTACTTTGGCATCAAGTGGTTTAGAACCGTTCTCGGTAATCCGGTAGCCTAGAAACGTTACCTCCTCCATACCAAAAACGCATTTCGCAGTGTTCACCAACATGCCGTATTCCTTCAGCCTTTCGAAGACCCGACGTAGGTGATCCTCGTGCTCCTCAGGATTTCTAGAAAACACGAGAAAATTGTCTAGGTAACAATATACGAAGTCTAGTCCTCTCGTCATTTCGACCACAAACCGCTGAAAAGTTTGGCCCGCGTTCCTAAGACCGAATGTCATGAATGGAAATTCAAATAATCCAAATGGTGTTGTGATTACGGTCTTAGGAATGTCCTCCGCGCTGACAGGTATCTGATTATATGCTCTCTCTAAGTCGAGCGTGCTGAAGACTTTACATCCAGCTATACTATGGGTTAAGTCGTGGATATGCCTAATCGGCCTGTCAGGCACGGTACGGGAATTCAACTTACGGTAATCGCCGCAAGGACGCCAGTCGTTGTTTTTCTTCGGCGCCAGGTGTAAAGGAGATGCCTATGGGCTCTCAGAAGGTCTAGCTAAACCTAGGGCCAGCATAGACTGGAACTCTTTTTGGGCAATCTTGAGCTTGTCCGGTGCTAAACGACGAGGTGGAGAGCAAACTGGAGGGCCTGGTGTCGTGCGTATGTGGTGTACTGTTTTGTGTGGTGTTAAGTGTGGCTTACCAGCCGGTCGAGTAATTTCCGGAAACTCGCTGAGGATTTTATGATACCGAGTCTCACCAGTCACAACCTTAACAGAAGAAATATTATTACAATAAACTACAGCAGTAATAGTAGAAATTGAAGTTAAATTATCAAGTAGGTGTTTGTTACGACAATCAACTATAAGGTTATAAAAATTTTAAAAATCTACGCCTATTATAGGCTTCGTAACATCGGCTACAATGAAACGCCATTGAAAAGTTCTGCGTAAACCAAAATCTAAATCTAAATTTATACAACCATATGTAGCTATACTAGAACCATTGGCAGCACACAAACTATAGTCCATACGAGCACGACGATCATGAAGCGCTGACCGTGGGAACACGCAGAGGTCGCTCCCTGTGTCGACCAGGAACTGCGTCTTCGAAGATCGGTCAGTAACAAACAGGCGACCAGAAGCAGGCAAAGGGCAATCGTTAGTCGCAATTACCGACCGCCCTTGGAGTTTTCCGACTTGTAATCGCACGGCCGGATACACTTGTTGGCTCTTTCTCCGAACTTGTTGTGGTACCAACAATTGGGAAACTTTCTGTAGTTCGATTGAGAGCGCTGCCTCGAACTGCTGCGAGTGTTTCTGGTGGAACGGGAGCGTGAACGGCTGTTCCGAGTTGACATCTGCTGGAACTGTCGACGAAGCTCAGCTATCTCCCTAGTTAGTTCATTCAGAACCGAGCTAGGGACGGCGTCGCTCACAGCGGCGACCTTCGGAGTTGAAGCTGCCAGGTCATTCACTCTATCGGCTAAGTCAGCTAGATCCTCCAGAGAAGTTGTACCTGCTTGTCCTGCTAGCACCGTCTGGATGCTATGCGGCAGGCGACTAACCCATATCGTCCTCAGGAAGTCATCAGGAACGTTTGAGCCTGCCAGGCTTTTCAGGTGTCGAAGAAACTGGGATGGCTTGCGGTCGCCAAGCTCCTCATGCATCAATAACTGTTTAATTTTCTTTTCTTTGGACGCGGTGAGTCGCTTGATTAGCTCGGTCTTCAATTTTTCATACTTGTTAGTGGCGGGTGGGTTAATAATTATATCCTTTATCTCTCTAGAGTATTGATTGTCCAGATGTCCGATAACATAATTAAATTTTGTCACATCACTATTTATTCCAGCTATACTAAATTGCCCTTCGACCTGGACAAACCAAATCTCCGGCTCTTCAGCCCAAAACGGGGGCACTCGTACGCCGACTTTAAAAACGTTGCTGGGGTCTATCGACATCCCCCCATCACTAGTGCCAGGTGGCGATGACATTGTCGCGCCTCGTGCGTCTTTGAACTTATCCCCTTCCATTGTTCTTCTCGGAGTCACCAGTTTGGTGGTTGTGCGTGACGATAAGTCTCAAATAAAAGAATATGTTACGTCACTGATGAAATAGTAATAAAAAAGTCAACTCACACGTAAAAACAGTACAGAAGGAACGTTTAGGGGAAATACACTATGACACAAGAGTTACAACACAAACACATAAAGTCCACGTACAATATCTCGCGAAAAAGATTCAGTTTTATATAACAAGTATATCGCATCAAAAGCAAAGGTATTGACTGGTGGTAAGTAAAAAGTTATTAGTGGTCGGTAGATGTAAAATAAATTCCGATCCACTATATACTATTGGAATATTAATAATATATATTTTGGAATCCTTGGGTCACTCTTGCAATGGTTTCAATCATATTTGAATGGAAGAACTATGACAGTAAATGTAAACGGACATAAATCATATGAATTCACTCCAACCTCAGGTGTACCCCAAGGATCTCATTTGGGACCAATACTATTTTTAACTTATGTTGACGATATCAAACATTACATTCTCAACTCTAATTTTGAATTTTATGCTGACGACTTAAAGCTATATAAAGTTGTTGACTCTGAAATTAGTATGCAAGAACTTCAAGATGATATAGGAAGGTTATGTACCTGGTGCAAGGGTAATTTAATGGAACTGAATCCAGAAAAGTGCTTTCATATGAAGTTTACAAGAAAAAAAGTTATTTTTAATACGACATATGATATCAATGGGTAAAGACTAAATCAAGTGACAGAAATAGAAGATCTTGGTATAATTATGGATAAAGAATTGCGTTTCATCAGTCAAATTAATAGTGTAATAAGCAAAAGCCTAAGAATGCTAGGTTTTATTTATCGTAATACCAAAAAATTCAAATCAATACGTGCACTAAAAATTTTGTATTTTTGCCTTGTCCGCAGCAATATTGATTACTGTAGTCTGATTTGGTACCCTGATTATCAGAATAACATTCAACGAATAGAAAAAATACAAAAAAAGTTTTTAAAAAGACTTGTTTATACCAGTCGCCACAATTTTATAGATACTAGATACGAAGAAAAACTTGAACACTTTAACTTGAAAACTTTACGCCAAAGATGCGACTTTTTGCGACTCATGTTTGTTTTTAAATTAGTAAATAATTACATAGAATGTCCGTCACTACTATCGCTAGTAAATATACAAACACCAAGATCTGCAGCAAGAGCTATTAACTATAAACCACTACATATCCCACAACGAAAAAATAGATACGGTTCTAATTCACCACTCTTACGAAGCTTTAAATTATATAAATTTATATTTCAGCAATGTGATATAGATATTTTTTCGGATAGTTTAAATTTATTCAAAAAGAAAGTGTATTTAAATATTTAGATTAGTTTTTTTTTCTTCTTTTGTTTATTATACACATAAAATTTTAATGGAATAATTCTATAAAAAGATGTGCATACTTTTAAAATAAATTTATATACAAATAGGTAAAATTATAATGTTGAATAAATGTTTTTATGTAAATTTAGTTAGTAAGCCTTTGTAATAAATAAATAAATAAATAAATACTACCGGTTTCGCGCGGCTGTTTGTCGAATTAATATAATATGTGAATAATTAATAATGAATAAATATAAATAATTATATAAACGTGTTGTATGTGTGTATGTAGGTGAGTAGATAATATAAATACGTAAATTAAATATTTAATAAAATATAAATATTATGAAATGTGAAGTTTAATATATAAATATGATAAATTAAATATATTATGTTATAAGTCACCTACAACGTGTTTAAGCATTTTTCGAAATTCATCCTATACGAAGGTAAAATAGGGGATGAAAGTTTGTATGAAACTATATTTTTAGAGATTTTTTGTAGTTTTAGCGCGAGCGAAGCTGCGCGTTCTGCTAGTGTATATAATAAGAACAAAACAAAATGGAAACATTTTTAAGAAACCATTATCAGCAAAGAACCATCTTAACTATGTTTCACTTCAAATATAACTTACCTCATTTGGATTAACTAGCAGTTTAGCAGTTTCTTGCGGAAGATCTTTACAAATTTGTGCTATTATTATTTTTATAAGTGCTTCTGATACTTGTGTTGAATTGTCTTTTTCCTACAAAATAGAATTGCTCAATCAATAACATAGTCTTGTATATACTATAATATATGTATATGAATGTCACTATACATTATATGTATAATATGTAGGTGATTTAAAATACAGCACTATTTTCCATATCTTTATACTCTCTTGTATTGGGCTGAATAGATTTCAATGAAATTTGGCAAAACCTAAGATTACATTATGGGGGCTGATATAGACCTTTTCACCATACATACCATGCCGGCAGAATCACTGGCACAAAATATCATAAATAAATAGTTTAATTTCTCATCTGGTTTCAAGTTTTACTATAAAAATAACAGAGATCATTTTGATTATGAACTTGCAAGAAAAATGTTAAATTATATTATTGTTATTTTTACATATTATTTATATATTTATCATATTATTTATAAATTACAATTACATGTGGTAGCCAAATATTGAATGTAATATTTAAATCATCTATATTTTGCACATAATGCCACCATCCTTGAGGAACCAGGAGAGCATCACCTGCCGACAATTCCACCATACACCCTCCTGTTAAACCTGCCACATACATTGCATTTGATTAAATAATATACATAGTAATAAATTATATACTAAATTAAGGCATTAATAATTACCAATAAGATCTTACCAATAAAGTCATCCAGTTTATTAGGACAATAAAAATTCAATTCACTATAGACACTGGATTCTTCATATGGCACCCTTGTAGGTTTCATGCCTCCTGTTTCAGGTGGATAAAGAATCCACCTTTTCCTAAAAAATTGTCTAAACATTATAAAATGTATACACACTTTGGTAAAAGGGAAGTTAAGTTTAGTTTAAGTTCATATAAAAATTAAATAACTCACTCACTTTCCATGAACTTGTGCAACAATATTGTAACCATAAGTATCTTTATGAGCCGGAGTATGGGCTCCTTTGCTGCCCACCCATATAGTTGTATCTGTTGCTCCTTTATCAGGGTAGCCAAACTGTTTCCATGATATTTCCTGAGAATGAGTTTTATCATTTCATAATATAATACAAAATATGCCAAGAACAAAGAGTAAATATTATATACTAGGGCCAAGAACTTAAAAGTATTAATAACTTACCTTCATTATTTCATTGTCATTACTAAACCATTGATGAAGATACTTATAATCAAAGTACATCCACTCCTCGCTGGTGGTCAAATTATCAATAAAATTTTTAAAAGTCATATTTTTTATCTTGCATCGTCTTTCCCAACAAGGTTCTTCAGAAATAAAGTTTTTTTTTAAACATCTAAATGGTATTTCCCGCTCTCCAAATATTACTGACCATTTTTCTCTACTCCAATGACATAAAGGCCAATCAATAAATTTTCGAAACACTAGAGGCAATGAAGATTTTACAGTAGACTTACGCATTAAATCCCCCTCCGAATTAAAACTCATGATGTTTAGCAATTGTTTATTTGATTATAATAAGAATAAATAAAATATAATTTTCATCTTATACTTAGTAAATACCACAGTGGCACAGACCATAAAGCCAGAAACAACAAATTACAAGAGTAAATTAATGTAAATAGTAAATAGTAAAAGTAAATACTGAACCACAGACAACGATATACGACTAGCGAAGCGCGACTATGAATGACTTCAGTCAAATTATTCAATTTTAGAAATCATTCGACTCATTCGAATGAATTACGAAGCTAGTAATTAACTTGATACTTTGTCTGAATTAATTGTATTAGTAATACGTTTTTTTGGAGTAAAAACTTGTATGTATGTTTTAAGCACGGCGCACGACCGAATCACACCGCACAGGTAAAGGGAAGTAAGTAAACTTTTACTAGCTACTAAGTAACAGTATTATTATGAAGGATGAAAAATCGCCAACAATAATTATTAGAAGTGAGCAACAGATACAAGAGCTTAAAATGAATAAATGACTAGCTCATTTTACAAAATATTATAATTTAAATTATAAACAAGGCACAAGAAAGTTTTTTTGCGTCTTGTTATATTTATTATGCTCCTATTGTATACAAATATTTTTCTTTTCTTATCATAATAGAATAATAACTCCTTACATTTGTTACTACATAATATATAATACAAATAATAGTTACTTAAATATATATAGCGTACTTATCAACAAACTTTATTACTTAACATACATTTTATCATACTCTTATATACATAAAAAATACACACCAAATACACACAATCACTATCAATACACACACTATGCACACAATTATATACATAATTATACACACTACTCATACTTATACACTTACCACTTACATGTCCACTACCCGATTACTTATTATACTCACACTTCTTGTTCACATACTCTTTTATTATGGTTTATAATACTTTTTGTACTACTTGGCCTCGTCTTAAGCTATGGAATAGTAACAATAATTAAAGACTCTCGAAATACTTCTGTACTGAACACATTATATAAATATAAATTAAATTTAACTTTAATATGTATACGACTTGATGGTACGTTTTCTCTATTAAAAACTAGATATAATGGGTGATTCGATACGGACTCAAAATGAAATTGATAATTTTAAAATAGCACGCACATTTGAATGTGACTGTTCAGAACTAACAAAATATATACATATAAAAAGTAATGACTTTACCGTTGTTTCTCAAAATATAAGAAGTATTTCATGTAATTTTGACAGTTTTATAGTATCTTTATCGAAATTTAAGTTCGAACCAGATGTTATTCTTCTGACGGAGTGTAGATTAAGTCCTGAAAAACCAATTCCACAACTTAAGAATTATTCCTCTTTCTATACAACTTGTCATTTAAACCAAAATGATGGTGTTGTCGTATATATAAAAAATAATTTAAAATGTAAAGTAAGAGAAATAAAATTGTCCCTAGCATCATGCATACAAATTGATATCCTAAATAACATAATTTTATGTATCTATCGATCCCCATCGAACATAAATGCTGACAGTTTTATATTCTCTCTTAATACTCACCTAGATAACCTAAAGTCACAAAAAAATATTATCATAGCAGGTGACATAAACATTAACTTAAAACCTGGGGAATCAACATCATCGTATGAGAACACTAACAGAAATAATTATCTCAACATGTTGTCACTCCACGGTATATTGCCTGGACATACTTTGGCGACCAGAGATACAAATTGCTTAGACCATTTTATGCTTAAGATTAATAAACAAAAAATATCGGCTTCAATTGCTATCTTACACACTAGTATCACCGATCACTACACAACTCTTTTATCATTATCCAAACTAAATAATATATATACTGCCAGTAAAATTAAATCAACTATAAATTTTGAAGAAGCTTATAAATACCTATTAGATAATAATCTTGCTAACCTTCTTTTCTGCGACAACCCGGAGTCCTCTTGCTAACCTTTTAATACACAAACTAACTGAATCAATTAATAAAAATACAGTCCATCTTAAAATTCCAAATAGTAAACGCATAATAAAACCTTGGATTAGTCCAGGTATTCTTCGTTGTATAAATAACCGCAATAAATTACAAAAAAAACTTAAACACGACCCTTATAATGAATTATTAAAAATAGCATATATAAGATACAGAAACCATTGCAACAATCTAATAAAAAAATTAAAACGGAAGTATGAGACAGAATTAATTATTAATAATATTTCTAATAAGAAAAAACTTTGGGATAATCTAAAAACAATATCTTACTCTAACCAAAAAAATAATTATAGTGAAGAATTATTAAGTATAAGATCATCACCTCTAGAATCCGTTAACTACATTAATAATTATTTCGCGAAAATCGGAAAAGATCTTACACAAAAAATACAGCCATGTCACTCTGCCTCCAATGACGACCATTATACATTGCCACCTTCACAACCTAATTCCTTCGTTCTGCTAGATGCAGATGAAGATGAAGTGAATCGTGTCTTAATGAGTCTTAAATCTGATAGTGCGTCTGGTTGGGATAATGTACCAACACGATTTCTTAAATATATAAGAAAGGATATCGTTCCTTTATTAACTCACCTTGCTAACCTCTGCTTTAGAAAAGGTATTTTTCCTAGTCCTCTAAAGCAGGCTATTATTACGCCTGTTCATAAAGGTGGGGACAGAGATGACATAACAAATTATAGACCTATTTCAGTATTACCCTCAATATCCAAAATAATAGAAAAACTTATTAATATTAGGCTTTTAACATACCTTAAAGATTATAATATCATCTCAAAATCACAATATGGATTTCGTCAGGGCATTTCCACCGAGCACGCAGTAACTGCACTAACTAAAATTGTAACAGAACAATTAGACAACGGTAAACCGTGTTTAACTGTATTCCTTGATCTAAAAAAAGCTTTTGATACTGTCTCTGTCCAAATTCTTGTAAAAAAGCTTGAACATATTGGGGTACGTGGAATTCCACTACAGCTCTTAAATGACTACCTCTCAAATAGGAAGCAGAAAGTTAGGGTTACTCATTACACAAGTGAATATACAGACGTATCATATGGTGTTCCGCAAGGCAGTGTCCTGGGACCTACTCTGTTTGTCATCTATGTAAACCAGCTCTGTAATATACAACTAACAAATACTAAGGTATTCTCATATGCTGATGATACAGCTCTAGTCTTTACGGGTAATTCTTGGGACGAGGTTCGGCTTAATGCCGAAATAGGGTTGGCTAAAGTAGCCAGGTGGTTGTCTAAGAACCTACTCACACTGAACATTTCTAAAACAAATTATATATGCTTTAGCATATGTAAACGTAAACAACCTAGAGAAGATTTCAATATAAAAATACATCTGTGTAATAATGATAAAAGCACTACCTGCAGTTGCTTAAATATAACGAGGGTTCCATGTGCTAAGTATTTGGGTGTTTTCATTGACCAGAGATTATCTTGGCATTCTCAAATCGATCATGTGGCAAACAGAGTCAGAAAATTGAGCTGGATGTTTCGGTCCCTAAGACACATAGTCCCTAAACAAGTTTTTAGCAGCTCATCTCGCCCCAGGAATCTCTTGAATGAAATATATTTTGCCTTAGTACAATCAGTGCTATCATATTGTATCCCGATTTGGGGCGGAGCTGCTAAAACGAAGTTTATTGAACTTGAGAGAGCACAACGTGCTCTAATAAAATGTATGTACTTTAAAAAACTTACATTTCCAACTGAGAATCTGTACCAAGTTAGCACACTGCTCTCAGTTAGAAAGCTGTATATTACTCAAACTATACTAAAAGTACATAAGGCTGTTTCCTATGATGCGTCTTTAACATTAAAAAGAAGGAAAGAAAATATAATTAAAATCCCACAAACAAGAACAACATTTGCGTCAATGCAATTCGATAAAAGATCTGCACAATTATATAATAAAATTAACAGTATCATTTATGTTTACCCCTACAATTACCATAAATGCAAAAAGACATTAATAGATTGGATAAAAACCCTTAGTTACAATGATACGGAAAAACTATTAGAACATATTCATTAAATACTCACACACGCACACACACACACACGCGCACACACACACACGGACACACACACACACACACACACGCGCGCACGCACATACACACACGCACACTCACACACAATACACAAACAAATATATGTACGCTAATTTTTATTTTAATTTTTTATTTTTTTGTTTGTCTTAATTGATCTATTTAAGTTTGTAGTATCACCCATAATATTATAATCAGCTAAAAGATAAAATTACTTTTTTATGAAAGGGCGGGGTCTCCTAATACAGGCAAATTATTTGCTTAAAAGGGGATCTCAACCACAAAATTTGAAATTTTGATTAGATTTGAAATAAATAAATAAATAAATTTTAAATTAATCAATTAATTATATGTTAATTTTTATTTCAAATGTAAATGTATATTGTTATCTAATTTATAGTTTTTTATTGTTGTTGTGTTATAATAATAATAATAAAATTATTATTATATATTTAGTGTTATAATTTTATAATTATATAATTCGACTTGAGGCGCTGACAGAACGGCAACCGTGATTATTCGGCGCTGGAGTGGCGGCAAATGATCGATTCATTCGAATTTAATTTCAAACTGGCGACTAAGTCGCAGGACCGCGACCAATTTTATTGAAACGCCTTAGTTATCACTAATTAGTAATAGTTATGCGATTATTAACATTAGTATATTACTATTATTCAAGTCGAATATGTAAATTAGTAGTTATGATGCTTCGAATCGTCGTGTCATTCGCAGTCGCGCTGCGCGCATCGCTACCACAGACCGGAATAACACTAAGCATGGAAATGATTGCTACTTTTAAATCATTATCATATGATAAAATTACGTATATTTTTCACGTGATTTCATGCTACTTTTCACAGGCAATGATTTTTTATTTCGACGGTCTGGTGTCACACTTTATATTATTTGCTATTAAAATGAAGTATTAGTAGGGGAGCCCAAGAGGGGATTTTCTGTAGTTACTCGAGCGCGGCAGATTAACATAAAAGAGGTTACTTTGCACTCTATTGAGTACTTTCACCATAATATAAGTCTTCTATATAAAGGGGCGCGTCTAGGGAAGCCGATTAAAATATTTAAAAAATGTTTTGATAAGGTAGAAATACTTGAAACCGTCAGATTAAGGTGTGGTAGGCTAGTCACATCCTGAAAAGTGTCCAATTCAATAATCTGCAGATTTGCACAAGCCGAAGAGGCAAAAATCGACTATAAAGTTTATGATGATTATGGTGATTTGTAGCAGTCACTGTGAATTTAAGTAGCAGGTGTGACGTATGATAACGCATTTCATGTGATTTTTCACTTGCTACTCGTGAAATGTTCCATGCCTAAATAACACGCTGCTGATTGTCGGGTAAATTACCCGAAAAGCGGGTAATTTTAGGCGATTTTTGATGGTGGGTAATTTTGACGGGTATTTGCAATGTGTGGAGTCAAAGCAGGTATTTTAGTTTTCCCCTCCAACGTGCGTTCACCTTGTCGTAACGGGGGGGCTCAGTAGTGCCTAGGAATCCAGCCGGGCGCGAAGCTAAGAAACGCACAGGGAGGTGGCCCACTTCGATGGGCGGTGTACCATGCGGGTTGCTCCAGGTACTTCTCTGATCCCCCCCAACGTGCGTTCACCTTGTCGTGGTGGGGGGGCTCAGTAGCAGTAGCGAAGCTAAGAAACGCACAGGGAGGTTGCCCACTTCGGTGGGCGGTGGGAGGTGGCCCTCTTCGGAGGGCGGTGTACCATGCGGGTTGCTCCTGGTACTTCTCTGATAGCAGAGTGGACTGTGGAGCAACCCCATGGTTGTGGTGGTCTGCTTCGGCGGACCTGCCGTCGGGGCGTCGTAGTTGAATGCGTAAGCGATCCTGCGACGCCCCATTAAGACGGGGGAAGGTTTTGTTGGGTTTTAGTGGGTAGTACTGGCTGTATTACGCCGGTGAGTCCCACACGTCGTGCGTAAATGCATTTCCCAACGTTAAAAAAAAAAAAAAAAAAAAAAAAAGGTACTTCTCTGATAGCAGAGTGGACTGTAGAGCAACCCCATGGTTATTGTGGTCTGCTTCGGCAAACCTAATGTCGGAACGTCGTAGTTGAGTGCATAACCAATCCTGCGATGCCCCATTAAGACGGAGGAAGGTTTTGTTGGATTTTAGTCGGTAGTACTGGCTTTTCGAGCCAGCGAGTCCCACATTACCACCTGTATGTCTACAGGTTGTATGCGTAAATACATTTCCCAACATAAAAAGAGGGTGTAGTTTAGATGATTAAATTGATATTTTAAGATATTTTTTTTGGTTGATTTAATAATTTAAAACTGTTTAATTAAGAACTGATTACAATAACTTCTTTTTCTAACATTATTACTTTCTTTTATTCTATATAAAACATGAATAAATTACATAAAAAAACGAATTTCGGGTATTCTGCTCATGGTTGGCGCCGGCAGGATAAACCGGGTATTTTGAGTAGTGATGTGCCAACTCTGAATGATTTGTTTTGCTTGTACCAATTTAATGACTCGGCTTTGCAACAATATTAAAAAAATGGTACAGATTCTAAATAAATATTTACATATTAGGACAATTATAATTATTTATATTTTTTATATTTATTTATTTATATTATTACTAGCAGAACCCGCGGCTTCGTTCGCGCTAAAACTCCAAAAAAACACTAAAAAGGTAGGTTTAATAAAAAACTTCATCCGCTATTTTACCCCCTTACGGGATAAATTTCGAAGAATGCTAAAACATATATTTTATTTAATTGTATTGAAGAGCGTTAATACCAAGTTTCAAGTAATTCTGATCATAAATATTTTTTTGGGTTGTATTATAACGTGTTTCCCCGTGGAAATGAGATAATCTTCCGCGGTAAAAAGTAGTCTATACCACTCTCCAGCCCTCCAACTATGAACTATTTTCACCCAAGAAATTACCCCAGTCCGTTACTCCGTTTCGACGTGAAAGAAGGGCAAACAAACAAACATACTTTCACATTTATAATATTAGTATGGATATTATAACGCTGTCATTCGGTTGAAACGCTATGACGGGAGTACGGACGACAGCGATTAAGTTAAATACTGTGGCATCTTATTCGGTTGTAATAGGAGCGATTTTGCAACATAAATGTAAAGTGCTGACGACTGTACAAAACATGACCACAACGAACGAATCACCGCGTTTGTGTAAGGTCAATCGCGTACTCGCTTGACTCGTTCACTTACCACGCAAATCTAATTCGAGTCAGAGAGAATTCAACTCGACTTAATTCGAGTTAAGCCCAACTCGAGTTAACTCGAGTTGACACATCTTTAATTTTGAGGTTCATTGGTCGGGTAAATCGACGATTGTTATCTGGCAGCCCTGAAGTTGTCATCCATGATCATAGATTCATAATATTTATTTGTATTTTGAAATTTAAAATACCTAAATTCAATTTTTAACAAACTTCACTAAAATAATTGGACTATTTGTAGAATTGTGTAATTATATTCATTACATAGCCGTTTTTTTTAAGAAAAGATTTATTTACTAAGTGTACATAAAACAATGAGCGTTGAAGTAAAGTCATCATTTTTCTCTCCGGCTATTTCTCAAACTACTGTACAAGAATCTAGTAGTGACATTTCTGATGAATTACTGGAATTAATCGATGAACTTAACGAATCTCTCAATAATTTTAGCTTACCAACAGCTGTTAAATGCGTTTATAATCCAAGCATTTATGCTAGGTATACTTTTGAAATGTACATTCGGAAATATTGTAATACTAAGAAAAAGATAATGTATTTTGGAATGAATCCTGGACCTTGGGGAATGTCTCAAACTGGGGTTTGTATTTATTATATGATATTCAAAGTCGTCGCCGATCAAATTAGCATGAAATATCTACTACTTAACTTTTAATGATTTTTTAAGTTCATTAAATAAATAATAAAGAAATTATAAAACACTTGCGACTCACCCTCGCTTCGCTCATGCTCGTCCCTTAGTACGTTTTGACGCTTAGTATAGAATACAATGAGTTTTATATGCCTTGAGAAATGATTGATTCCCCATACAAACTTCCACCCCCTTTTCACCCTCATAAGGGATGATTTCCAGGGTAAAAACTATCTTATGTCCTTCCCAAAGTTTCTAACTATCTCCATATCGATTAGCAAATTTCATCTAAATCGATTCAGCGGATTAAATGTGAAAAGGTAATAGACTGCAACTGACAGAGTTACTTTCGCATTCATAATATTATTAGTCTGTATTAATTGCATTAATTTTGTTGAAAAATAATTGAAATCTAATTATTGTTTATATTATGACAACATACACTTATTTCAAAACATAAAAAATTACTACCATTAAGTTATTCCCATGATACTGAAATTGTATAAGTAATTTTTGTTTTAAATAAAGGTCCCATTTGGAGAAGTGTCAGCAGTAAAAGATTGGTTAAAAATAGAAGGACCTGTAGGTAAGCCACCAAATGAGATTAAAGAACGTCCAGTAAATGGTTTTAATTGTAAAAGAACTGAGGTCAGTTAAATTTCCAACTATTACGTAGTGTAAAGTATAAAATGTGTGATCATTTATAGTATTGTAATTTACAGATTAGTGGCAAAAGATTTTGGGGATTAGTTAAAAATATATGTGGAGATCCAGACATATTTTTTAAAACAAGCTTTGTCTATAATTATATAAACCAGCAATGGATGAAATGCAATGGTTGTAATCTTACTCCTGGAGATTTTAAAGTAAATACTAGTACTGAATGCCCATATTTGCGATATTTTATAACATCAATGTATTAATTTGTACAAATATTTTCATTTTAGGTATCAGAAATAGAAGGTCTCTATAATATTTGTGACCCAATTTTTATTAAAGTTTTAAAACTTTATGAAGTTGAAATTATAGTAGCAATAGGGAATTTCTGTAAGATAAGAGCTGACAAAGCATTAAAAAAATATTTACCTTCGAGTAACATTAAGGTGAGGGATAAGTATATTTTTAATATTAAACATCTATAATATTTATAACTAGAGAGTTACTCTCGCTTAAATCGGTTACATCCCTATAGGTATGTTTTAAATAGATAATAATAGTTATTGCAAATGTACCATAAGAGAGACATAATTATTATGGTACTGTGGACTTTTCTGTAGGTCTTCTTTTTTAGTACATTCAATTTTCTAGTACATTTTCTTAATGTACCTCTTAAGGTTAAGCCAGCTAATATGGCTAATGGCCATGTATATTTCTAAGGTACTGCTCAACAGAACCAGTTATTCTGTTTTTCCATAGCAATGAAAATTTTTCCTGTACTTAAAGGTATCCTAAATGATAACCTGACTAATAAGTTACCACTACACAAAATTTATTTAAAGTAGATTCAGTACTTTTTGTGTAAATACACACAGGATTACAGACAAATAGACAAGAACCCATAGAGTATATTGCTACATATATAAACAAGAGTCAAGAACCTCAAAAACTTCTTTTGAGGTTTATAATTTATATTCTGTGCGTACTATGTTGCCATTATTTTAAAAAAATATTACATGTACAGATTTCACTTTATTACTATTTTATTATATATGTATAGATTAGGACTATAATAATAATATCGTTCAAACCAATCCAACTTAAGGAATGCTTAATTATCTTTACTTAAACAAAGATAACACAAAATTACTCTCTATTACATTATTTACATTTTACATGAAGGAATATACATTTTAACTTCATTCGTTTAACATATCAAATAATATATTTTAGTAAAATCTAAGACTATCATTTGACTATTTTCATTTTGATAACCAGAGGGGGTATTAACATCTAGTGTTAGTTACGTTAATTTGTAATAATACAATATTTCTTATAAACGATTAATTTAAAAAAAAAACGTTATTTTCGTCCAAACCAAATTTCGTTCATTTTCTTTAATCTTTTATTATTATAAAAGTGTAAAATGTGCGCAGCAACTTCAAAAGTACGAAACGCATTTGTTACAATAAAATGTGTCGTCCATCCAAATCTGTTAACTGTCAACAGTAATTTAATAATTTTCACGATAAAAATTACAAAATACAAATGTTGTCATTAGAAGCGCGCGAATTTAGCGGTATTTACTATGTCTTTGGTTTGAACAGCTCAAATATCTTTAAAAGAATTAATATTGTACTAAGATCCCGCTGCAAGATGGTTACGTTCATAGCGTATTTAATCAAAATATTTTTTTATATACATTAAAAAGTATGTTTGGGTGCCTATTAAAATATGCCCGCTAGTATGTTTGATTAAATAAATAATAATTGACTTTTTGGAACAAAAACGATGCATTTGTTATTAAAATGAATTATGAAGTGGAATCACTTCACAGAAATTTACGTAGAGATCTTGAAAAGTGATAGCTGCCGTTGCGCAAAGATAAAGTGATAGATAGTTAACTGTTGTTGCCATGGTAACCGTTGTTATTGTCTGACAAATCTATACATATAATAAATTTGTAACTGAGTCGAATCTGTACATTAAATATTTTTTGGAAAACCTAATTGAAATAGACATTATTATCGATACAGAGTCCGAATCTATAGTTTTTAGAATTTTTGTCTGTCTGTCTGTTACCGCATCACGAGAAAACCACTGGACAGATTTTGATGAAATTTGGTATGATGGTAGCTGGTTATCCGGATCAACATATAGGATACTTTTTACCGCGGGAAAATATCTTATTTCTGAGAAAAAATACAAAAACTGCATTTTAAGAGAGTGAGATATGTAAATCCTACGAATTTGGTTTTTGGTCATCTGAACGCGGGCGGAACTGCGGGCAATGCTAGTGATATATAATATTATATTCTTTCCTTGTCTTTCCATTGCGGCCACTTTTACATAGGTAGAGGTATTTTATCATGCACAGTATTAAAAAAAAGGCTTTAATTTGATATATAAATGATGAATATACGCCATGAACATATAAATGTAACAAAAAAATCTTTAATGACTCGCAACTACTTTTGCGGCCACTTTTACATAGGCAGAGGTAGTTTATCAGGTACAGAAAAAAAATAGCTTTAATTTGCTATATATAAGTGATGAATATAGGCCATGAACGTAAAAACGTAACAAAATATGACCTACTTACACCTGGCTGCGAAGAGGTTGCGGCCAAGTGTCACCAATCTTATTTATTTTCTATACAATTATAAGCCGATATAAAGTATGAATTGAAATATTATAATATATTATATACTTATTCTATTTTTACTCATAATTTACACCCTTTTATATTTCATAAAGTATTAAATTACTTATGATAATTTCAATATATAAAATTATTTGTATGTTAAAAATGTAAATATTATTTTTAAAGATAAACAATAATATTTAACAAGAGTTTTTTGCTTTAAGGTACTTTGTTTATCACATCCAAGCCCTAGAACTGTAAACAACACAAATTGGGATGAAAAGGCCTTGCAACAATTAAAAGACTATGACCTTTTAAAATATTACAAGGAAGAATAAAATAATTTCAATTATTTACTTCTTATCATTAATTTTTTATAATATTTATGAAAGAGACAGAATGTTTGTGGCATCACCAACATTCCTTCATGGTTTTTTAAAACTTACGTTTGGTGCACCACATGAACGAGTGTTTATTATTCTATTGTATAGAGAAGAGTATAAACATCAACAATAGAAGACACGTAAATGAATATAACAATATTAGCATTGAATGCTCTAAAGTTTCACTTGAAGGTAAAGATCGCTATAAGAAAACGACAAGCATTAATGTTAATAAATTAAGAAAAATATTAACAAATGAATATGTTAATTCATTAGTTGTATTCAAAATAATTAATTTCTAGTGTTCTCATATAAACTCAAGATATAGGGAACCTGACACCTTTCGATTTAATTTTATTTTAAATTCATTTTTTTTTATTGAAAGATAGGCTTGCGCTTGACTACAATCAGCACTGGGAAGCACTGATGAGGTCTAGGTTGAAGCGCGCTTGCCTAGAAAAGGTAGCCTCGAAGGTACTTGGAATGTAGGTGGAGGAAACACGGATGCTGGAAGGGTGTTACACTACTTAGCAGTTCGATTCAGAAACGTATAACTGAAACGTTTCGTGCGTGTTGGTTGGATTTCTACCACATAAGGATGCCAGCGCTCACGACTTCTCGCAGTTCTGTGGTAAAACGGTGAAGGGGGCACAAGGTTGTGAAGTTACTGCTCGCATTCCCCAAAGTATATCCGATAGAAGATCGATAGACAGGCGACAATGCGTCGATGCTGTAGACTAAGCATTCGTCTGCGTTAGTGTTTAATCACCTATGATACGGCGAGCTAGACGATCTATTAAGTCTAATGCATCGAGTTGATACTTGGCAGAGCCATCCCAGAGGTGGCAGCAGTATTCCATAGCTAAGCGCACTTGAGCGCTGCTCAGGCGTGAAGTACCGCTTCACCTTGTTCAGGATACCAAGTTTTTTCTGCTGTTTTGACCTTATTATAATTTATTATTATAATTTAAAAAAGATTTTTTTCTTTCTTCATCCTGTCGTCGTGCGGGGAGAAATTGAACAAAAAAATATCTTTATCAGCTTAAGTGAGAGCTCAAAAAGCACATGATTCAGATGAGAAGCTTCGAAGTATCACTAATGTCGTAGATATGCAAAACTTTGGCCTAGCCTAGCATTTGCTTGGTTTTGTTTGAGATCATCATCGATCAAAAAAATGATAGATGGAGATCTTGGAAGACTTTGATCTCAGACTAAACCAAATCTAATAGCAGAGTTTTACCTACCATTAAAACTCATATTATGTCCGGAGCCTTATTCGAGGCCTAATAAACAATATTGAGATGACATCTTCCGTTTCCGGCCGCTTTTAGTCGTGGTAGTTCCCTTAAATTTAAGAAAATATGACAACTTCCGGCCGCCATGTTCACCAGGTGATTGCAATCGGCCATTGGAGTTCCTCTTCATTGTGGTCTCAATGAGCTACTTATATCTAACTTAAATAACACCAGGCAGAATTTAATGTTAGGCCTCGAATAAGGCTCCGGACATAATATGAGTTTTAATGGTAGGTAAAACTCTGCTATTATGTCCTTCCGCCGTTATTCGAGGCCTAATAAACAATATTGAGACAGTGTTTGTTATCGCCTGGTGAACAAGACGCCAATGTGATTTTAAGATAAATACCTACTACTATAAATACATTTAGTTTATAGATCAATTTTAATTATATACTTTCTTTCTGTTTTTTTTTGCCTTTTTTTTCATTAGTACTATTATTATTTTATATATATTTCTATTTCGTTTTTTTATATATATATATATTATTATTTCCTTCATTATTACTTTGTCAAATAACATTTCAGTTAATCATTAGATAAATAATCACAAATCACTTTACGCAAAAAAAAAGTAGATTACTATCTTACAGGTTTAAACAACGCTCTTAGGGAGACGCTATCTGAAATTACATTAGGCAATGGTCTTACTTCTTTTTTGTAGAACTTTGAGAAAGTTTTTATAGACTTCCAATTAGCTCTAGATAGGATTTTGTCCAATGGTTCACTATCCAACCAACCCCTGGACGCCACAGCTGATCTCATGCTACCTGGTGTTGCATCAACGCCCGCGTCAGACAAAACAGATTTTACCCAGCCTGCGATTACAGTACGAGAAGCAGCTTTAGCGGCTCCACGGGCTGTTACAAAGAGGTTACTTACTTTTCCTTCTCTACGTCTATCCTTTCCGAATTGTATTAGCTTTCTTACCCATAGTACAGGATCTATATTAGGGTTCTCATTATTCGAGTACAATTTCCAACCTGATTGAGTATAAGACACAGAATCAGTCTTAGAACCAAACATAGGCCAAAATGTTAAACAGTTAGCTTCAGTGTCGTCTATAAAGTTAGAGTCCGATATACTAAGCAGTGTTAGATCATGCACTCTACGCCCAGAACAAAGTAAAAGTAGAATAGCACAACGTCGTGATATTTCCCACATATTTAGAATAGGCGGGTTTCTACTCGACAACCAAGATATGACAATATGTGTATCCCAAATATTGGTTTCGACACGGTTCTTAGCATAATTAGCCGCGATAGCTTTTAATATTTGTTTCACTAATATATTAGAGCTTAGTTTAGCATTATTTTCGGTAGTACATAAGGTAGCGACCACAGATTTATGAACTAAAATAGTTTTATAAGATAACCTATGTTTAAAATGAAGATCCGCCAAGTATTGTGCTAAATCGGCACCTACTGGATTAATAGGGCTTATATCTGAGGATTGACACCATTTTACCCATCTCTCCCAAGCAGGTTTGTATGTATTAATAGTGGATTTTCGCCATCCTCCCATCAATAAAGCCTTCTGTTGAGTAGACCATGATTCTACTGCTTCAGACCACCCCCACATTTCCAAACTTCGAGAGTCAGATCTTCTACTTTTGGCGGGGGACGGCCCGTCGACAGATCTATCAATTTCGACTCTAGTTGGTAGATTTTGAATGGGGGTGCTATAGCTCGAGCTTTTAAATCCGCTCTTCAAAACGCCTGCGGCCACCTCGGTGCTACTATTAGATATGTGCCGACCGCTCGATTGAGATGCATAAGAACTCTTGGCATTAAGTTCGGAGGCGGAAATATCCACGCTAGTCTGAACTTCCATTCCCAAGCGAACGCATTGTGTCTCCACGCTGCTCGATCCGTTTGATTCAGACTGACATATTTTGGAACAACATGGGCACGACTGGACGCAAATAAATCCACATCCGGGACACCCCATTTTTGAAATACTACCTGTGTCAACGCAGGAAGAAGGTGCCACTCTGGAATTATCGACTTCCGGGATAGGCGATCGGCAACACCGTTGAGCTTTCCGGGAATGTGATGTGCAACTAGATGAATGTCGAATCGATTTAGAATTTTGAAAATTTTGTAAGTCAGGCTCATTAGTGGCACCGATCGACTTCCTCCTTCTTTCGGTAGATACGCCACGACCGACTTGTTGTCGCACTGAAGTAGCAACGATGAATGGCTTAGAAGAGGACCGAATTGGTGAAGACACTTCAATATGCTCAACATTTCTTTTTGATTCGAGTGAATTCTGGATTCCTCTCTCGACCATTCGCCCCGTATCTGTACCCCGTTTAATTCTGCTCCCCAGCCGGTCTCGGCAGCGTCTGTCGTTAAGAAGTGGGTCAGAAGTGGAAGGTGAAGTAGAGACGACCTGTCGCAGTTCTGCCTCCACCACTCGAGTTCTTTCGTTACCTGTATTGGTAGCGGAGTTTTCTCCTTGACATTGTTTTGAAGCATAGATATGCAATGTCTCAGGAGATAGCGGAAGTTTAATCGACCCTGTGGGACAGCTAGACGGGCAAAATTCATGGTCCCTACTAGACCTTGAACTTCCCGAAGCGTCGCTTGTTGTTGTGTGAGAAATCTTGCTATAGTAGTCTGTAGACCTTGAATTTTCTTCTGTGGCAGGCTTTTCTTGTTGTTCCAGGTATCCCATACTAGACCTAAATACTCCAACGACCTCTGGGGGACTAGGATTGACTTGGATGTGTTGACGATCCATCCTAACTCTTTTAAAGTTTTGAGAACAACTTGGGTTTGCTCTACCAACTTTGACCTGTTCTGACATACAACTAAAAAATCGTCGAGAAAAACTACAATTCGAATCCCCTGTTCTCTTAGGATTTCTGCTGTCCAATTTGAGAGGCATGCGAATACTTTGGGAGCCGTTGCTAGACCAAATGGCAAAGAGGTCATCTGTAAAAGTTGACCTCTGTAAAGCAGTCTTAGGAAACACCGATGAGACGGAGCTATCGGCACATGATAGTAGGCCTGCGTCAGATCGATTTTTATCATCCAGTCGTTCGGCTGTAAAAAGTCCGGAATGCGATGAACCGAGATAAGTCTGAACTTTGTCACTTTTACAAAATGATTTAGTCTCTTCAGATTGATAATGAGGCGCAAAGTACCATCTTTTTTCGGTGTTAAAAAGAGGGTGGATAAAAAACTGGGAGTTACGGGTGCATACTCTAAAATTCTTTCTGTAATTAGATTGTTTATTGTTTGATCCATCCTGCAAGTTGGTACAGTCTGATACCGATTGTTGGTGAGGTGCGGTAAAACAAGCGGAGGCTGTGCTTTGAAAGGAATTTTGTAACCTGTTATAATGTGCAACAAGGGGGTCGGTGCGCCTAACCTTTTCCATATCTCCTGGAAAATCCCTAATCTGCCCCCCCCCCCCCCCGAAACGTCTGTTCTTTGTCAAAAGTTCTTACCACCTCTCCCTCTTCTTTTGACGCTAATGTGTTGGTTTGATGTGCCGTGTTGATTAAATGATTTCCTAGGGTTACTCGGGGCTTGTGGACCCGCGGTAAATGATTGTGGCTTGTATTGAGGTCGAAAAAGCCGCTGATTTCCAGCATAAGCTGGAAAATTGTAATTAAATGCATAGGGTTGCATAGGTGCATACGACCTATACGGATATTGAGGGGCTCTATATTGTAATGCAAACGGTGCTGTGGGGCGACCGGTTTGATTGTAACGACTGGATCCACGTTGCGCAGCCTGAGATGTACCAGTATTTCTCTTCTCTTGCGCAGAGAAGGAAGGTCTTGAAAATATTTTATTAATGCCCCCATTATTATTTAAAAAGTCTGAAATTTGCTCTTTACTAAATAAAAAATCACAGGATGGAGGTATCTTTTTTAAGGTAGCTTTTAAAAATTTATCTTTTACTAAATTCAAGAATGCTTCTCGTCTTTGTTCAATAATATCGGCTCGACGCCCACAAAGCAATTGTAAACAATCAAGAGATATCTTTTGAAATTCACCCGAAAAAATATCTTTAATTTTCTTTACCAGATCGTCTTTACTAAAATTATCGGTATCTTGTACCCATTGCAGTAAATCAAACACTCCTGATTTTAAAGCATCGCTTTGCATAATTATGCCATGCGTAATTGACAACATTTCAGAAATATGAAGACCCTAAAATAAAAATACCGTTTCTTTATTTTCCTATTTTGAGTACAAATATATTTTTTTGAGATTTTTTTAATGCTTGGTTTTGGAGAAAAAAAATAAAATCTGAAAATATTGTGGTGACGTCACAAATAAGGTTGAATGAGATTGCCTTTGCCTACTAAAGATTAAGATGAAATTATTCGTCCAACGTCAGTGTCATATGTCATATGTGTCATTTCTGAATAATTGACGTTTGAATTTTGAATTGTTTCTCAAAATATGACAATCACAATAAAAAACAAAACGTTTAAGCTTTGAAACTTTTGTACACAGACAACTGACAAGGAAAGATTTTGTAATGCCAAAATGACATTAGTATATTTTTTTGACGGATGAGAGAAAGGCAAAGGCAATATCGCTATTCAACCTAATTAATGACGTCATTTGTCGCTTACGTCTTTTTAGAATAAGACGAGTTTCAAAGTGAAAATTTTATATGAAAACGGCATCATTTCGAAAAAAGAAAAGATATGGGTCGCCTCATTTTTGATCTAGTTTTAATTAAAATTATAACATAGGGATGTTGAAAAAATGAAATGTTGTCAATTGCGCCTAAAGATCTATCTGTTGTAACTAAATTATTTATTTTATCAAACTGTTTAATTTCATCGTTTACCTCAAGTTCAACAAAACCTGGCCTGGCATTATATAACTTTTGAATTTCGGAGTAACGTACGTTAGTCCAGTTTTCAGAATTAAAATATTGAAATGAATTTAATAATTGTAAATGATCGGAAGGCGTACTCAATACTGTAGGTTCTTTTAAACTCGTTTTTAAATTAAAATCAAATTTAATGGCCGACTCGGCGGGTACTTCAACTGAATGTGCATCCTGTTGGGTTGGCAACAGATTTTCTACATGTGTTTCTAATGGGTGATGATACCCGGGGTCAGCGGGGTACCAACCCGGCGGAGGATATGCATTGGAAGCCAAATAATTCTGAATTTGACTTACTTGTTCAGCAAGGTGTTCTAATACTCTTTTTCTGACATCCTACCTCCCTCCTAGGCAACTTTCGTTTACGACGTTGCGGCGGATCCTCTTCGCCGCTGGTTGACGAGGACGACGTCAGCTCGCCCTCATGTACACTTTTATCACGCACATTTTCATCACTTTCCGACATTATTTCGTTTTTTATTAAGAAATACGCACTTTGAAAACAATTACGATAAACTGTAGGTAATTTAACAAAACCTTTTTAACGATATTTACACTAAATCACATAATTACAGGATAATTCATATTAACTAAACTACAACGTAACATAATTTGAAAAATTCTAGAAAAATTATATTCCTCGAACGCTAACAGCGTTAAATAAACACTTTACGGCACGAAAATCAAGACGCCAATAAAGAGGAACTCCAATGGCCGATTGCAATCACCTGGTGAACATGGCGGCCGGAAGTTGTCATATTTTCTTAAATTTAAGGGAACTACAACGACTAAAAGCGGCCGGAAACGGAAGATGTCATCTCAATATTGTTTATTAGGCCTCGAATAACGGCGGAAGGACATAATACATGGTTGGACTGGTATGTAGTGAGTTTCATGAAATTTAGACATGCATTGTCAAAATCTCTGTACGTGGCTAAACCCAGGGTTTACATTCTCTTTGGCTAAACCTTAATTTAGGACGCTAGACAACACATTTATTGTCCAGTTAGATTGGCTAACTGTCTAAATGTCTTTTCACTTGTCTTCATGTTTGCTCAGGGTCATGGAGCAGTCTGAATTTAGCCAAGTGTAAAAGCCGCAATAATTCGGACTTTCCTTCTTTTCTTCTTAGTGTTACTGCCCGACCGCTCGCCCGGTGTGTTCAGACTTCTTAACAATATGTTGTCTGAGCTATTTTACCAATAAAAAGCAACTATGCTATTTTTCTTTATAAATCCTTGTTGAGTCACAAAATATATTAAATATAATTTCATTTTGTATTATAATCTATGATTGCTATTTTAAAACTATTATACCTGGTCCAACCTTTTATTTTTATTCGACTTTCAAGAAAGAGGAAGGTCTCAATTCGAAATCTTTTTTTTTTTAATTATGTTCACAGATTAGGGCACGTACACATAGAACGTCCGTTTTACAGGTCCGTTTAAACGTATATGTTATTAGCGTATGTAGTTGTATGAGCCAGTTCACACACATGACAGTATTCCGGATCTAGTAAAAAATCCCACACACAACAGAAATACTGACCCGTTTTATCGGATCGAAACCGCGCGAGGCTTGGCACAGGGGTGCGGGGGTTTTCCTCCAGTTTGTGTCTTTCTTTTTTAAATACTTTTCTAATCTTTTAAGAAGGTCTTTAAAAGTAGATGTCGTCATTCGGAAATAAGTAAAAATGATGTGTAAATATTACCTCCAGTTGCGACGGATCCGTTAAAATCGGTCCTGTAAATGCTGTGTGAATATTACCTCCAGTAGCGACGGATCAGTTAAAAAGGATCCTGTAAATCGGACGTTCTATGTGTACGCGCCCTTACTCGAAGACGTCTAAACCGATTTGAAAATATATTTTTTTTCAAAGGGTATACTTCCTGGTAGTCCCATTTAAATTTTATCGAAATCAATTTTTAAAAAATCTACAATATTATTATTTTTTTAAATAAATTGCTCAATCGAATATGTTATTACAAAACTTTCTCCTTACAAATTACCTGCTTAATAAGTCTACACTAAAAATGAATAAAATAAAAACTAAAAAAAAAAACAAGGCACCGACTTCGAAAATATCTGATTAGGTATTTATTCTAAATAAAAACCCCGTTTAGTTATTTTTTACATTTTAGTGCGTGGAAGTTGGTTTTTTTTTTTAAGTTTTTTCTTTTAACAGGTCGAGTACTAATTAATGAGTGATGTCTTATTGTGCTACCATAATTTATGAAGAAGTTTTGATCGACTTAAAACATTGATATGTTATTTTTTTCAACATTTTGTATTATCTTTTAAACATATTCAGACGTTATAATGACTATATTTTACTTTAACTTTTTATTAAAATATAATATGGTATTAATTATATATTATAGTATTGAAATGAACATTTTTGAAGTAAAACTTCTATAGAATCGCGATTTGAAACTCGATGAAACGAAAATGCAACACTAAAAAGAAACAAACATAGATGTATAGTGTTTTTTCTGTGATGCGGTAACAGACAGATAAAAATTCTAAAAACTATAGATTCGGTCTCTGTATCGATAATAATGTTTATTTCAAAAAGATTTACCAAAAAATATTTAATGTACAGATTCGGCTTAGTTACAATTTTATTATATGTATAGATTAAGCCGGCGAGAAAATGAGATAGAATACATTGCCATGGTAACCGTTGGTATTGTCTGACAAATATATAATATTCTATAGTATTATATTCTTTCCGTATATTATGATATTCTATAAATATATGATAGTAATATGCCTCATTTAATTAAATTTTTGAATTGTTTTAATTTAATCTCGATATTTGCCAAAGAAATTTTATTTCAACCGCGCGTAAAGGTTACACGGACCTATTTTTTTTTTATTTTGAGGGTCACTGGGTCAGTCAAAAATGAAAAATCTGTGAATTGTTCATTTTATTTTTGACTGGAAACTTTTAAAATACGTGTGTTTTTGTGTAATTTTTTTTTTATTGAAAATGTTAGAACTTCTCAACTTAGACCATAATTATTAATGGTGATTTTTACATTTAAATTATTATTGTTAAGATGACATGCATTTTTCGCATGTTTTAATTAATCATATTAAATATAAGTTTCATTCCTATATATTTTTAGATTTTTACTCAACTTAAACTGTTGTCATATTCATGGACTTTTTGAAAAAACTAGAGTACCTATATGTCAATTGTCAATAGTCAAAACAAGTTAAACATAACCTAATTTAATCATGTCCTGGTAGTGATGTCACCAATATAAGTTACTAGTTATAACTTTATTAAATATAATTTGGTGAGAAACTATCCCCTAAGCTTTCTTTCACTAAATAAACGTAATAATTAATTTGATTTGATTATTATAAGATAATCATTATGGTTGATTTTATGAAAAGAGCAATTGAATTGGCATCTGAAGCTTTAGAAGCACAAGAAGTGCCAGTTGGTTGCGTTTTTACCATGAATGGGCAAATTATTGCTGAATCAAGGAACACTGTGAATGTAACTCGTAATCCAACTAGACATGCTGAAATGAATTGTATTGACTATTTATTAGATTATTGTACCATAAATGAAATAAATCATGAAAGTTATTTTAAAACTGTAGTTGTGTATGTAACAGTTGAACCTTGCATTATGTGCGCAGCAGCTTTAAATAATTTAAAAGTCAAAGAAGTTATCTATGGCTGTGCAAATGACAGGTTTGGTGGTAAAACAGTGGTTAATGTTAATGAATTCTATGAAAAAAGTTACACTATTTCTGGTAACTTATTAGCTGATGATGCTATGTCTTTATTAAAATTATTTTATAAAGGTTCTAATCCAAATGCTCCTGATGCAAAAGTCAAAAAGAAAACTTAGTAAAAATATTAGTCACTACAAATATTATAAGTTTTAATTATTACTTTGCAGTTTGACATAACATAAATACATGTTAAGAACCACTCATAAGAATTTCAATTTTATTTATAAGTTGTAGTTATATTTAGCAAATGTGGAATATTACAATTTGATATTTAACAACATATTTAAATCAAATTAAGAATTTGTTGTATGTGGCCCTAAGTAGCATAATTATTATAAAACTTAAGAAAATAAACAAACCATACTTACTCTTAACATATTTTTATTTTAATTTAAAGGGAGACAAACTTAATACATGCACTTACAATATTTACATTTAAATACGACATATTCGATTTGAATCATTTAGAATTCTCTTTCTTTAACTTATGTCACCAATTATTTGAAATTATGCACTTAGTATCATAAAAAAAAATTGGTAAATTAAAAAATACATATAACAACATTCAAGTGAATGTATGCATTAACCAATTTCAAATTATTTTCAGTTTGTAAAGAATAGTAAATTTTCTAAATAATAGTATTTACATCTATGTGTGTGTGTGTCTATCATACATCATTAATCAAAAGATATTTAAAAACTACATTGTGCTTTGTTTGACAAAAGAATTTATGCTTAGTATTTATTAGTTTATTTTATATTATTTAAACAACTATGAATTATATATCCGTATAAGAAAATTAAAACCTAAATAGGTAATTAAAACTAAACCCTGAGACAGTGCAACATACTATCTTATAGTGGGTACTCGACTCAGTTTAACTTATCAGTTAATAAAACACTATAACAACATTTAACATTTAGACCAAATAATATATTAAAACTCTAATACAATATTCTTATCTTTACAACACTGTATAAATATAAAAGTGAGATCAGATTCATTCAATGGAACAAGTTTGTTATTAACAATAACATGGGAATAGTAGGAAAATCCTGCTATTATTTGTGATATTTTGTTTTTTTTTTTCAATTTATAACAATTAAAAAATATATACTTTTGTTATGACAAAAAAAAAGAAAAAAATTAAAATCAAGGGCAATTTGATTAACAACAACCATATGTTTACTAAAAGAACTACTAAAAGTCTTTTAGTAGTTTATAACTCATCATTTAGAAGAAAGTTAACATCTAAAGGAATAAAAAAATTACTAATTAAAATATTGTTGGTCCACTAAACCTAAGATGAGATCTCACAATTACATTCTTACAGTCTCCAAATTATAATATGAAATAAGACAATTGCAAGCCAAAGGCAAGAATTTACATATTACACGTTATGAATACTTTGTCATTTTACAAAAATTGTTACAAATAAAACTGTCAATTTCATCACATTAATGTAAAGTCAATCACTTGGGCTGTGGAATCCATTAACCAAAGGTAGGCCATTCTCAATGTGTTCACCATTTACTGGTGTAGGATCAGTAATGTCACCATTTTCCACTGTTGGTTCATGTTCTGGACTAGAACCACTAGAACTGCTACAGCTGTCTGAAGTAGAGGAACTATCACTCTCTGAATCTTCACTTGAACCTTGATTTCTTTGTCTTAAATGGTCATTCTCAAGCAATAGTTTTTCATTTGTTAGTTGAAGTTCTGCTATTTGCTGTTCTTGATCCTTTAAACGCATCATAATATCAGATAAAGAAGGTTCATCTAATGATCCAGAAACTATAGATGCACCAAATGTGTCTTTATCAGTTAACATATCATCCTTATCTGTTACTGATTCATCTTTAACGGCAGTATTTAGATCTTTGTCATCTTCTGTATCTTTAGCCCTATTGCGTTCACTTCTTTTAATTAAATTATCATATTTAGCTTCAAGTACAAGATATTCTTGAATTAATTCATTCTTGGACATATTAGATAATCGCTCACATTGAGCATCTTCATAGACACTTGAAAATTCTTTTGTTAAGTACTCTTCTTCATCCTCTGGAAGTGAGAAAAAATAATTTTCTTCAGAATCAACACTAAAACTGGAATCTCTTGTACGGGCAGATGGTGTTCTGAAAAGATGAAAATTATTTTCTGGTTCTGGCTTATGAATTTCCATTAAGAATTGGTTGTTATTAAAAGGTGCCTGAGTTTTTGATAAAACTATTTTCCGGAAGCGGTTGTTTCTTTTACTATTATCAAGTTTTCTTCTTTCTTGCCAAGGCATTTTAGAAAATGGTTTTAGGATTTTTCTTTTAGATTTCCCGCGCCTTCTCTTTTTTTTAACACTTCCTTCCACTTTACGTTTTGGCACTTCTAATATAGATGGCGCTTCCACTAAGACAAGGGCTCGGGTTGGATCGCCATCTTTTATTTCTGTTATGTTATTATCATCCATTCTTTAATTTAAAATATATACACAACACAATTTATAAATAATACAATATTTTCAACGACACTTGCACTTTAATCCGCTAACCCAGACGTATCATCAATAATGAACCTTTTTTATTCATTAGGATTCGTACTAGACACGACATCTCTAGTTTCGCCATATTTATTTTATAAGCTGCTTGTGATATTGGACTCCTTTTGTGAGCCTACTTTCGTGTTACCCATAACATAACAATATTGCCAGTATTAATATTACAAATGTATTTTATATGTAAGGATCATTTTATTATTATTTTGTGTGCGTCATAATGTCGGATTAATAAAAAGCTTAAATTTTGTTCTTTTTCTTTACTTAAGGAAGCAATATTCAGGTATCTAGTAAAATCCCATCGTCAATTCGTACCATTTGTAAAAACTTATAAACGAAAGGATGGATAACTTACAAAACTTACAATAAGTTTTACGGATTTTCCAATGGTATTAAAAACTATACATAAGCTACGTTTATAGCAAGTAGAATTAGTTTTACTAGCGTGGGCATGAAGCCAAGGGACACACATGGAAGGTGGCCCACCTACCCAACGACAAGAGATGTTCCCAGGCGCGGATCTAAAGTTAAATTTTTTGGAGGCGTCAGAGGCAAATATACATAGATATATTAAAACAATAACTTAGCAAAATCTGTACTTAAAATGTTTTTTAAAAACAATGACTGTAAGATGGTAACGTATAGTGTACAGAATATAGAACCCAAAAGAATTTTTTTGTCTGTAAGTCTGTTTGTCTGTGCGGTTTCACGCAAAAAGTACTGAACCGATTTTAACTAAATTTTGTGTAGTGAAAACTTATTACTCGAGCCAACATTAAAGATGCCTTTTAGTACAGGAAAATCTTTATTCCCTCGGGAAAAGACGATAAAAGGTTCTATTGAGTAATCCTTAGAAATTTACATGGCTAATGCTAGCTAAACCTTAACACGTTCAGTGCCACCGACTCGCCCTGCGAGTTTACGTTAATTTTATTCCAGTGCCGGGGACTCGCGCGGCGAGTTCAGTGTTTTTCGGTAATATTTTCAAAACGCTTCTGTATATTCTGTTCAAAATTACGGTGTAGACTTAATATGATGTCATGTTCACGTTTACATGGTGGCCTGGATGTAAAGAATTTTTTTACATTTAAAAGAAAACATTTATTCTGCAATGCCGTGAACTCGCTAGGTGAGTTCAATGCCGCAGATTCTCAAATTTTAACGTCGTCAACACCATAACTTCGATTTTTAGTAGGTTGATGTGGAGTTCACTGTAAAATGTAAATCTATATAAATAAAAATGAATCATCGAAATATATTTACACGCATAACTTCCGATCAACTGCACCAAATTGGATATTTCTTTTTTTTTTGTATTTTTTATTGTTAGGACAAGTTTCGTATAGAAGAAAATTAAAAGATTTTTTACAAAAAAAAATTTTTTTCATCTCGTATCGTATTATCTATTATTGTAAATAATATTAAATAATAATAAATAGGTACAATGTTGATTTATTTCAGTTTAAATTATTTTAAATACAAATATAATTGAATTTATTTCCTTTTATTATTAGAGTTGCATTAAAAACGAATGGTATACTTATATTTATAGAAGTTGATAACATATTCGTAAAACTAGGAGACAGCGTTAAATATTCAGAGCGAAATTGCTATTCAGAAATATTATTAGTACAAAATATAACATTAAAAATAACCACTGTATAAAAAGTTGACAACCACTGCCTAAATTACGAAACAAACTTACCTTTTATTTTATCCTTTGAGTTTTTTGCCATGTTTTTAATTTAAAACACACTGAATAGTCGTCAAACACTTTATACTTCCGATACAAACGTTACCGAGACTAAGACAGCCACAATAATAACAAAAGATAAATTTTACCCTTACATAATGCCAGTGAACTCGCGTGGCGAGTCCATTCAAATTATATTGTAGTGCCGGCGACTCGCTTGGCGAGTCCAACGTGAAATGTATGCGGCATCCGAGAAGACAACATGAAAATCGTAGTGGCATTGAACGTGTTAAGAGATACATCAAAAGAATGTACTAGAAAGTTGTAGGTCGTAAAAAGGCCTAAAAAAAATCTGAAATAGCATAAGCTTTTCTTCTAAGGTACACTCGCAGTATTTATATTTATTCAAAACATACCTACTACCTAGAGGGACGCACCCGAGCGAAGCGAGGGTAGTCGCTAGATATAAATAATAGAATTAAAATTAGTTTTATGCTTTAAGACCGATCGGAATCCGTTTATTTTTAAGAGAAAAAAATAATTTTAACCTGAAGTTTTATGGCTTTAAAACGTTAACAGTTATATAAGGAACAAAAATCCGTAAAATTCCCTCGCTGCTGTCCATCGAGAAATGAAGATATGCAAACCGTTAATAGTTTTTTTTTTCAATTTCCGGCTTACTGTGACATCCTATCGAAAAAAGTACTTTACAAAAGTTGGAGATCTATTAAAACTCTACAACTTTTATAGATCACAATTATTTTACAATAACCTCAAAGTTTTCGAGATATTTCCAAAAAACACCGTTTTTCAATTTTTTCTGGTTTTTTATTTTTAATTTCTACAATCATTTTGATTTTCATGTAACTAGCGGAATATAATCTTCGAAATACAAATAATAACCAAAATTTTTTGTAAAATTGAAACGTTTAGCCGTTTCCGAACAAAATATGTTTTATGATCTCGAGAGGTTGAAAATCACCCCCTTTTTTTTTTTTTTTTTTAACGTTGGGAAATGCATTTACGCACGATGTGTGGGACTCACCGGCGAAGCCAGTACTACCCACTAAAACCCAACAAAACCTTCCCCCATCTTAATGGGGCGTCGCAGGATCGCTTACGCATTCAACTACGACGCCCCGACGGCAGGTCTGCCGAAGCAGACCACAACAACCACGGGGTTGCTCCACGGTCCACTCTGCTATCAGAGAAGTACCAGGAGCAACCCGCATGGTACACCACCCTCCGAAGAAGGCCGCCTCCTACCGCCCACCGAAGCGGGCCACCTCCCTGTGCGTTTCTTGGCTTCGCGAGTACACTACTGAGCCCCCCCACCACGACAAGGTGAACGCACATTGGGGGGGTGAAAATCACCCCCTACTTAAAGCGGATAAATCAAAAAAAAAAAATTGTTGTTCTATTTTAAGAAAGGGCTAATATTTTTCGGCTAAGCGTTTCAATTTAAAAAAAAAATGATATGTATTTCGAAGATTATATTCCCCTTGTTTCATGAAAATCAAAAAGTCAGGTTTTATTGATTGAAAGAGGTCTGCTTTGGTAGACCTTGCGGCGCCTCATTCTGACGGGGAAGATTCCGCTGAGTAGTACTGGTTTTTCGCGTTGGTCTGATTGTAACAAGCGCGGATCCAGGGGGGAGGGGGGTCATGACCCCCTCCAAAGCCAAATATACTTTTTAGAGAAGTTTGAAGTCTAAGAAAGGAAAGAATAAACGGATAAACATTTCGATTTAATAAAAATTGTTATTATATGTATTTTGAAGATTATATTCCCCTAGTTTCATGAATATCAAAAAGTTTTTGCAGAAATGTATATACATATAATAAAATTGTAACTAAGTCGAATCTGTACATTAAACATTTTTTGGAAAATCTAATTGAAATAGACATTATTATCGATACAGAGACCGAATATATAGTTTTTAGAATTTTTATCTTTCTGTCTGTCTGTTACCGCATCACGAGAAAACCACTAGACAGATTTTGATGAAATTTATATAAAGAATATTTTTCGATAAGATGTCACAACAAGCCAGAAATTAAAAAAAAAACAATTTTAGTCAACGTTTTTTGTTCCTTATATACCTGCTAAAGTTTTAAAGCCATCCACCAGCAACACCTCCCCATCAATAGAAAACTTGATCCGCGCCTGGTCAGATTTTGCTAAGTTACTGTTTTATTATATGTATATTTCAGCTTATGACCCCCCCCCCCAAAATTTAACTCTGGATCCACGCCTGGATTGTAATGCATTATGCAGGTCGTATGCCGTCACCCGTCAGTGTCGTGGTTGAGTCCGTATGGCTAAGCGATCCTGTGACGCCCCATTACGATTCTGTTGGGTTTTAGTAGATACTTTTTTAGGCTTTTTTTGTTAGGCTTTTTTAACTGGTGAGACCCGCATAATCACTTGTATGTTTGCAGATGGGATGCGTAAATGCATTTTCGAAGTCCCAACAAGTTTGACATACTGTTGTGTTGACATATGACATTACACATTTAAAGATGTCATTTGTCAGTTTATACTTTATATTTGTCAAATGAAAAGAAATGAAAACGTTATTATAATTTGTGTATTTAAAGCAAAAAAAAAAAAACAAAACCAGACCAAAATTGCAAATTCATAAAATTAGTATCTAGCTGCCAATACAAGATATTTTTTTATTAGAACATGGCCGATGATATTGTGTTCGAATTGTTGCATTCTGAAATAATAAATTATACGTTAGAACAACCAAGAACCAGCAATGGTAGTAAAGTAAGTTTAAAGTTTTTATTTGTCACACAAAATACCTTTTCATGTAAAAATCTAGATTAGGTTGATGTAAAAAAAGGATACACCTAACTACCCTGTTGAAAAACTCCAATAGAATCCCATCAAAAGCGACAAAAGCCACATAGAAACCAATAAATATGTATTGGTTGCTATGTGGCTTTTGTCGTTTTTGATGGGATCCTATTGGAGTTTTTAAATAGGGTATCTTCTATTTTTATACAAATTTCTCAGGAAGTCGATTTATCTGTTGTGGAATATATTGGTTTTGCTGCTGGTTATAAGATAATGGAGAGATTAACTAGAGAATGGCCACGTTTTAAAGATGAATTGGACACTATGAAGTTTATTTGTACAGACTTTTGGACATGTATTTATAAAAAACAAATTGATAATTTGAGAACAAATCACCAAGGTGTTTATGTGCTTCAAGATAATGCATTTAGATTTCTAAACAACTTTTCAAATGGGCATCAGTATTTGGAGTATGCACCAAGGGTAAATTATTTAATTTCTATTTCTTATTTTAACATTAAAATTCTGAGATAGTATATCTATTAAAGCACTGACTTACATCAATAACACACTTTTTTATTATTTGCTTTTTTAAGATGATGGAAAGTGAAAAATACAATATTCTACTCTCTATGCTCAATTCACAAGTTAAATTAGTAATAATTAGATTATTCTCCTCGCCTAATAAAAATCTTTTTTTTTCAGTATGTGGCATACACATGTGGTCTGATAAGAGGTGGTCTGGCTAATCTCTGCATCAATAGTATTGTGACAGCTGAAGTTCAGTCAATGCCTTCCTGTAAATTTCATATACATGTCCAAAGAACATAAAAAATAATTTAAAATATGTATTTATTAATTTACATTTTATATTCTCCTTTATATATAATGCTTTATTAGAACACCTATATTATAATAAACCTTGACTGTAAATTTTCCTCAACTACACAATAAAAGATTGTATAAGTTATAAAAGTATTATCAGGTAGAGGTTTTCCATGAAGCAGGCTTAGCATTATCATAGATAGTAGCAAGCACCATTAAAGTGCCTATATAACATAAAGCGACAGTAGTCCCATAGAGAATACGATCACATAACCCACGCTTCAGCCAAATTGGTTTACCATCTTCACACTGAAAAGAAATAACGGGGAAATATGAATATTTTGATGTAGGTATCAAAAACTATATCAAGTTTAAATATTTTATGGTAAATTTATCGTTAAATCATTTTTGATGAAAACCCTAGCAGCATGCCCCTATTTCGCCTACCAATTTTTCCAAACAATCATGCCTCCTCTATTCACCCTTTTTGGAGTGAATATTAAAAAAAGTTGCTTAGCAATTATGTCATTATAAGAATAGACTGGTGATCCTTTGAGTACAAACTTTAAGAAAAATTTTAATTTCATTTTCCCCTTTACTTTCCAAGCAAATGTTTCATAAAATAAATAGCTAATATTGTTTACAAAATGGCTGAACAAATTTAGATGAAAATTGGTATGGAGATAGTTAAATTTATAAGTTCAGAATGTTTAGATGATGGATTTTCTTGATAACTTGCATCCATCAAGTGTTTATTAAACGTGCTGTACGAAGGTACTTTTAAGTTTATCAGCACAAAATAAGGCGCGTTTAAAAAACGTGTCGTGCATGGTCCCGGCCTATATGCCGGTGAGGACTGAGAAATAAAGTCTCACTCGGATCACATATGTCTTATTGGCTATGTCGTATTATGTCTACATAATATATATTTTGTAACATTGACAATTTATTAATAAGAGAATTGCCAATTGAAAACTATTGGAAGTAGGGAAGTGTCAAGTGAGGATTGTTAGTAGCTTTTTGTCATAATTATTTTCTCCTAAGTAAGCCAATATAGGTATGTAGGTATATAATAAATATGTGAATATTACGCATTGTTTATATATCCCTAATATAGATTTTCAAAATACATATATAATATGAAATAAGTATACAGTACAGAAACAAAATTAGAATATTACTTACTTGAAAATCCGCTTGGAGTTTTTTTAATTTAACTAGTGTACTCGATCGCCTAATGAAAATTATTGCAGTAGTTTTGTTTGCTATGGATGTTGTATTCTAAAAATGAAATTGTTTAGCATTACAGCATTAAAATCAAGCATCAACATCAAACAGCTGTTTAGCCGGATTTTAATAGAACTTATTTTAACAAATAACTAGGATTTTGTTTAAATACTTATGCTGTGCTACGTTTAATTTCAATCAAGTAAATCGAGAAGATAGATAAAAAGGCAAGTTATTGCTAGCAGCTCTATTTACAAACGCTGTTGCCCACAGTACCAATATAATTTAACTTACCCTCAAAATGCCCATCATCTTGGTTTCGATCTATTTAAATTGTAAACTTTCAAATTAAAAAATGGTCTTTTAATATTATATGTTGACTTTCAACGAAAATAATAACTGTGACAGCTGTTTTATAAAATGCCAATGCTTTAAAATAATCAAGAAATCAACCTTTTTTTTTAAATAAATCAACAACGCAAAACGGTGGCGTATATATGTATTATCGGCGTGAGACAAATTTCAAGTATAGTCTTTCCAGTTTTCCCGCTGAGCTGTGTTTGAAAACTGTTCTCAAATTTAAAATTTTGACTTCCACTTTTCTAAGGTTTCTACAACACCAGGCTGTAAAAACTTTAGAAAAACGGAAGTCGCTTCGCTCGGGTGCTTCTCTGATGAATAGTTATTACAATTATTGCGAGTGTACTTTAGGAAATAGACTTATGCTATTGTGGACTTTTCTGTAGACTTTTTTAAGACGTGTAACTTTCTACTACATTGTTTTGATGTACCTCTTAAGCTTTAGTCAGCGTTAGGCATATAAATATTTAAGGAAGACTCGAAGAAGACAGAACCAGTTTTTGTTTTTTCCCGTGGGAATTAAACATTTTCCTGCAGTAAAAGGTATCCTAAATGTTGACCCGAGCAATAAGTTATCGCTACACAGAATTTAGTTAAAATTGGTTTAGTACTTTTTGCTTGAAATGCACACAGGCTCACTAAACCTGCCCCCAGGATATTATTTTTCTAATTTTTGAATTTTTATTTTCACATAACGTTTGTTCCTAATTGTTTGTTCTTGATTGTTCGCCATAAGTAATTGTTTGTTCGTAAATTATTTATAAATAATTCAACAAAAATGTACCCTCAAAATAGCTTATAATTTTACTTGTTACTGAAACGAAAAATAAGCACTTTGACGATAGAACGATCGTATTTTATAAACGAACAAACATTTATGAATAGTTAAAGACTACTCTAGTAACAAGAAAAAGTATAAATTTAGATTAAGGGGGCTATATTTTGAGTACACATTTTTGATTATTCTATACATTTAATACATACAATAAAGTGAAATCATGAGTCAGGGGATGTAAACTTTTAAAACTTTTAAAAAAAATCTGGATTTGTTCTATGACTATTTCTCCTCAGAAATAGAACAAATCCAGTTTTTTTTTTTTCAAAAATTTTTGTTCTCTGTTTGTCTATTTGTACCTACGGGCTAACCTCCGAAACTGTTGGACCAATTTAAATGAAATTTTGCATGGTTGGTACCTTATATTCCCGATCAACATTTTAGATACTTTTCATCCCGGAAAATTAAAGAGTTCCCGTGGGATAGTTAAAAAACTATAGTAACTTATAGGTACAGCTTAGTACACAACAACTTATGAACCTAATTTAGTAAAATTGGGCATGCCGATACCTTATATTACCGGTCAAACAAAAGCTTACTTTTTATCCCGGAAAAATGAACGATTCCCGTGGGATAGATCTGTGCTTTTGTAGAGGCGAACCCGAGCGAAGTGTGGGTGAGCCGCTACTTATTTATAAATAATTTGCGAACAAAAAAATTATTTATAGCGAATTATCCAGAACAAACTATATGTGAAAATACAGATTAAAAAATCAGAAAAATGTCAAAATAAATGAAAATTAATTATACAAAAAATAGGTACTTTGACGATAGAACAAACGTAACATATACTATAAACGAACAAACATGAATGAATAGTTAAAGACTACTAGTAACAAGAAAAATTATAAATTTCTATTATGAGGGCTATTTTGATGGAACATCTTCGTATAATTAATTATTTACAAATTTGGAAAAAAATATCATAAGGGGCCAGGTTTGGTGAGCCTGTTGTAGGATCTATTCCGTATATGGAGCGTAAAGGTAAGAAGGAGTCACTATATATGTGTATATGAAAAAGTGTCCGTCAAAACGCGTCCAATAAGGGTAGTGCTGCGGTAGCGTAGGATAAATTTTAAAGAAAGCGCCAAATGTAATTAGGTTATGATAGAGAAATAAACAAGGAAGGTTATATCTACTAAATTATTTTAGACTACGTAATTAGTTAAGGTTTTGTATACTGGTATTCCATTAACTGTCTCGGTGGTGTAGTGGCTAGCATGTACGGCTGCACATCCGGAGGTCCTGGGTTCGAGTACCGGGTCGGGCCAAGTTTAGTTATTGAGTCTTCCTGTATAGTAAGTCTCAGTAACAGCCCGGAGTTGGGAAGATGGCGGTGTTTCACCCCCGTGCCTTGGAGAGCACGTAAAGCCGTCGGTCCTGCGCCTTAACTCTCACCGGTCGTGTCGAGTGGTCGTCCCACCGGAGTATGAGAGTGATAGGAATAGAGAGTGCACGTTGTGTCTGCGCGTACACTTGAGCACTATATTATCTCCTGCGCAGTTGGCTAATGTCATTGAAATTGGCCGCCGTGGCCGGAATCGGCTAGGAGAACATCATTCTATTAACTATTTTATTCATGAAAAATTATAAATTGTTGAATTCAGCACACTTCGTCTACAAGTTACAACAGCTAAAATCATTGCATTGTTTTGTATACGCCAGCGCCATCTAGTTTCAGCATACAGATGGACACTTCTTCAACTTATCTCCCGTATAAGAGACTCCTCCATACCTCTACCCTCCATGATTCCGTATAATAATAATACATCACAGTCAAGTTTTTAAAAAATATTTAAGGGTTACATACTCTATAATATACATATTTTATTATATGTATGGATGTAATAAATTTCTTATCTAAAATATAATATATTTTATATTAATATTTTTCATTTAAAAGTGAAGCAATAGTGTTAAATTGCTACCTCTGTGATGTAGTGGCTAGCATGTATGGCTTCTCACCCAGAGGTCCTGGGTTCGAGTCCCGGGTCGGGCCAAGTTTAGTTATTGAGTCCTTTTGTATAGTAAGCCTCAGTAACAGCCCGGAGTTGGGAAATTGGCGGTGTTTCACCCCCGTGCCTCGGAGAGCACGTAAAGCCGTTGGTCCTGCGCCTTAATTCTCACTGGTCGTGTCGAGTGGTCGTCCCATCAGAGTATGAGAGACGAGAGTGACAGGAATAGAGAGTGCGCCTGTGTCTGCGCGTAAACTTGTGCACTATGATATCTCCTGCGCAGTTGGCTAGTCTTAATGAGATTGGCCGCCATGGCCAGAATCGGTCAGGAGAACATCATCAGTGTTAAATTGATTTTAAATAATAGCAAACTAATCAAACATTATTATTTTTGACTTTTTTTTAACCTTTTTTTACTTTTTAAATTACTGTGTGTGGCTTGAATAATTAATATTTCATTTTCTTTATGTTTATAAATATAATAATAGCAACATTAAATAAGATTCCTTAAAATATTAATAAAGTTTTGCTAAGAATTAATTAGAGTAGTAACGTAAAATATTTATTTACAGAAAAAGTAAAATTAAAACGTTAATAAAGTCTGTTACTAGGTGACATGAAGAAAGACCATAAATTAGTGTCAAAATAAAAACTTAGTCTATGCCCAAAACTTTCTGACGCATACTTTTTGATTGGCGCTCTTTTACTTCGTGCCTCCTTCATTCGCTCCGCTCTTTCAATTTTACAGAAAATGGCTACCGAAGAATTGGTGACTGAGCAATTTCAATTTTTAGGTATAGAAGTATCAAAAGAAGTTTTAAGTAAATGTGAGTAAACAATAAGATACCTAAATATGATATACCGAAACGCCGAAACTTCTTACAAACTTATTCAAAAGTTAAAACTTAGTTGTTGTTAGTAAAGTTATAACGCTAAGAAATTAACGTTCAAGGTTGTTCTGATATTCATTTCTTTTTAGGTGTAAGTCTATGTACAGAATATAGTGTAGATGCTGAAACATTTATCGAACAATGGATGGCATTCAGTTTAACGACATTAAACGGCGCACCGCCAACTTTAGAAAACTTAGAATTGCTTGCAAAGAGGGAATTTTCCAAACGTTCGGCGATCCAGCCTAACGCTGTTAGTAACGAACTCTCAAGTACCGGCAAAAGTTTGACTGTATATGGAACGTATGGAACACCCGACGTTATACAGTATCCTTTTCGACATTTGCACGTGTTTATGTTACTTACAATTATTTTTTGTTGTTGATATTAGTATATATGTAATCCCAGTTGTAGTATGTATGATAACAACTTTTGTATTCTTTTTTGAGATATCCTTTACTAATTTTAGTATGGCCATTTGGTCTTTTTATATTGAGCAACAATAATTTCTTAAAATTTAGATCAGAAAATGAAGTCTTATCGAATTATATGACTGGCACTCCAAAGGTATGTACATCTATATTGAAACATATACATGGAATGTTTTTGACATTTTCACTTTTAAATTTTAATAAATAAATTTAGGTGTCTGTAGCATCAAGCATGAGTGTTTATGAATGTATTTATGTGATGGAAAATGCTATGATGATGATAGAAGAAATTGGCTTTTGCTATCAGTCAATGGGTATAAGTCTAGTACCACAGTGCAGTTTTGTGACTAGATCTACACTCATTGATTGCTTGTGAAATATCAACAGAAGACTACTAGAAGAAGTTCAGATTTAAAGAATTTTGAGCCTATGTAAACTGCATATTATTGCATAAAACTTGTTTATTATTTTTTGTTTTGACATTTGTTTTGCTTTTGAAATCCATCCACCAGTTCCAGAGTTGGAGTTATAAGTATTTTTATTAATCTTGTTGTGAAACAAGTTAAGATGTAGAAACCAGGGGAAACTAGCAAAAGAACTGGCTAACTTTGTACTTTATATTTGTTTTATACAATTACATACATTTTGTTTTTAAATATATTTTATTGCAACTATTTTGACTTGATGATCTTTGTGGGCGAGTTTGCTTCTGGTTCATGTCTCAGTAACATCATGACTAGATCCATACTCGTCTGCAGCCATCAACTCGATCAACGACAATTCTGTCTATGTTACAAAGGATTCAATTCTTTAAATATAGAAAAGAAGTATTTGGTTTCAAATAGCTAGTTTTTACATAAGTATATTTAAAGTGTTTTATTGCATTTATAAGTAGAGTTAAAGTTAAAAAAAATATATAATTTTATTTACTGATAAATAATATCAATAGTAGTATAATTTTATAAGTAGTGTTGGTTTTCTTATCAAAATAAATATTGATAGGTACTTCTTATATGTCTTATAATTTATCTACAGGGCTATGTTACTGTTATTAAGGAATATGTTTCAGAGAATAAGGGTAGAAGAGACAGAGCAGGGTAAACCTCATAATAATGAATTGTGTCCTGCAACATACTCCCCCAATGTGTAAGTATGTGATACAAATTAATGATAGGTATAAGGGTCTTCAGGAACTTAAATTCTTTTAAAAATATATGAGAAGATTCTTGTCGTATATTTGTGCTAATTTTCTATTTCCTAGACACAACTTATTTACGACTTTGATTTTTTTAAATAAAACTATCTTTTCGGATTATTTCGCGGATTTATTTTGATTTTTGGTTCCCGACGTTTATATATTTAATAATGTCAAACATTCGCGTAAATCTAAAAAAGTTATGTCATAAATTAAAAAATGTATCGAGTGGTGTGTATTAGTATTGATCATACAAATCTTTAACAAAAATAATCAACTTCTCACTGTTTCACTCACCATTTCTCATTGAGATTAATTATGTACACAATATTATACTGTAACCGTAGAGCATTTCCTAAAACTAACTCTTTGGTTTAGTGGCTAATGTGTATGGCTGTAGGTCGGAAGGTTTTAGGTTTAACTAGAGATTTTTTTGTCTCTAAATAGCACAAGTTAGGGAGATAGCGGCTTTTGCAGTCTCAAAAAGCTCATTATGTTGTGGGGCCTGCGCCTTATTTTTAAGATTTTTCGTCTCGGCGGACTTTAAATTCCGTTCTCTCTAGTTTTGTGGAACATAGAATGCACTATATACTTTCTGTAAAGTGTATACATTTGTGCACTATAATAATTATTCTATATTAATATTAAAAAAGATACAGAGTTTGTTTGAACGCGCTTATCTCAGGAACTACTTATACGATTTGAAAAATTCTTTTTACATTACATAGCCTTTTTATTGAGAAAGGCTATATGCTACATATCACCATGCCACTAACCAAGGGAGTGGAGCAGTAATATATAGTGTACCTAAACCATAGTCCATACTAACCGTTAAAACGTACTTAGGGACGAACCCGAGCGAAGCGAGGGTGCCGCTAGTATGTTATAAGATTGGTTTTAACTGCCTCGGTGGTGTAGTGGCTAGCATGTACGGCTGCACACCCGGAGGTCCTGGGTTCGAGTCCCGGGTCGGGCCAAGTTTAGTTATTGAGTCTTCCTGTATAGTAAGTCTCAGTAACAGCCCGGAGTTGGGAAGTTGGCGGTGTTTCACCCCCGTGCCTCGGGGAGCACGTAAAGCCGTCGGTCCTGCGCCTTAACTCTCACCGGTCGTGTCGAGTGGTCGTCCCACCGGAGTATAAGAGTGACAGGAATAGAGAGTGCACTTGTGTCTGCGCGTACACTTGAGCACTATAATATCTCCTGCGCAATTGGCTAATCTCATTGAGATTGGCCGCCGTGGCCGGAATCGGCTAGGAGAACATCATAAGATTGGCCACCTTGACTTAAATCGGTTATGAGGTATATGCCCAAACTATCCTTTACTTAGGCTTAGTTACAAATTTTAAATCGATTTTAATTCTGATGATACACAGTTCTGTAATAGCAAAATTAATATAGACGATTATGAAACAGTTTTAAAACAAACTGAAACGGTTATAACGGCTTAGGTATAACTTACACCACCTGTAGGTACCTAAAGAGAGAGGTATCAAGTAGGTACTTTTCTGAGGCACATAATTTACTTATTACCACCCGACAAAGAACTAAGACATTTTCTTGAAGTCTAGTACCGTAATGTCCAAAAGTGCGGTGAACAGATATTTAATTGTATTTCATTTTCCTTTAAAGGGACTAGTTTCAATAAATATTAGCTAACCTAATTGTATTTTTTAACTGTTAATATTACGAGGACAATAAATTAATTACGAAACATTTATTGAAGGACGACATATAATTATTATAAAATTTTCTAGCACAATGATTGAAAAATTATGTAACTATATGTATGAATAAGTCGGTGCTGTGAGAAGAGTGGGCGGGCCTTACGTCATTCAAATTTCCATGAATTATATATTGCATTGTTTTTTTGCTGTTTTTCTTTTACTTAGGCTTGTCGTCTTCACGTACGTTCAATGTACACTTATTACATAATATATTAAATTATGACGTGTACGATGAACGTACGTCAAGTTTAATCACAATTCACAAGCATATTTTTAATGGTTTAATTTTATATCTATCAAAATAATAAAATCTTTATATAAAATAAATATAATATGTACTATATAATTAATTTTACAAGGATTTTAATTGATTAATCTACCAATATTATAAAGATGCAGAATTTTTTGGTTTGAGCGCACTAAGCTCAGAAACTACTATCTTATTTGAAAAATTCTTTTCGCATTAGATAGCCCGTTAATTCCTCAATAGGAAGGCTGTATGCTATATTATATCGTCATACTACTACCCAAGGGAGCTGAGCGGATTAATCATAATTGTCAATAAATCTGGCAGTATTCCATACATTATTGTAAAACTGATGTTTTTAATATGTTTAAATACACTATACTATACTGAGCTCATTTCAAAAACGCCTTTTGCATAAAGCCAAAGAGTTTTTTTGTAGTTTTAGCAAGCAAAGCTGCGGGTTCCGTTAGTAAATGTATATTACCTCTTAAGTAAATTTCTAAGAAATTAATTAAATTTCTAAGAAATCTATTGTTAACTGTAACGCCGGCGTGTCCGCGGTCGAGGAGGGAATAAAATTGTTTTAACCTAAGTACGAAATTGTATAAACTAATGGCTGATTTTAAGTGCGCAAAAGTTTTTAAAGAGCGACTTTTGAGCTTCTCGCCGGCTCTTCTAAATTTCTTTAAGAGTTGATGGGTGCTTCCTCACGAATTAATACTTACGTTTAATTTAAATGAAAAAATGGCCATTCAGAGGTGCTTGTAAAAGTAGTTGAATAAAATACGTATAAAACACACATTCACATTCAAAAAACAAATACTTTACGGTTCTAAGTTTTTATTTTGGGGGAAGTAAATTATTTAAGGCCCTGTCCGCACTGCAATTGATATTTTTTTTTTCCGCGTGAATTTTTAACCGCCAGTGCGGATACTCCTATAAGATTCAATGTGTTAAAGAATTGCGAGAATAAAAACGTGCGGTGAAATATCGCAGTGCGGACAGGGCGTAATTGAATCTGAAAAAATCTATGATTTGATGCAAATTGAACGCGATGCGGCGCGGATATATTTCCACGCGAATGTTTTGTACAGTATATAGAAGTATGGCTATGGCCGCACTGCGAAATAAAATTCGCGCGTTTCGCTCAGTCGTGCACCGACGCTATTGGTTTATCGAATGATTTTGTAGTCATTCTGTAATATCCGAAAAACTTTTTACTGTATTTTCGCAGCTCTTGATATTTAATGTAGAAAAACATCATTTTAGATTACTAAAATGTCTCAGTAGATATAGTAGATTTATCATTATAGACGTTTGTCTCCGTCGGGAACTGCATCAAACTGACAAAAATCGTACGAAATTTTATTCGCAGTGCGTAATATGTACAATTTCGATCACGGAATATAATACGCGAGAATAAAAATCGCGCGGTGATATATCGCAGTGCGGACAGGGCCTTATTGAATTAGAAACAAGAATGTTTTTTAGAAAAATATATACCTATGTATAATAAATATTTTATAGTGATCATTCAGGAAAGTACAATTCACGGACAAACCAAGGTTCAGTAGTGCATTCGTACGGGGATGAGAAACTTTTGGGCGCTATCGCCACGCCCACTGGAGTAAATGACATGCTCGATTTGAACGTATTTCAAATACCTAACGATGATGGAGATTTGTATACTAAAGCAATGTAAGTATGTTATTTATAAAATATACTTTAAAAAATATCTTCAATAAAACAAAAAATCAGCAAAAGTATTATTTAGTACAAGTTATTAAATGATATTTTTTTTAATATTTTCCTCAGGTTTGGCTTTGAACTGCTTCACGAAAAAGCTGGTATTTTTGATAATCACATACGGTATATATCGCAATGTATCATGAAAAAGAATGGTATTACTGAGTTGACTTCAGTTAGACACAAAACGCAGGTAACCTACCTTAGAAAATCTTGTTTTTATGAGAATATGAATAAATTAAATAATAAAAATTTAAAAAAAAACTGGCTGCGTAAAAAGCTAACTAAAAAGGAGGGAACAAAACAAGCAACGCCAATAGTAGCAAAAGCATTTTTAATATCGTCTTTAACTTTTTTAGACTCAAAAAGTTGTATTACAATTTAATGATTTAACGAGCCTATTGCTTGCAGACCGAAGTATACGTAGCGGGACGCATTGAGTGCGATGCTGATGCGAGACTCAACTCCAAGAGTGTAGTGTTACAAGGGACGTGGGAGGAATCCCTCAGCCAAGCTGTACCGGTTGATTTAGACAGGTATTCTATAAAATAATAAAAAAAAATTAAATGTGGCACTCGGAGACTGCCGCGGTAAAGCTATTGCATAGCATTTTTTATCAACTTATGCAATTATAATTTATTTTTTTATTAATGCAGTATTTTTTTTCCTTGACTTTCTTTATTAATAAATGCACTTTGTTTATTCATATTTAAAACACTTAGTACACAAATTATACGAGTACAGATATTCACTGTTGTACATAGATGATAAATACCTATACACCTATATACTTTCTCACAAACAGCTGATTACGGTAGTTTTCAAATACAACCAATGCCACCTAAAGGCGGGTTGCTGAACTAAAGAGACAAGCGTGATATTTCAAAAAATCATTAAAAGTTCGGGTATTTATCGATAGATGGAAAAACTAAAAAGTATCACCGCTGTGCCGGTCGGAGTAGGGGGTGTCAGGTTTTTTTCGTTACGGAATTTCTGGATTCGGTCCCCACGCTCAAGGCCCGCGATAGAAGCTATGCAATAGCTTAAAACTATAATGAGGTCTGAAATGTTTATTGAAAGGAGATTTAGTAGATACGAGTTTCTACTTTTTCCAAAAAATAATAATTTCTATAAAAAAATATAAAGAAATCGTTTTTTAAAATTGAAATTAAAACTAATATCAAATTTAATGAAGAAAATATATTAGTTTATATAAAAATATTTAATAAAACTATCTTTTCGGATTATTTCGCGGATTTATTTTGATTTTTGGTTCCCGACGTTTCGAATGCTTTACAGCATCCATGGTCACGGGAGAGACTGAGGTGTTACATGTCTTGAATGTATAGTTGTTACAGACAGCCTACCCACAATTAACAAAATGAAAATTGCACCAATTACATTACAATATTTTTTAACTTTAAACATTTTTATAATTTTAATTATAATTGAATATGGAAAATTATTTATTTAATTTTTGCTATTATTTTTATAATTATTACAATTTTAAAATATTAATTAGTAATCTATATTTAGTGTTGCCATTATTATATTCATAACCATAAAGAAAAATATAAAATATAGTATTAATTATTTAAGCCATATTATTGTACTATGTGTAATTTAAAAAGTTAAAATTAATTAAGGATAATAATTTTAATTTAGTTTGCTATTATTTAAAACAACTTACTAAGCAACACTATTAATATCTACTTTTACAAATGAAAAATATTAATCTGATAAGCTGTCATTTTGATCTACACAGTATGAACTTACTACATCTGCCTGTCTGTTATGTTTATATTTATTATTTGATTTTATTATATTAATAACAGGATCCCATGACGATGGTAGTACCCAGCCATCTTCCCTATTGAAATTTTGGATGTTTTTTAATTTCTATGGCTTCTCGAATCATTCTAGGGCGATATCGGTTTTCTTTCGCCAGGATTTGAGGTCTATCGAAACGAATATAATGGCTTGGGCGGTCCTGGCTATGTTTGCAGACAGCAGATGTTGTATTGCGACGGTGTTTCACATCAGCTATGTGTTCTTTGACCCGTGTTCTAATGGATCGCTTTGTTTGTCCAATGTAAGAGAGCCCACAATCACAATCAAGTTTGTAAACTCCTGCATCTTGTAGAGGGATGTGGCACTTGACAGGTGATAAGAACTGACTAATTTTCTTTGGTGGCTTGAAGTAGGTTTTAATTGAAGCTCGCTTTAGAATGTAGCCAATCTTGTCAGTGACTCCTTTCATGTATGGCAAGACTGCAGGGACGCGCTCGACTGTGGCTGGTTTCACTCGGTCACTGTGACGCAGGCGTGGCACTTGCAGCTTGTTGTCACGCAGAACTTGCTTGACATGTTGCAGTTCTCCGGCCAGGTGTTGCTCGTCACAGATCCCGCGCGCTCTCTGAAACAAAGATTTTCCCACGGTAGCTAACTGTGAAGGATGGTGGTGAGATTCATCATTCAGGTACCTATCAGTATGGGTCTTCTTTCTATACACAGTATGACTCAAGGTGTTATCTGGATTACGTTTAACTAATACATCTAGGAAAGCTAAGGTATTGTCCGATTCTAATTCCATTGTAAATTGTATTTTAGGATTTATAGAATTAAGGTGTTCTAAGAATACAGTTATTTTATCAGATGGTAATATTGTGAAAGTGTCATCTACATACCGCTTGTAGAAACAAGGGGTCACGGGTGATGTGTTCAGAGCAGTCTCCTCGAAGTCCTCCATGAAGATGTCGGCTACGACGGGGGAGACTGGCGAACCCATGGCCACTCCATCCACTTGCCTATAGAATTCACCATTCCACAGTAGATAGCCGGATGTTAGGCAGTGTTTTAAAAGTCAATGTATTCTATTGACATGTTGTGATCTAGTAGCTTCCTAGATATTATTTCAATACAGTCTTCCACTGGTAGGCTGGTAAATAAAGACTGTACATCGAAACTAACCATTGTTTCATTGTCCATGAGTTTTAGGTGTTTAACTTCATTGACAAAATGGTAAGAGTCCTTTGTGAACGCTCTTGTTAATCCTCTGAGTGGTGAGAGTACTTTTGCTACTAGTTTAGCCAATTTGTAAGTCGGTGAGTCGATCTGACTCACAATTGGACGTAGCGGAGCGTTAGTCTTGTGTATTTTCGGAAGTCCATACAACTTAGGTGGTTTTGCACATGATGGAATAAGATTTTTAACATCAAGATTTAATGTGTCGGAGTGTTCCTTAATTAGCTTTTTAGTATTATTTAAAATAGTGGTAGTTGGATCCGTTTTAACCTTTTTGTACGTGCTCTCGTCCGACAAAAGTTGTTTTATTTTATGATTATAATCTGATGTATCCATCACAACGGTTGCATTTCGTTTGTCTGCGCGTAGAACGGTGATGTCTGACCTATTGCGTACGTTCTTCAACGCTAAATACTCTTGTTTATTGAGATTTGGTTTGGGCCTAGTACTGCGACGTAGTAAAGACGAAACATCTTGACGTATGGCCTCCATATCCTCAGTTTTCATAATGTTTTGGGCGCATGTAATGCATGGGCGCAAATAATGTTTTCATAAGGAATGCGCGTAGGCGTTACAGCAAAATTCAAACCTTTATTTAGTACCCGAATAGTAGGTTCGTCCAACGTTTGTTTTGACAGATTGACAACAGCTTGAGGTCCGCACGAGTGTGTATCTGTGGTAGACGGGCGCGTTCCGTTATACTCTATGGTTTTCTTTTTCTTTTTGATGTTTAATTTTTCAACGAGTTTTTGATATTTTAAAATATGTTTAATTTTGCACTGATTATATTTGGTTGTTTCACGCTTATTTAAAGTTTCAATGCAATCGTTGAAATCAGATGGTGTCAATACTGTCTTAACAATATTAGACGTCTGTTCAATGTCCCGGTCGTTTCTGCGTAGATCGCGGCGATTTTGTCGAATCACTGTCCGTAACAACTTAAAACTTGCCTGGTTTACGATCTTAGCGCTTCCTCGTATGTTCTTTTTTGGAAGATATTTTCACACACGTAGGAATGAGACGATGATCACGACATCTCTTCAAGAAAGTTAACGATGTTAATAATCTTGCGCGCTTTGTCTTTAGATCTTCTAACCGGCGTATCTTGTTTGCGGTTTCCAGTCCGTACTGGTTCACATAATACTTTCTTAGATTTACGCGAATGTTTGACATTATTAAATAAAACTATCTTTTCGGATTATTTCACGGTTTTGTTTTGATTTTTGGTTCCCGACGTTTCGAATGCTTTACAGCATCCATGGTCACGGGAGAGACTGAGGTGTTACATGTCTTGAATGTATAGTTGTTACAGACAGCCTACCCACAATTAACAAAATGAAAATTGCACCAATAACATTACAATATTTTTTAACTTTAAACATTTTTATAATTTTAATTATAATTGAATATGGTAAATTATTTATTTAATTTTTGCTATTATTTTTATAATTATTACAATTTTAAAATATTAATTAGTAATCTATATTTAGTGTTGCCATTATTATATTCATAACCATAAAGAAAAATATAAAATATAGTATTAATTATTTAAGCCATATAATTGTTCTATGTGTAATTTAAAAAGTTAAAATTAATTAAGGATAATAATTTTAATTTAGTTTGCTATTATTTAAAACAACTTACTAAGCAACACTATTAATATCTACTTTTACAAATGAAAAATATTAATCTGATAAGCTGTCATTTTGATCTACACAGTATGAACTTACTACATCTGCCTGTCTGTTATGTTTATATTTATTATTTGATTTTATTATATTAATAACAGGATCCCATGACGATGGTAGTACCCAGCCATCTTCCCTATTGAAATTTTGGATGTTTTTTTATTTCTATGGCTTCTCGAATCATTCTAGGGCGATATCGGTTTTCTTTCGCCAGGATTTGAGGTCTATCGAAACGAATATAATGGCTTGGGCGGTCCTGGCTATGTTTGCAGACAGCAGATGTTGTATTGCGACGGTGTTTCACATCAGCTATGTGTTCTTTGACCCGGGTTCTAATGGATCGCTTTGTTTGTCCAATGTAAGAGAGCCCACAATCACAATCAAGTTTGTAAACTCCTGCATCTTGTAGAGGGATGTGGCACTTGACAGGTGGTAAGAACTGACTAATTTTCTTTGGTGGCTTGAAGTAGGTTTTAATTGAAGCTCGCTTTAGAATGTAGCCAATCTTGTCAGTGACTCCTTTCATGTATGGCAAGACTGCAGGGACGCGCTCGACTGTGGCTGGTTTCACTCGGTCAGTGTGACGCAGGCGCGGCACTTGCAGCTTGTTGTCACGCAGAAAACTTGCTTGACATGTTGCAGTTCTCCGGCCAGGTGTTGCTCGTCACAGATCCCGCGCGCTCTCTGAAACAAAGATTTTCCCACGGTAGCTAACTGTGAAGGATGGTGGTGAGATTCACCATTCAGGTACCTATCAGTATGGGTCTTCTTTCTATACACAGTATGACTCAAGGTGTTATCTGGGTTACGTTTAACTAATACATCTAGGAAAGCTAAGGTTTTGTCCGATTCTAATTCCATTGTAAATTGTATTTTAGGATTTATAGAATTAAGGTGTTCTAAGAATACAGTTATTTTATCAGATGGTAATATTGTGAAAGTGTCATCTACATACCGCTTGTAGAAACGAGGGGTCACAGGTGATGTGTTCAGAGCAGTCTCCTCGAAGTCCTCCATGAAGATGTCGGCTACGACGGGGGAGACTGGCGAACCCATGGCCACTCCATCCACTTGCCTATAGAATTCACCATTCCACAGTAGGTAGCCGGATGTTAGGCAGTGTTTTAAAAGTTCAATGTATTCTATTGACATGTTGTGATCTAGTAGTTTATCAGTGAATTCTATAGGCAAGTGGATGGAGTGGCCATGGGTTCGCCAGTCTCCCCCGTCGTAGCCGACATCTTCATGGAGGACTTCGAGGAGACTGCTTTGAACACATCACCCGTGACCCCTTGTTTCTACAAGCGGTATGTAGATGACACTTTCACAATATTACCATCTGATAAAATAACTGTATTCTTAGAACACCTTAATTCTATAAATCCTAAAATACAATTTACAATGGAATTAGAATCGGACAATACCTTAGCTTTCCTAGATGTATTAGTTAAACGTAACCCAGATAACACCTTGAGTCATACTGTGTATAGAAAGAAGACCCATGCTGATAGGTACCTGAATGGTGAATCTCACCACCATCCTTCACAGTTAGCTACCGTGGGAAAATCTTTGTTTCAGAGAGCGCGCGGGATCTGTGACGAGCAATACCTGGCCGGAGAAATGCAACATGTCAAGCAAGTTCTGCGTGACAACAAGCTGCAAGTGCCGCGCCTGCGTCACAGTGTCCGAGTGAAACCAGCCACAGTCGAGCGCGTCCCTGCAGTCTTGCCATACATGAAAGGAGTCTCTGACAAGATTGGCTACATTCTAAAGCGAGCTTCAATTAAAACCTACTTCAAGCCGCCAAAGAAAATTAGTCAGTTCTTACCACCTGTCAAGTGCCACATCCCTCTACAAGATGCAGGAGTTTACAAGCTTGATTGTGATTGTGGGCTCTCTTACATTGGACAAACAAAGCGATCCATTAGAACCCGGGTCAAAGAACACATAGCTGATGTGAAGCACCGTCGCAATACAACATCTGCTGTCTGCAAACATAGCCAGGACCGCCCAAGCCATTATATTCGTTTCGATAGACTTCAAATCCTGGCGAAAGAAAACCGATATCGCCCTAGAATGATTCGAGAAGCCATAGAAATTAAAAAACATCCAAATTTCAATAGGGAAGATGGCTGGGTACTACCATCGTCATGGGATCCTGTTATTAATATAATAAAATCAAATAATAAATATAAACATAACAGACAGGCAGATGTAGTAAGTTCATACTGTGTAGATCAAAATGACAGCTTATCAGATTAATATTTTTCATTTGTAAAAGTAGATATTAATAGTGTTGCTTAGTAAGTTGTTTTAAATAATAGCAAACTAAATTAAAATTATTATCCTTAATTAATTTTAACTTTTTAAATTACACATAGAACAATAATATGGCTTAAATAATTAATACTATATTTTATATTTTTCTTTATGGTTATGAATGTAATAATGGCAACACTAAATATAGATTACTAATTAATATTTTAAAATTGTAATAATTATAAAAATAATAGCAAAAATTAAATAAATAATTTTCCAAATTCAATTATAATTAAAATTATAAAAATGTTTAAAGTTAAAAAATATTGTAATGTAATTGGTGCAATTTTCATTTTGTTAATTGTGGGTAGGCTGTCTGTAACAACTATACATTCAAGACATGTAACACCTCAGTCTCTCCCGTGACCATGGATGCTGTAAAGCATTCGAAACGTCGGGAACCAAAAATCAAAATAAATCCGCGAAATAATCCGAAAAGATAGTTTTATTTAATAATGTCAAACATTCGCGTAAATCTAAGAAAGTATTATATAAAAATTTTAATTATTTTTATCTTTTGAAATATATGGTTAATTAAATTTTTTTGCGGACATAATATTTTAAAGCAGACATTTAAACCCATTGACATAGTGGTTATACACTGTCTATATCGACTGTCTGTAGTGCAAACGGTGATCAAATGGTCCCACATTGATGGTTTAACAATGATACAGTACTTCGTTTGTATGTCATAACAAATGCAGCACTGTATTACCAGAAGATTGGTTCTCGAAATATCCATTACAAACTCTGAAATTTGAAGGTTTTAGAATAAAAAATGTATCTCTCTATAATCTCTTAACTAGTAAATTCTATGCAAATTTGAATTACCTCATTAAAAATAATAAAATTTAGACACAATATTTTTTGTATGTCAAAATGCGGTCTTTTTGCATATTTTTTATGTATCCACGGTTAGGTAAGTTAATTCGTTAATGAGATTTTACAAAAAATCGCATTTAAATACGAAATGACTTACGACCTTTACGACTGGGCAATGTCAAAACGAAGGGTTATGATTTTTGTTTTGTAAATTTGTTGTTGTTATTTACGTATGTTCCACCGTAGCGCCTAAACTCATTTTCATTCACATCCGATCTTGATATAGACGTGCCAATCGATTCGTTACAATGCCCACGTGACTTAGGCTACATTTTTTTGCTACTATATTTAATTTATTTACGCCTAGTCGGATTAAAGGTTTTGGTTTTTGTTTACATATAAGTGCCAAACATTTCATAGACACTATGAAGGTTTAAGGTACGAAAATATATAATTTCCAGTGTAAAGCAGTATTCGCTTTTCCCGGGGCAAGTGGTTGTAATGCGCGGCGTCAACCCGCGTGGCAACCGCTTCATCGCACACGAGATATTCAACGATGCTGCACGCCCCATACCTGACGCTAAGGCCGACATGATGAATGTACTGAAAGGTAAGGCTTATAAGACTTCATAAATATACAATACTAACGATATATCGTAGTTTCGCTTGCGTGCGTTTTTAGGAATAAATAATTTACTAACGCGTAGAAGGCAAACAAAGAATGAAAAATTCTTTTTACACAATTAGTCGCCCAAGTTTCACTACAAACGCATGATTAGAAACGCATAGACGACAAACATACAAAGAAACATATATTATTATTTATATAGATTAATTATGTATAGATCGTCATAGTGCCAAAACAGTTAAAACGATATTTAAACTTGATTTTAAATACATTTTTTTTGTAATTTTTGTTTTAATCAATGAAACAGTACTAAGTACAAATGGAAGTCTTAAAATTTGACTTGAAAAAAAAAACACATTTAGTACAACAATTACTGAAATAAAATTAACATTATATAATATTTACAGGTACATTGTCCATGGTGGTCGCAGCTGGGCCCTATACAACTTCTAATAATATGGCCTATGAGCCCTTAAAGGACTTCATCACTTACATCAGAACACATAAACCACACATAGTGATAATGACAGGACCCTTTATGGATTCAGATCATGCCAAAGTAAAAGACCACTCTATGGCAGAAACATATAAATCTTGCTTTGAGAAATTACTTGATAATTTATCAGAAATATCTAGCACAAGGTTAGTTTACTAAAGTATATTAAGTTAAATACTTATTTATTTAGATATACATATAATTAATATAACTGCCTTGGTAGTCAATTGGTTAGCATGTAGGCCGCAGATCTGGAGGTCCTGAGTTCGAGTCTCGGGTCGGCCCAAGTTCAGTTATTGAGTATTTCTGTCAAAGAAATTCTCAGTAACAGTCCGGACTTGGCAAGTTGGCGGTGTGTCACTCCCATGCCTCGGAGAGCACATAAAGCCGTCGGTCATGCGCCTTAACTCTCATCGGTCATGTCGAAGTATTGTCCCATCAGACTGAGAGTAAAAGGAATAGAGGATGCACTTGTGTCTGCGCGTACACTTGTGCTCATCTATATCTTCTGCTCATCTGGCTAGACTTAATGAGATTGGCCGCCGTGGCCGAAATCGGTTACAAGGACATTATTATTATTAATTATTGAAGAACCTATGTTTCGCAAGATATATTAAAAAAAATATGATTTCTTTTTCTCATTAAATTTTAGCTATTCTCTCCTGTTATAGATAAAATTTAACATTTTTTTAATATTTAAATAAGTTTATAACTGATATATAATTATTAGTACTTATGAAATCACTTGTATAATTTCATCAGTTTATTCAAACTTGTCATAGCTAGTCTTTTTTTTTATTTCTAGTCCTTTCACACAAATCTATATAGTATCAAGTAACAAGGATGCATTCAATGTGAATATCTACCCCACACCCCCATACAAAAGCAGAAGAAAACACCCAAATATACACTTTTTACCTGATCCGTGTACTCTAAATATAAATGGCATTATAGTTGGTGTCACAAGCACTGACATACTGATGAATATCAGTCAAGAGGAGATTTCTCTGTAAGTTATATTTATGTATTATTATATAGTCAAGTAGTAGTATTGGCTTAAATAAAATAAATAAATCTATGTATGTATGTATGTATATTTATAAAACCATTTCAGGTTTCTTACAGCACTTATAACTCAAGAACTGCTGGACCAATTTTCATGGTTTTTGATTGGTTGGATTTGTCTCCACCCCGAATTCATTTATTTAATTCATTTAATTCGTGGTAACAAAAATGTATACAAATATACTCCTTAATCTAGCGACAATTATTGTTTAACAAAACATTGGCAATGGAGTGCTGAGACGCACGCACTAGGATACCCTGTGTCGCGCACGTCTAAGAATTGCAGAATAACTATTAAAATTAAAAAAAATTACGTGGCTGACAACTATGTATATCTATTTAAAAGGTACCTAGCGACTCCTCGCTCTGCTCGGGTTCGTCAATAGCTCCGTTTTTACGGTTAGAATAGATTTCTCAGAAATGAAATACTTTCCCGTGGTAAAAAGTATACAATATGTTAACCTGGATAACCAGCTATAATCATACCAAATTTCACCAAATTTTGTCCAGTGGATTTCTCGTGATGCGGTCACAGACTGACAGACAAAAATTCTAAAACCTATACATTCGGCCTTTAGATTTTTTGACGACACGTTTGGCTCAGTTGGTAGTGACCCTACTTGATGTGTCAGCGGTCGCGGGTTCGAATCCCGCTGGGGGCACTGTGATGAGTGATGAGCACGAATGTTTGTACTCCAGTCATGGGTGTTTATATTTATAATATGTATGTATTTAAAAGTTATATATATGTAGTGTATCAACTATCTGGTGTCCATAACACAAGCCTCGTAGCTTACCATGGAACTAGATGGCGCTGTGTGTTAATGTCCCAACATTTATTTATTTATTATTTATTATTTCCAAAAAATAATGTGTACTGTCCCAGTTAGAACAGTACAATATAGTTGTTATTAGAGTTTGGAGTGCACAAGTTAAAATACTTCCAAGTTTAGAAATACTTTAATTACTGAAGTTACAGTATAGTTTTGACGACTAGCTGGCCACGTCTGTTTGGCTCAGTGTCTAAATGCACATGTAAAAAATGTAGGGAAGCATCGCCTCGAAAAGCTATTGCGCAAAGTAAGCAAAACTAAAATTGTACCTGCGCCCCGCGGGCCCATGCGGCAGCATCAAAAATCGCATTATAAGATATCTTTGTTAAAAAAGTAACTACATCGTTAACTTGGAATTACGTTTTCATTAAGACCTAAATAATTTTTGCTTGCGGCCCTCGACACCATGACTGAAACGTGTTTGTGGCTCCTATGAAAAAAGGTTGAGTATGGCTGTTCTAGAGGTATGGGCGGTGACAAGCTGTCGCGGCTGGCGGCGCACGTGGCGGCGCAGCAGGGCTACAGCGCGCTGTGGCCGGCGCCGGCCGACGCCGCGCTGTGGGCGGCGCACGCGCAGCTGCCCGCCACCCCGCACGCGCTCGTGCTGCCATCCAACTTCAGATATTTTGTTAAGGTATTGTAGCATTTGTGTTAGATAATATTTTAGTCTATAGAAGCGAAATATTTAAAGCTCTTACATCATCAGATAAGCTACCCAGTATCATAATTGGAATTGACCCTCGGCAAATTAGTTCATAAAATAAATTATAAACTTTACATTGGAAAGTCTTTTAACGAAACTACAAGAGAAATCCTGCATACATATACCATGTATTATTTGAACTATTATTAGTAACTTACAACTTTATATTGTATACTAGACTTACCCTCGCTTCGCTCGGTCCCTAGGTACCTTTTAATTTTTTTGAGCGGAATCCTAATTCATTTTATAACATCAGCTATCGGCCAGGGAAAGTCCCGTCAAAATCAGTCCATTTTCCGTTTCGGAGATTAGTCGGAACAAACAGACAGACAGAAAAAAAATAAAAAAATTGTGTTTTTCTTATTAGTACTGTATACAATTTCATATGCATTGAGTAAAAAGCACTTATTTTGACATTTCAAACCAACACATCAATTTTATTTATCCGTGTAGATGTAAAGATTTGACTTCTCTGTTTAAAAATAACGAAATTTGAATTGCTGAACTTATTTGGACAATTAACATTATTGAAACACACTGTAGCTTACGCAGAACTAAAAGTAACCATTTATTGCACAGATAATACAACAGCTTATTCACCACAGATATCATTCACAATACTGTAAATGAAGAGATTAATTAGATAAACATAAATAAACTAGCAGAACCCGCGGCTTCGCTCGCGCCAAAACTACAAAAAATCTAAAAAGGTTTTTTCATACAAACTTTTGATCCTCTATTTTATCCCGTTTTAAGATGAATTTCGAAAAATGCTAAAACATGTATTTATTTAATTTTATTGAAGAGCATTAAATACCAAGTTTCAAGTAATTCTGATCATAAATATTTTTTTAGATTGTATTATAACGTGTTTTCCCATGGGAATTAAATAATCTCTAAGTCACTCTCCAGCCCTCCAACTATCTCCATATAAAAAATCACGCCAGTACGTCACTCCGTTTCCACGTGAAAGAACGACAAACAAACAAACGCACTTTCACATTTATAATATTAGTTTGGATATCTTACATAACATATTGCATTTTTGTGTTACAGACAGTGAATGGATGCGTCGTGGTGAACCCCGAGCACTTGACCAAAGGCACGGGCGGCGGCACCTTCGCCCGGTTGCGCCTCACTGCAGACATTAATGCACCCGACGGGATCGCAGCACAAATTATCAGGATTTAAATTAAACATACTATTTAAAAGACCCTTTATTAAAAATCTGTAATAGACAGCTACAAAATATATTGGGTTTTTGTTCTTTCCCAAAAAAAATTTTAAGAGTATACGACTGACATGTATGTATCCATAACATAATACTTTCATCATTTCATGTCTCATTCAGGGACAATTGATGGAATTCCTTATTAGTATCCTTAATGGCTTTCCAATGCATATATCGCTACCTATTTAAGAATATATAAATTATGGCATAAAATATAAAAAATAATAAAATCAATATCTAAGCAACGTAAATAGTGTCGCTCAACGAGACCGTTCCGCCGGGACCGGAGCGCAGGGACATCTGCACGCCCATGAGCGGCGCGCTGCCCGCCGCCCGACGCTCTAACGGGTCCTCTATTTGACGGTAGCTGGAAATTATATTTTCATTAGGTACGTTTTAATTTTTTTAAGCGGAACACTAATTCTTTGTCTCAAATAAAAGTAGCCTATGTTACTCCCTATAACATCAGCTATCTTCCAGTGAAAGTCCCGTAAAAATCGGCTTAGCCGTTTCAGAGATCATCCGGAACAAACAGACAGATTGACAAAAAAATTAAAAATTGTGCTTTTATTATAAATACCGTGTATAATTCCATATGCATTTACTAAAAAAACTGTTATTTTGATATTAAAAACAGACACTTCAATTTTATTTGTATAGATTAAATTTTTGATCTTCTTTAGAATCGTGATTTTAAACAGAAATGAAACGGAAAAAAGAGAAACATAAATATATAGGATTAAGAAGGCGAGAGAAAGAGATAGTATACATTGCCATGTTGCCATGGTAACCGTTGTTATTGCCTGACAAATATATAATATTAGGTTTAACTTCTACCATGTATGAATTGCACGCACACGCACTTTTTTATATGTTATAACGGTGAAAAGACATCTTTATATTGAACAATAATTTATAAATATCCAGGATAACATATTATGTTTATTTAATTTTAAACCGGCTTCAAAGAAGGAGGTATTCCAATCGGGTATATTTTTCTTTGTTACACTATTGTGTCTTAACAATTATGAACAATTTGCATGATTTTTAATGAATAGGTATATCCTACTTCCAAGGATAATCATATAAATTCCACACATACTGATAGGATAATATTACATTAAGTTTAATTGACATAGGTGTTTTTATAGTATAAAATGTTATTATAATTGCAATATTCAAAATAGTAGATAAGCAACTTACCTCTTCAGTGTTGCCAATGGTTCTGTCTTGGCATTGCGAACGCCGGTTTCCGGATCAATAGTAGTCATAACGCACCTTTGAAAGAGAAGTACAAAAAATTATTATATAATATACAAATTCAATTAAATTTTCTTGTTAATGGCTTCAAAGCCTGTCAGTTGAACCTATTATAAATATGAAACAAACTTTACTCAGTGTTTTTGAAGTAAAACTTCTTTAGAATCGTGATTTGAAACTCGATGAAACGGAAATGCAACACTAAAAAGAGGCAAAGTTGCAAACACATACATAAATATATAGGCCGGAGAGAATGAGATAGAATACATTGTCTTGTTCCCATGGTAACCGTTGTTATTTGAGATAGAATACATTACACAGAAAGTGAAAAATAATAAAATTAATTACTGAATGATATGTAATGTATATTTAATATTTATGTCAAATAAAATGTAAAATAACTTTTAAACTTGTTAAAAATATAAAAAAAATAATAAACCTTATAATTATCCTACTCCTGATACTCTGTGTTCACCTCATTCTCTCATAGGTAACTTTTCTGAAGTTTCACTTCTACCGTGTGTGAATTGCACACACACGCACTTTTTTATTTTTTTATTAATGTAACATACCTGCCACATGGTTTAATAATTTCGAAAACATTCTCGCCAATTTTAACGTATTTCCATTTATCCTCCTCGTAAGGCTGCGCACCCGCCAGTACGAAGTTAGGCCTAAAATTCCGTGGAGTCACCTGACAGTCCTTTAATCTGCTATTTAAGTCTTCCACTGACGCCAGGTTTATAAGGTTGAAAGGAACTTCATCTGGGAGGGCCCCCTTGAAATTTCAAACATTTAAACTGTAAATTGTATTGGTTTTCTATGTTTTACTCTTACCTTACAACATTTAAACTTTTTAGCAATATATTACAACCTCAAGAAATTCAGCTAGCGTAGTTGCCGAGAATGTAGCTCGTAAAGGCCAAGATTTGTCACATACTGAGATTATTTCTCATATACATAACAAATATATAACTATGTATTAAAATCCAAGTAAGGCTGCACAATATACGTGTCCTTTAATTAATTATTAAATTAAATACGAATAATATTTTTCATGCCCTAAATTAATTTAAAAAATTGGATGGGGCTGTGTCGGGCACACCGACATTGGTTTAACGTGAAACGTCTATTTCAGCGAGTCTCTTTTAGTGTTTTTTATAAATAATTTGCATATTTAAAAACAAATTAGTAAAAACTGAAAAGTATACAAACAGACAAATTAGTGAGATTACTAAATCTTTGAGGATAGCAACGGAAAGAATATCAAATATATTATGAATTTTCAGACAATAACAAGGCAGTGGTAGCCCAGTGGTAACGCGCTCGCTTGAGAAACCGAGTGAAGCGGGTTCAAATCCCGGGTCTCGCACCTCTGATATTTTCATGTGCGAATCATTTCTAACATGATTACCACTTGCCTTACGGTGAAGGAAAACATCGTGAGGAAACCTGCATGTCTGAGAGAACTTAGCAAGTTTTCGAAAGACATGTGAAGTCCGCCAACCCGCACTTGGCCAGCGTGGTGGACTATGGCCTGATTCCCCTCGTACTGAAGGGAGGCCCATGCCCAGCAGTGGGACGATAATAATATTATAATATAAAGGAAATTCTCTGACCCGGTATGTTTCGGTGTGATTTTAAAGACGGTTCAGGTCAAAAATATTCGGGTTCGTCCCTAGGTACGTTTTAACGGTTAGTATGAAATACAAATATTTGAATTTCTCGGCTTTTCTGTACTATAATATTATGCATGTATTATACATATAAATTCCTCTTGAATCACTATCTATTGCTGAAAACTACATTAAAATCCGTTGAGTGTTGTAATAGATTTAAGCGAACAGACAGCGGAAGCGACTTAATTTTATACTATGTAAAGATCGTGCAAGACATTGTAGTACCTACCGTATCATTCTTAGTGAACTTATAGAATTTGTTGGAGCCCGGTCTCAACACGCGGCTGTGCTGTGACGCATAGTACACTAGTCTAAAATTGTCTGCAGATTTATTGAGCAGCCTGAAAATTAAAAATGTTTTATCATCTAAATACATATTATTATTTATTATATTGTTTTTTGCATGTCATCATTATTTAAATGCTGTTGCATTTTAAAACTAGACACGCGATCTATTTTCATACATATTTACCATGAAACAATTTTTTTTTTTTATTCCTTTAACAAGAAAGAATTCATAATTATAGTAAAAGGAATAAAATAAATATATCTATATAATATTATTTTAATGATTATTGTCTGTCCGTATATTATAGCCGCTTTGCTTGAACTTAGTACCAATTTGTAAAAAGAGTTGTATTTTGAGTAGTTAAGTGTCTCATGATATGAGGGGTGAAAAGAAGGTGCACATAAAAGTTTGTGGGGATGACTCCCGATTTATCTACTTAATTAAAATCATAAATTCATTTACTGACTCAATATCAGTCAACGTACAGCCTAACCGTGGATACTTAATGCAAGCAAATGTTTCGGAAGAGTTCTTTTACGTGACAAAGGTTAAAACCGAGGAAAAAAAACGTGTGTGTAACTTATGTACTTCTTTGGCGTAACAGAACAAAAATAGCTAAAGTTTTCATTCCGTTTGTCACAACTCTGTGCTTGTAAAAGGAATGCAGCTAATTTCATCATGTCGCTTTCAGACTTCAGCTAACTTCATCATGTGGCTTTTTGGCTGTCGGTGTGCGCGCGCATTGTAAAAATTTTACTCTCATTATTTTTTCCAAACGAGCCAAAGGAAGTATAACTTCAAAAAGCTCGTCATTTTTAATGAAAAAAAATTGGAAATTGATGATTAAGCTTATAATAATATATTAGTTTGGAAATCTCATCGACTATATTGCTTTATAATAAAGCATAGCATTGAGTAAGTAGTCATCCCTTAAACATACATCTAAAAATATTTAATGTGAAATTTGCAAATGGAATGATATGAGTTTATTTTAATTAAAGTACATATTTATGAATTTACCTAGAATACCATTCACTGGCAAATCCACCACAATCGTACACCGGCACCGTGATGCCCCACACTCGGGCCGTTTTAGTCGCTTGCAAAGCAATAACCTTTATAAAAACATCGATTAAGTTAATATAAATTGTAAATATTTACATAAAAATAATAATAATAATAATTGTCTTGAGATAAGATATATGAGATAATTTTTCAACGTCTCCTTACCTCTGCCAAGTCAATGTTAATGGGTTCCATGTCATGATGGTTCAATGTGAGGATGGAGTTTCGTATTTTGGGTTGCACTAACAATAGCTCTGGGAATCCTCTTGCGGAAATGAAGCTGCTCTTGTCATCAACTACCATCAAAACACTAAAACATGGTTCAATATAAATTATTTTGGTAAGTAATATTATATAGAAAAAAATCCGAAAAGATAGTTTTATTTAAAATGTCAAATATTCGCGTAAATCTAAGTATATATTTGTATCGATAATACAGTATTCGCCTAATGAGAATTGTATCTACGACCTTCGGCGCTTTATCCTAGATGCAGAGTGGGTAAGATACAATGTGATTTACAGCTTAAAACACATTATTTTTATCATTTGCGAGGCTGAGTAAATATCCAGTCACAAAGATTATCAAATTTTAGTAAGTACATGAATTTGCGATATCTAATGTAAATAGACCTAACGTAAATAATGTAAAGATTGAATTAATACAAAATTTGTTCTTAACATACAGCATGTGATTACGATTCTGTTTCTTTTTTAATTATAAAAAGGTTAAAACAAAAATTACAAATTATTTTTTTGTTATTATTTATAAAAGATTAAATATTCGCTCATAAACATTAGCTTACCGGTCTCTCAACCATCCGTCTTTTAATCCTAAAATAGTGCATTCCGCCTTGTTCAACATTATTGGACCACAAGATTTTATGGGATAAACATAAATATCTTTCAAAGTCCCAACTTCTTTCCATTCCGTCGGTAACTTTGGCTTTTGATACTCCTTATAAATATGGTAAGCGCAGTAAACACCGCCAATGGCACCCGCGGTAGCTAAGGTCGCAGTAATGTAATGACCTGATAGATGATATTAAGTTAAAATGTTTGAGGATTTCATAACAAAATAACACAAATAACATAGAATTATTTAAAATTTAAATAGCATATCTTTATTAAATAACAGCTCATACTCGCTTTGCTCGGGTTCGCCTCTAGACAAAAACAAATCTATCCCACGGGGACCGTACATTTTCCCGGGATAAAAAGTAGCCTATTTGTTATACTGATGTATGAACTATATTATTGTAAAGTTTCATTTGAATCCAATCAGTAGTTTATGTGTACTAAGCTGTATAAGCGACTAGTTTTTAAACTATTCCCACGGGAACTCTTTAATTTTTCGGGATGAAAAGTATCTGAAATGTTGACCGGGGATATAAGGTACCACCATGCAAAATTTCATTTAATCGGTCCAACATTCGGAAATTAGCCCGTACAAACACAGAGAAACAAAAAATTTGAAAAATCTGCATTTATTTTATTTCTCTTACATCCCCCTGACTCGGTTTTTAGCATTTTTTTTCTATGTACAGACATTCGACCTCTATAGTTTAATTATATCTATACTTATTATAAAAATAAGTCCCCCGGCCGCGTCTTTCTGTCCTCCTGTCTGTCTGTACGCGATAAACTCGAAAACTACTGAACGGATTTTTATACGGTTTTCAACAATAGAAAGAGTAATTCTTGAGGAAGGTTTAGGTATATAATTTATTATGCTTTTATGTAAATTAGCTGAAATACGGCGACAAATGTTGAAGAGGTCGCAAAAAATCTCGCCAAATGGGAACTTTCCACGCGAACGCCGCGTAAACTAGCAAAGATACAGTTAAGTAATGTACTAGAGAATTCAAAATCTATAAAAATGCTACAAAAAAGTCCGCGACAGCATATCTCTATCTCTTACGGTTGACTTACAATAACCACTTTTATGTTAACATTTTTAATTAAAAACATTACGTTATTTTCAAAGTTATTTTCTTTAGTTCGGTATTAATCCTTATCCAAATGAATATTTTAGTTAGCTTAGTCATTTAATGCAGATTAAAATTGCTCTTTACACTAAATCAATCAGATGAATAGTTTTTGAGATATCGTTGTTAGAAGTAATTAGTAGCGAAACATTTTTAATGCTTGGCGAGCATTGAGATGCCTACGGCGAGTCCATCCCCTCTGCCCCGCATCGCTCGACCGCCTGCTCAAGCTATATAAACCGGGCGATGTAGCGCGCGATCCTAGGATACTTTTTACCGCGGGAAAATATCTTATTTCTGAGGAAAAATACAAAAACTGCAATGTAAGAGTATACTAATATGTAACACCTAAGAATTTAGTTTTTGGTCATCTGAATACTAGATAAAACAAAGTCGCAATACCCGTTTCTCTGTTTGTGCGATAAGACTTTGATACTAAAGTAAAATAAAATATTAAACATGCATTTGTTCTTCACTGATTAAAATAACTCTAAAATTATTTTAGGTTCGATGAACGTACTAGGTACCTTATATTTTTTTAAATATGTACTATGAATAACAATTTGCCTGTTGCAAGTTTCGGCGCTTGCGATTTTGTTTTTAAGAATATCAAAAATAGTGATGAAATAATTCTTTCAATATATTTAATTTCTTAAAGAATTACATTATCTTACCTTGATAAGACATTATGTAGTATTATAAAATAGGTAAGTATGCGTATATCATTAAATACGTTCCGACACCAAACAAATGCGATATTGACAAGTCGTTATTATTACAATTAAACAAGCAGCAGACGTGTTAAGATGTTAGCAGTCTGTACTGTACTACGTAATATCAACTATGTTATGATAAATATAATCCTGGGTTATCGCAAGTGCTATATATATATCAGTATATTTGTTAATTAAGAAGTCTATTCGGTATGTATATAAACAGGTTTTTATGATACCTGTAATCAATAATTTATCTAAAACCAGCGTTATAGGTAAAATGTTAAGAAAAACTATTGATATATTTTTCAACATTCAATATAATAAAGGATTAAGAAAGTTCAATTCAAGATATAAATAAATAAGAGATGTCTCTCCGCGTAATATCTATAAATGTGTCGTTATAATCCCTATAAAAAAACTCCAATAGGATCTCATCAAAGGCGACAAAAGTCACATAGAAACCAATAAAAGCCACATAAAAACCAATAAATATTTATTAAATAGTTATGGGGATGATGGTAAATGTTATATTTTAAATTAGTGCAGTTCTAAAATACGCGCCATAATCCTTGTAATCTAATTCGTTTATCGTGTACCTATCTAATTGGTATTTTTAGAAAGAAATGAAATTATTGTATAGATTTGGGTTGTCCTTGTCCACAACAAAAAGTGTTTACTGTGTAAATTAAAAAAATGTTTCCTAGTATTAAAAACCACGAAGTAGATCTATACATATAATAAAATTCTAACTAAGCCGAATCTCTACATTAAATATTTTTTGGAAAATCTAATTGAAATAGACATTATTATCGATACAGAGTCCTAATCTATAGTTTTTAGAATTTTTGTCTGTCTGTCTGTCTGTCTGTTACCGCATCACGAGAAAACCACTGGACAGATTTTGATGAAATTTGGTATAATGATAGCTGGTTATCCGGGTCAACATATAGGATACTCTTTACCGCGAAAAAATATCTCATTTCTGAGAAAAAATACAAAAAGTGCAATGTATGAGTATTCTAATATGTAAAACCTAAGAATTTGGTTTTTTGTCATCTGACCGCGGGCGGAGCCGCGAGCAATGCTAGTTTGAAAGAAAAATGACTACAAAAAAATTGATTAAAACTTTCAAAGATTCGTGCTTTTTTATTGGGCAAGTAACATTGGATTTAAAAAAAATCATCTGTCATAATGACACTTCAATAATGTCGTCAACGTGTATTCCTGTCAAATCCAAATTGTCTTGCGTGGTGTGTGAATCGTAAAGGAGTGATTTCTTTTAAAAAGCCCAGACCGTGATTTTAAAATGTTTAAAATATTTTTCTGTATTAAAGAGTAAAATAAGGACATCATTTAATTGATTATTCCAAATATCTAATGAAATAAAAGCTTATTGTTTACATCTTTTATAACCATGGTCTTGTTAGAGAATGATGAAGTATTTTTTTTATTCTTAAATTCACTAGTGAAATTCGTTTATTTTACTTTAAATTATAAACTATTCTAACATTTCAGTTCTTGATGGAGCTCTCGAAATTATTCCAAAAGGCTAGAGTATCAGGATCCGTGACGATGACGATGAAGAGATGTAAGTTCAATAAAGCAATACCATAACATTGAAACATATTTATATTTTTTAGAAAGTCTTACATTTTAATATGTCCAATATCATGTTTTAATAATATAATGGGAGATATTTAAAAATTATCTATTATTTGTTGCAGATGATGGACGAACTAAGCCAGTACCACGAGATGGAACTCCAGTTGTTAAAAATCCGGAATATAAATGTCTAGTGAGAGCTCAGTCAAGTAGCAGAAAAATTTCAACAGTAATAGAGCAAAGGGATGTTGAAAAATTCACTGATGCTTACTCTAATTTACTCAAAACTAGTGTGAATGGGCTAAAACGGTTAAAGAAACCTAAAAAGAAGGCAATGGCAGCTCAATAATTTGATTTTTGCCAATGTCAAGAGACTGAAGCAATATAATTAATCGTGATGTGTAAATGAACTTTGTGGATGTGCCACTGCAGTCCTGCCGGCCTGTTGGTTAAGGTCCATTGAAGTGTGCTTTTCTCTCTGTGAGATGAAGAGTTGGAGTCTTGCCTGTATGGCTGGTGACTGTGGTGCTTTAGTCACTGACCATCTGTCCATTCTCCTGCTTATTATATATTAAAGTATTCCTCCTGCTTATTATATATATATTATATATTAAAGTTTTAAACATTTATCAAATAAATAATACTGCCGGTTCATAATTTAGATTTCTTTCATTATTTATTGATAAGAATATAAAAAAGATTACCATGTATTAAAATCAAAGTATGTAATTTATTAAAACAAAAATGCTTATAAAAACAATTTCAACTATATAGTGTGGGTATTTTTATAGATCACTAGACCTGCCTAGGCGTTGCTTAGCTTTTGGTGACAAACTAATACATCTAAATTGTGCATATTAATTGTACCTTTTGCATTTAGACTCAAAAATCCTAATTCCTCATATTGAAGGGAGACCTATGCCCAACATTGACACCTTAAAAAGGGCTGTATACAAATATAATCGAAATAATTCGATACAAATCATGCATTACTATGTGTGAATAAACAATAACTAGGAACATGTGTAATAATAACACACACATTATTTGATATTTGTTAAAATAATATTATTCTTAACAAAAATTGAAACATTGAAATAAAATGAATAATAAGAGTAACATAATTTATTCTCATCTTTTATATTTATATCACAATATGAGACCAATATAATATGAAACTAATAAACACTTAATATTTATTGATTAGAACAACTGAAAAAAGTTTGGTACATGTAACACATTTCATACTTGCCAATTAGGATTTAACATAAAGCATTTTAAAATTCTTAAAACTTTATAAATACTGAATTATTCAACAAAATCTATTTTTATGCATTTATACTATTTTTATGTAAAGCACTGTTGAAAGTTGCTTTAAGAACCAGCAACCTTTATTGCCAGGCGAAAGATATGAAATTAATCTTATTTAATGTAAGGCAATTAATAAATATTAATTTACATCAATTTTTAGTGGTTATGTTTGATTTAATTCAAAAAAATACAAAGTTGCCATTGCCAATTTCCTACTGTAATCCCATTAATATATGTTCACCTCCTCAACCTCATAAAAACCTTTTTTTTTTCAAAATGATATTCCTATTTCATATTATAGCATTTCTTATAAAAAATAAATTATTTTATAAATCAGAATGGTAACAATGTCATGCATATTAAAAGTGAAATAATTAGTTATACATTTATATAAAAAAATTAAACAGTATCAAATTTAATATTAGTATCTACTTTTATACATCAGTAATTGTTTAGTACAGTTTCACTCTCTCCAAAAACAAATTTACATAAAATAACTAAATTAATTTACATATTACTAGTTTCAATGCATATTATTTAACATATTACTTATAATAATACATTTGGTCATAACTGCATCATTCTTATATAGGATAGAATATTCAGCTGCAAAGTATGTGGTCCTGGCTTTCTATTCCTGATTCGAGTTATGTACATTAATTGAGATTTTGTATGTATTAAGAATCTCATAGTATTAGCCTAGAGTAGGTAAGTGTGTGGTTTTACACTCCCGCGTTTCCGAAAGTATGTAAAGTCGATTTTGCATCTAATCTCACAGTGAGTGTCAAAACTTCGTCCGACCGCATTATGACAGTGAAAAGAAATAAGAGTGCACTTGGGTCACACGTTTGCTAATTACGAGTCTAAATGACAGGCTTCCGAACTAACCCCCCAATGTGCGTTCACCTTGTCGTGGTAGGGGGGGCTCAGTAGTGCCCGGCAATCCAGCCGGGCGCGAAGCCAAAAAACGCACAGGTAGGTGGCCCACTTCGGTGGGCGGTGTACTGTGCGGGTTGCTCCTGGTACTTCTTTGATAGCAGAGTGGATTGTGGAACAACCCCATGGTTGTTGTGGTATGTTTCGGCAATCCTGCCGTCGGATCGTCGTAAATGCATTTATGGCCTCTGAACTAAGTCTTAATTTTATTATAAGCTTTATTTGATTATAAGTGTATATTTTTCGAGGTGAGTCGTTTGAGACAAGCATTCCGCACTTGTTCGTTGCCGAGCCGCTCCGCCTCGAGCAGCACGCGGCGCAGGTCGTTGGTGCGGTCGTGCCTCGCCGCGAGGATGTACGCGTTGCTCACGTTGCGGCACACCAGGTAGCACGATATCTGAGAATATGTTAAATGTCGATTAGTTTGTTTATTATAAGATCATTTTTGATTTATTATGGATGTCATCTATTTGAGTTTTGCTAAATTAAATAATAATTATTATTAATGATGTGCCAGGAAATGTGCTTGTATATCTATAAGGTTTTTATTGCACTGTTTGTGTCTTGTACTGTTTGAAAAAAATATTATATAAATTTAAATAAATAACTGAATAAAATAAACGGCAATAAATTTAACTCAACTTGTAGCCCAATGTTAACGCGCTCGCTTGGGAAACCGAGTGAAGCAGGTTCAATGAATCATTTTCAACTGATGAAACTTGCATGTCTGGGAGAACTTGGCAAGTTTTCGAAAGACAAGTCCGCCAACTCGCATTTGGCCAACGTGGCCTGATCGCCTTTGTATCGCCAATGCCCAGCACTGGAACATTAAAAAGGGCTGAATACAAATAAAACAACAATACCTTAATGGCGACACTGGTGATGTCGGCAATGAGCAGCTCGGCCTGCTCGTCGTGCAGCTGCCCGCGCGCGTCGCAGCGCGCCACCACGGCGCCCGCGCCCGCCTCCAGCACCTGGTCGCTCATTAGACTGCAACAAAACAAAACGTGAAAACTTAACACTTTTTGAAGTAAAACTTCTTTACGCACGCTCGACTTGGGGCGTAAGTTGGTGAATGCGTTACGAAAAAAAGTACGTACGTTTGTTGCCATGGTAACCGTTGTTATTGTCTGACAAATGATATATAATATATTTTCCTTAAATGATATTCTATAAATAATAAATATATGACTGTAATACGCCTAATATGCGTTATTTGTAGTATCTCACTTAACCTAATTATTTAAAACATCAATTGAATTTCATAAAGAGTACCGATAACCAACAGAAGTTTTACTTCTTGCGCGTGTACAGAATACAGATTCATACACGCACTCTTTAATCTTCTTTTTATTTGAATTGGCACTACTGCGCTTGAATTAACCAAGAGAGGTGCTAGTTGTAAAGTCTCTAGAAATGTCAAATGGCAGTGATTCTTTACTGTTTTCGAGCCAATCCCGGATTCTCATCTATAACTTATTCATGTTATTGTGCCATACCCGATTAATTATGGCAGACACAGTGAGCCTAACAATTGTCATTGCTTTAAAAGATGAGCTAAGAAAAAGTCAATATTTTATCCATTTGGTTATTATATATTAATTATTTAAAACAAAGTCGTGATAAACTGGTGCCGCGGTAACAATATTATTATATTAAATTTATGGCCCTGCCGCACTAACATACTTTTTTAATGACAGCGATCCTTATGCCAGTAGCGCCAAATGTGCCACCAGAAACGATAAACCTCATTGCCTCTGTGGTCTAGCAGCTAGCATGTACGAGTATATTCGGAGGTTTCGAGTTCGAGGCACAGGTCCAGCAAGTCGTAGATTGGGATTTTCTGACAAGAAATTCTCAATGACCGCTAGCTAGCTTGGAGTTGGAATATTTGGTGGGTACGCTCCCATGTCTTGTACGGCACGTAAAGATATTGGTTTTATGTCTGATATATAACCGCCAGTGTTAAAATGACGTCCCACCAGAGCAAGAGTGAAAAAATATAGAGTACGCACTTGTGTTTGCACACGTACTCTTATACAAAAATAATTAGTTACCTACTGATTAAAATAATTATATTAGAAATAACTTGTATTAAAAGAAAATGTTTTGAATGCAAAAGAATTATTAATTTTAGCTTACTTGGCTGCCGTCTCTTTAGAATTCCGTATACATCTCGCCAACGTCTTTACTTCCATGAATCGATCTGCGTTGACCAAATATTTGGCCACATGAGTGTATATATTCATTGAGTCTAATTTATGTTCAGTAATTATCCTGAAAAAAAAAATACAATTTATTACTTTTACGCTTTATGTAACATTTGTGTACCCGCTTTCGTAAAAGATACTATAATTTGACCCTAAAAACATCACGAATTTTTAGTAAGTACTATCATGTGATCTCTGTTAAAGTTAACAGACGGTGTTATACGCAACGATTTGTTATTGAATGTTGAAGTGTAAAAATAGTAAAGAAATAAATAGATCTAAGAAAGTATATATATAAAGTGATTTTAAAAAGTACAGTTTATCTAAAGCTAGTATTATCACGTGATTTTAAAAAGTACTCTAACCTACTATTATCACAGATCATACAATACTATACTAGTATAGATGCCTCATCCCATACAAAGAAATTGGCCAGCGCTAATTCGGGCTATTCTTCGAGCTATTTTTGTTTACATGAATAGATAATAGATATTGATTCGCAAATAGTTAAAATTGTTTTATTTTATAAAATATATGCAAACTAACGTATGGTATATAATAAATACTTAAAAGTTTAAGCTAAGCTTAAAAATACGTACTTAAAAGCTAAATCGAAGCCTCCTTCTATGGACGGTCCAGTAGCCAATACGACGGCGACAATTCTTATTTTATCTGTATTAGAGCCAAAGAGTGTTAGCGGCCTTGAGTCACTTTCCTCTTGCCGGCTGCTTTGAACCGGGATAATTTCCTGGAACACTTTCTCCGTCAGCCTGCCGCTGGCTTCACAATCAGCTAGGTATTTGGCTAACTCCATTTGCCTAGACATAGTAGTCATCAGATTGTCTATGGTCGCTTTGTCTAAGTTAAATTGAATTGATCTTGGGTCGTTTACTTCTGAAAATAAATATTTTTTTATATGCAACTTTTATTTACATTTATAATGTTATTAAACATTCAATCTCCATATATTTATAATAAAATAGTAACAATATTGAGTTTATATATTAATATTTTTACCGGAAACGCAACATATTGTGGATTCAAAAATGCCTTAATTGCTTTTTAATCATTCCAAGGTGATTTGATTATGACTCAAAACGTTTTTCAGATTTTAACGGACAATTAGGTACTTATTAAATAGTTCGTTGTGTACAGTGTTACACAAACGTGGAACAACTTTAGAGTTGACGGGTATAACTGTAACTTTGCCACAAGATGGCACTATACGAGTAGCACTTTAACATCGAGACATTTGCCATGACAATTGGCATTCTTTAACAAGCCTTGTATTTGACAGCATTTCCGTTAAAACCACCTGTTTATTCTTCTCCGACATTCTAACATTGAAAGAAAAAAGACAATTGAATTATATATCACTATCACTATATATAGTATAAAACAAAGTCGCATCCCGCTGTCTATTTGTCCCTATGTATTATTAGATCTTTAAAACTACGTAACGGATTTTGATGCGGTTTTTTTTGTAGATAGAGTGATTTAAGAGAAAAGTTTATATGTATAGTACATGCATATCATAGTACAGAAAAGTCGAGAAATTCAAAGATTTGTATTCATACTAACCGTTAAAACGTATCGTAAGAACAAACTGTGACGTACTATATATTAGCAGTGGGCACGCAGAGCGCGTAAAAAAGACAATTGAATTATATATAATAGAAGGAAGAGCGAGGTGACGTAGTACGTACTGTTGGCGGCGGGCACGCAGAGCGCGAGGTGGTGCAGCGCGGCGGCGAGGCGCGCGCGGCGCGCGTGCAGCGCGGCGCAGCGCGGCGCCGGCGCGCGGCGCGCGTACAGCAGCGCGCACGACGCCGCGGCGCGCGCGTGCTGCGCCGTGCCCGTCTGCAGCGCGTACAGCGCCTCCAGCTGCTTGCGCGCCTCCAGCGTGCGGCACACGTGCATTATGTACTCCTGCAACGTACATACATATGTTATACTCGTATTACTCTATCCCCCTCGTACTGAAGGGAGGCCCGTGTCCAGCAGTGGGACGTTAAAAATGGCTGAATACATACTCTACTAGCGTATGTGCTAGCGCTTATAATTGTGCCCATCACCGCACATATAGCTCTAGTATTGTTTATATATTTAGCTACTTTTTTTACATTTTAATAAAAAATATGCACGGCATATTAATAAAAAGTATAATCAGACTACAGTTGTCAGTTATAATTGTAAAAGTTTGAATGTGTGTAAATGTTATGTTTGCGTATTTATATGTGTCTATGAATGCATGAGTGTGTGTGCTAGTGCATAATTGGATAAATTGTGACGTGTAATACATTTTGTTCTAACTAATAGGAATAACTATAAGTGACAATAAATGTTAGGGGTTTAAACTCGCCATGCGTTTGCAATGACATATATGTCATACTCATGTCAACATTTTTATGTTCAAATTGGACTATAGCCTGATCCCTCTTGTAGTAAAGGGAGGCCGATGCTCAACAGTGGAACGTTAAAAAAACCTAAATATATTAATAATTCAAAAATAAAATTTGTAACAAATATAAGCGATTTTTGTTATACAAATATCCGTACAAATCGCAAGCTATCTAAATGCATAATATCTACATGATATATAATTTAAGTAAATGAACAACTCACCGACCATATCCCAAAAGTTGAGTCCATATCGCTCATCGCCTTCAACAGATCACTCACTTTGTCCTTCTTTAGGCAATCCATATAAACTGATTCTGTAAAGGTTTCCTTGTCCACCGTATTATCATAACAATATCTAAGTACTTCACCCAAAGTGCTATGCTTCATATAAAACATTATATTAGATACGTATGATCCATAATTACTTAAATAATACACACATTCTTTATAAAAGAAGGGGTCAAGTTTTTTATTATGGTGGTCGACTTTCGGTTCGGCGTGGTTGTTATTTCTTCGTAAAAGTCCTTGTGCTAAAGACTTTTTCGGTTGTACGGTGGCTGTTTGGAAATCGCTGTAGTCACCTTGCTTTATCTTTTTAACACTGGCCAAAGTATGCATTATGTTTAACGCCGGTTCCGTTAGCGTTATTTTCTTTTTACTCGTATTCATTGTTGATAATTTTTCGTTTGTAGCCTGCGAAATAAAAATGAATGAAAATGAAACAGAACAAGATAATACAGAAATAATAGCAAAACAAATGTCTGTCTTTAGTCTTAATTATTATTAAGCCCTAACAACTTACCCTCGCTTCGCTCGGTGTGGCCCTAAGTACGGTTTTTTTTTTGAGCAGAACCCTAATTCTTTTTTCCAAATTTAAATAGCCTAACTTACTCCTTATAACATTAGCTATCTGCCAGTAAGAGTTCCGTCAAAATCAGTCCAGCCGTTTTGGAGATTAGCCGGAACAAACCAACAGACAAAACATAAAAAAAAAATGTGTTTTTCGTAATTAAGTTCCGTAAATAATTTCATATGCATTTAATAAAAAGCTGTTATTTTAACATTAATAACAGACACTTCCATTTTATTTATCTGTATAGATTTGAAATCCAAAAGACAAACTTACTTTTATATTTTCGGCCTTGTCCAGTAACTGTTGGTTTACAGGATAGTTCATTTCCTCAAGCATGTTAATAATTTCATTCAACAACGGGTTGCTTCTTGAGCGGCCTTCGGACTGAACGCTGGACATCGAACTTGTTCTATCCGAAGACCTCATAGAATGCAATCTTTTGTTCATAAAATGGGACTCCGAAGCTTCTTTCCCATACTCTAATTCTTCAGAAACCTCTACACATACATTTGGTGCGTTTTTAAAGCACAAAGCAAATTTTCTTCGAGCTTCCCTGAAACATCCAGCTTTGAGACATGCCTTGCCCCACGCGGCGAGGACGCTCGCGCGGGGAATACCCGATTTGGTCGCTATTTCTAATGCCAACTCCCATTTTTCAGCTTCTAACAATGAACGGACTATTTGACCTGAAATTAAGATACGATTTTGAAATCGAATTAAGTGCTTCCTTCTATAACTCCTTAGTGTAAATATGCTCACATTAGCTGACGAAAATTCGTGTTGCGACAAATATATTCGATTCTAAAATTGAGTAAGTTGCACTTAACGGAACTTCTAATATCGATGTTAGTAAAAATATTCGGCTTTGTGCAAAATTTGGCAATATGAACTCCATAGAATAAGATTGATTAATGTCTGCCACTGGATGATAAATCGAAGAGAGACAGAACGATAAATTGGATTCTTACCGAAGCAGAAGTATTTATAGAACAAACTGAACTATTAATGAAATAGAGAACAGCACTGATAGCGCAAAAGCTAACGTGCGGGGGCAAACGCGGTAGAGGACCTCACGACTGTGATATTTATATATGACACTCGAGAAATGGCTTTAGGGTTTGTGAGTAGGTAGGTATAACTGTAACTTACCACTGAACTGTAATCATGGACATTAGTAATTCCATGTAATATCTATTTTAAAAAGTGTATAAAAAGTTTCACAAATTTTCCCGTGACCATGATTGCTGTAAAGCATTCGAAACGTCGGGAACCAAAATTCAAATAAATCCGCGAAATAATCCGAAAAGATAGTTTTATTAGGTACGTTTTTATTTTATTTTTGTGGAATTTTAGTCAAAATCAGTCCAGCCATTTCAGAGATTATCTGGAATAAACAGACAGACAGACAGAGAAAAAATTAAAAAATGTGTTTTTCTTATAAGTACCGTATATAATTTCATATGCATTTAGTAATTTATCTGTATAGATACTCAAGTGTAAACTCACTGGGATGCGCGCCCTGGTGCGGCACGAGGTGGTGCACCTGGTGCTTGACGAGCGCGGCCATGGCGTCCGCGTGCGCCAGGCAGCGCGCCGCGTGCGCCGCGCCCGTCTCCGCTACGCGCGCGCCCGCGCTGAACACACCAGATAATACTCATTATTTTTGAGTATATATTATATATTATTTATATGACTACGCCTGTACGAATTTAGCCTGCTTTATAATACTTATATCTATCTCACTACCATAGGTTGCCTGGAAGAGAATTCTTCTAGAGATAATTCAACCTTTACAAACAAAAATTGTATTTAAATTACTTATTGATTTTTAAGTGCAATAATGAATAGTATATAATAGTCACTTCTTTTTAGTTAAATATATGCTAAATATAGTGGTAATGTCTAGTGATAATTCTTTTGTGTCATAGAGGAAGGAACTGTCGTCTGTAATACGGGCTCGGCCTAGTACAGTCGACGAAGTGTGAGTTTAAATGATTTAAAATGTTTACAATTTCAATTGTTGAACTATCGTCATTTGACAAACATCTTAACAAATATCCAAAAACTTGATTCAAACGTTCTATGTGATGTAAAAAAATTTGTAAGACAACATTATTAATGTATAACATAAAAAGTAATAACAGAAACATACGACTTTTCATTAGGCGCTCTTGAGTAAATCTCCGCGGCGGCGATGAGAAGCGAGCGCCTGGCGCTCACTAGTAGCCGGGAATCCCCGCCGTTGGCGAGCTCGTGGGCCACTTCGTCACTCCGGTCCAGAAGAAACCTTTTAAAACGTATAAGAAAAGATTATAGAAAAGTTTGTACTTTATTTATTTTAGGGAAACAAACAGTGAAATCTATACGTATAATAAAATTCTAACTAAGCCGAATCTCTACATAAAATATTTTTTGGAAATTCTTATTGAAATAGACATTATTATCGATACAGAGGCGGCCAAATCTATAGTTTTTTGAATTTCTGTCTGTTTGTCTATCTGTTACCGCATCACGGGAAAACCACTGGAGGGATTTTGATGAAATTAGGTACGATGATAACTGGTTATCAAGGTCAACATATAGAATACTTTTTACCGCGTGAAAATATCTCATTTCTGAGAAAAAATACAAAAACTGCAATGTAAGAGTTAGAAATTTTATGTTATACTGTACTTATGTATTAGCTGTAATTAATAATTATGTATTAACAAAAAATTAATATACATGTATATTGTATAACCTTCGCGTTTTTACTATTTGACATGGACTTGGTAGCTTTTTTAAATTATTAATTTTATATTTAATGGTAGTAAATGTCAGTAAATTATAAGTCATCAATCATCAAATATACATTTTTCAAAGCAAAAACATTTAAATTTCCAAATTAAGAAATCATATAGGACAAATATCTCTTTGGCGCTAAGTCCATCAAGTTAAATTTATACAAATAATATTCTATATAAATAAAAATATTTGTATTGAAACTGTGAGCGTATAAGTTCAATACGGAGAAAGTTGGCGGACTTCACATGCCTTTCAAAAACTTGCTAGGTTCTCTCAGACATGTAGATTTCCTCACGATATTTTCATTCACCGTAAGGCAAGTGGTAATTATGTTGGAAATGATTCGCACATAGAAATAATTGGAGTGCGAGTGATTTGAACCCGCTTCAATCGGTTTCCAAACGAACGCGTTACCACTGCAACGAATTGTCATAAACAACAAAAACAATACAAATACCTACCTAGGATAATCTAAATTGATAGAATGCATTTTCATAATCGACAGGCAAAGTGTCACATTCGGTGTAAACTCGTAACTAAACTCTGCTCTGACGGCTTCGTTCTTCTTAGGATTGGTTGAGAGGCACCAGTCCATACAGACGGTGCCACTCGCGGCGGAATCCGAGTTGCTACTTTGCATCATGTTGTCTTGGTCAACGTTAGATTTTCTATTCATCGTTTGTGCGTAGCAATCGTCGCATACACGGAATTTTACACCGCTGGGATATGTTGGCACCTTAAATGAACGAAAGTTGATCGCTAAAATATATCGACACTTTCATAAAAATATATAAATAAGGACTGATTGCGATGAAACTTTGCATGTGATAGCTTGGAAATAAAAGTTTCATTGGATTCTGATAAATGTAAAACTTTTCTGAATGGATATTTACATTATGGCCTCGGTATGTAAAAAATCACGTCTACATTGTACTCCATTGCTGCATGATGCATGAGCAGCACAAACCAAAAAACAATTTCGTTTTTGTACATTAGTATTTTAATAAAAAAAGAAAATAATAACAAAATGTTACCTGCATTTTATTTCTAGAGCACCCATGACACACGAGCCTACCGCAGCGTCTGCAGTGATGTCGTCTTATAATCATAGAAAATATTGACATTTTGCACAGCATACATCTATCGGTTGTGTAATCTTCGACCCACTGATCTTTCATTGGCACATTTTCGGGCATCACAAACGGTTTAGATGCAGCTTCTATATTTATTGAGTCTATGGATTGTAACAGTGAATCGTCCCAAGGCTTTGGTGGAGACGGGCTAGAGTGGCTTGAATTTTTCATATCTAAGGCTTTCTCTGCATAATACCTTAATAAGGCATCGACAGCATTTCGCGATATTAGCAACGTATCTATAGACTTTATATTGTAGTATAGATTGTCCCCGGAAGGATCGTTTTTCAGTTCGGATGAAATTCTATTGATGATCTGCGCCAAGATTTCCAATTTGGCGTTCATCAAAAGCTGCTCGAGCATGATCAAAGGTTTTTCTATCAAATCCCAGAATAAGGCTCTTGCATTCGCTTCAATTTCTATCATTATTAAGAAACCAATTTTTATATTTTCAAATGTTTTCCAAATGGTTGAGTTTGCGCTAATAAAATCGATACACACTTGCAAAATTTCTATATTTCGAATTTTAGCTATTTCATCTGCAACTAACTCTGTCGCTTGAGGTTTTGGCAGTCGTCCTAATAATTCTCGTACTAAAGATGGTGTAGCTTGGTTTGTATATTCAAATAATTGCCGCAAGAGGTTCACAACGATTAAATTTTTCATGTGTTCTGAAACGTCATGAGCATCCGCCCATTCCAGACATAATTTGAACTGAAAAAATATTTAAAAAAATATATATTATATTATAAGCGAGCGAACGACCCCTCTCACGTACCTAATTGGTAAGTGTTATAAAAAATATATCATATTACAAGACTAGGTTCATTGTTGCTTAAATATTATATTCTATATATATACTACCTGTTGGCTATCCATGAGAACTTCGATAATATTTTCCGGACTCTCCAGAGATTTTTCGTAAATCACATACCAATGGTTACTCCCCATTATGGAAGAAATCTGCAAAAAATATAATAATTTAAAGAGATTTCATAATATATAATCATTTCTGTGTACTCATTAATTGTTTACCTGTTCATAAAGTGGTATTTTTATAATCCAATCAGAACATTTTTGATATAAGCCATCTTCCATCATAGATTGGTCCAAGGTGAATCGTAAGTAGTTAATAGCTTCCATAGCGCCTTCCGCGGGCCACCGAGACAAATTGTTGAGAATAAGACCTTGTTTCAACTCTGAGCACTTTAGATATTGGCAATATTTCCAATTGTATGGAATTACGGGATTAGTTGCTATTTTGAATAAAATCAAATCTCGTAAATTCATTAAATTCGCGCTACACTTAAGCTGGCGTTCTGATAGTGCGTCTATTATTTTTAAACACTGCAAAATCTTTCCGGATTCTAACAATTGAGGCATATATAAAAACAATTTGTCCAAATCTATTATTGTATGAAGTGAAGCCAAGCACTTATTTCCTCCGAACAAAACTTTCGTACAATCAAATTTGTCTAATTCCATATATTTATTAAGATATTTAGTACGGGCGTCGGTATTCTGCTGCGTAGTACTTTCTGTTAGAACGGGATGTATCCTTCTAATAATATGAGCTAACACCCAATTGTGTAAGACAATGTATGTAAGACACTGTGGGTCAGGAGTGCGGGGCAATGGTGCCATATCGGCGATTGGTTCGACAAACAATTTTTCCTCCGCATTTTTAAAATCATACACAACTTGTAACAGATTATTAAAATTTTCCTCGCTGGCTTCTCTCAACGAACTAGCCAAAGTAATCGAAGGACAAAAGTTGAGAATTAGTTTAGGGATCAGGTTTATGTTTAATTTCTTGCATATCGGCTCCAAATATGTTATTGGTAACTCTTTGTTATTTAGCATACTTCCAAATATATCGTGCAACTGTTTTTCTAATATGTGGAAATACGGAACATCAGCGTCAGTTTCATTATCCTTATCTTCCTGTTCAAGTTGAAATACAGATTTTGTGTACATATAGCATTTCCTTAAATAGTGCACCCGAGATTTTTTAGAGCCGTGGCGAGAAACCTCAGCCAAATTATATAGATCTTTGTCAGAAGCGGCAACAACATTCATATAAATTTGATGATATTTTTGTAATGCTTTTTCGTCCAAATGGGTAGCTTGGCTTGGAGTTACAACATCAGCTAAATCCAAACAGCATTGCCTGAGCTCTTTTGAAAGCTGATTTAATTTACAAAATTCTTTATGTTTAATTGGAATACGACAATCTGTTATAATTTCACAGATATTATCTGCAAAATCAAAAGATTTATCTGTGTTACCAAATATTTCGAAAGTGACACTTGCTACGTCTTCAACGAATCTAATATAGTTTGTTTTCTTTACCGCAGTTATGTCTGTACTGCAACGCACTTCTGCAAGTTTTCGTTCGACTACGTTTATTAAGCCATACGTTATTTCTCTATTTAGTCCGCTGCTCAAAAGAATATCAACAGCGTTAATAAATGGTGCGTTTTGATGACTATACAGCTGTAGATGTGGATGTCGGACGCCTAATTCGATAATGTCAAACGAATTAGGTGGTCTATTTGACGCTAGGAAGCCATCTACGAGGCCCATAACTTCTGTAGAGACGACTGACAGCGCCGATAGCTCTTTAGTAGGGTAGCGGGAACAATCTCGATAGCAAATAATATTTTTTATTTTTGCAATCAAATGTCTCAATTGCTCTGTAAACGTTACTTCTGTAGCAATTTCTGAATCTGACAAATCGAACATCTGAAAACAATTTTTACTCTTGAGTTCATATCTAAATTGGGAAAACTTACATTTATCTCACGAGTAAACACATAATGTGGTAAGAATATTTAAAAAATATTGTGGAATATTTCTTTTTATTAATATTATTTCAAAAAGTTATTACTGACTTATTAGACTTTATTAAGTTAATTGTATAGGTATGTATATACATAGTTATTTCATCGTATATGACACAAAAGATGTCAAAGCATTATTATAGTTAAACTTTTACATAATTATTACCTACTCACTATGGACAGTTTTATAAGATATTCAATAATTATTTTTAGCCTTCACATAATTATTGCTGCTTCTACCACTAATGCTAGAAAACTAAATAAAAGTTATCACCAGAAAAACACCGATGATTTTTTTAAAACGAGCAAGGATGACATGGTGATTTAAAATCTTTTTAATGTACTTATATTCAAGTAAATGTATTTTTAAATAACTACTTCGGTTGTACATAATAAAATTCATCAAAAATATAATAGTGCATTGTTTACACGCTTCATTACCGTATCGATAGGTAAAGTCATAACTATAAGCCACGTATTTTCAAACAAACCAACATCATATTATGTACCTACTCGTAGGAATGTATTTGCATTACATCTCTGATAAAGTGTATCTGTTATATTTCCTAGGAATATCAAAGTATTTTCAATTAGCAACTGTTTACATAACATAATTATATTGCGTACGTATGAGTCAGGGTCATATTGTTTACATTTTAACTATGAACATGTATTCACTATCGATAAAACGTGAGACATTATTATGCCTCGCAGGTTAATGACTGCGCTGATAGCATACTGTCGTGAAATCACAGAAATTGCAACTTTTGAAAGAAAACCTGCATCTATACTCTATAGGCATGGATGTACGGTACTATGTAAATGTGATGAAATCTTACTAATATTATAAATGTGAAAGTTTAGATGTATGTTTGGATGTTTGTTACTCAATCACGCCAGAACGGCTAAAAGGATCTTGATGAAATTTGACACAGAGAAGATTATAGTCTGAAATAGCAATAGTTTTTATCCCGGGAAGATGTATGGGTTCCGTGGGATAGATTTGTTTCAGTTTTTCTAGAGGCGAACCCGAGCGAAGCAAGGGTGAGCCACTAGTAATAAATAAAAAGTACCACATTAATTTTAATCTTCAATGATTATAAAAAGAACTAGCGGTTCACCGTCGCTTCGCTCGGATATGTCCCCAGGTACATTTTAACGGTAAGTATGGAATATTCTTTCACGCCCAAACAGTGACGGATTGGCGTGATTTTTTTTGTGTCGATATAGTTCGAGGGCTGGAGAGTGACAGGTATACATAGGTATCCCCCCCAACGTGCGTTCACCTTGTCGTGGTGGGGGGGCTCAGTAGTGCCCGGCAATCCAACCGGGCGCGAAGCTAAGAAACGCACAGGGAGGTTGCCCACTTCGGTGGGCGGTGGGAGGTGGCCCTCTTCGGGGGGCGGTGTACCATGCGGGTTGCTCCTGGTACTTCTCTGATAGCAGAGTGGACTGTGGAGCAACCCCATGGTTGTGGTGGTCTGCTTTGGCAGACCTGCCGTCGGGGCGTCGTAGTTGAATGCGTAAGCGATCCTGCGACGCCCCATTAAGACGGGGGAAGGTTTTGTTGGGTTTAAGTGGGTAGTACTGGCTGTATTACGCCGGTGAGTCCCACACATCGTGCATAAATGCATTTCCCAACGTTAAAAAAAAAAAATTACATAGGTATGATGAGTTGTTGTGGGTTGTAATATAGCGTATTTTTGTTCGTATTAGGAATGAGATAATCTCCCGCGGTAAAAAGTAGCCATGTTAGTTGTCACTCTCCAACCCTCCAACTATCTCCACACAAAAATCCAATCCGTCACTCTGTTTCGACGTGAAAGAAGGTTAAACAAACACACTTTCACATTTATAATATTAGTATGGATAAAATATATTAAGTTTAAGTAATTATTATTTATTATTTCACTTTTACCTTAATGAATAACTTAAGTCAAAATAAAAATGTTTGGTGGAACCATGATTGGCGAGTCAGAATTGTACTTTTTTACGGTTCATAAATTGATGTAATTGGTATTTTTTTTATTAAAAACAAAATGTTATGACACCTTATTAAAGAAGAAATAATTATGATGGGCACGCAGACTGAATACAAATCAAAGAACAAGAATTATACTAATTTACTTACCAAGTATGACTATTCTGAACAAAACATAAATTCAGGGTGGAGCAGACCTTACACGAAAGAAAGGAAAGGTAAACCGAAATTATATGTGAAAGGATGTCTGTCTATTTATTTGTAGCACCTGATCATACAACTAAATCGATTTCATTGAATTATTCCTCAAAGATAGTTTGCATGAAGAAGAAAGCTACTAAGTATTAGAAAAAAGAAAACATAAGATATTTTTAGTAGATACCTACCTAGTGGCAAAACTATGGAAGGATTCTGATATAAACTACATATATTTGCTTATACTTTGATCAACACATATAATCTATACTAATATTATAAAGAGGTAAAGTTTGTGATGAGTTAGTTGTAGGGGGTAATCTCAGGACCTACTGAACCGATTTAGATGAAATTTGGTAAGAAGATACTTTGAGACCCTTGGAAGGACATAGGATACATTTTATCCCGGAAATCATCCCTTAAGGGGTTAAAAATGGGGATGAAAATTTGTATGGGGAATCTGGAGAATCAATCTAGGGATGAACCCGAGCGAAGCGAGGGTAAGTCGCTAGTATCTAATAAAGAGTCCCCCCCCCCGCGCCTAACATAAATTTAATTTTACATATATGATAAACAATGTAAACATCTTTAATTTCTAGGGAACAAAACAAACCATCTATTCCAATCCGTTTATGATATTCCAATAAACAGAAATTATACTAATGAAAAGTTGAATGAACGCTTCAAGTCAATAATCGATATACTTCAAGATAAAAACATTATACGAATATTATGCATCCTCTATATAATGCTAGCAGTTCCTTTATGGTGTACCAGAGGTAAGATTTCTAAGAGTTTTGCCTATTGTATATGCACCTAATAAAACATACAGACATACGGACGAAAAAGTAATTGTTTTAAGGGTTCTGTTTTACTGAGGCTGGGTGTACAATGTATTAATAAATACTAAGATTTATTTCCATTTAAGTTCATCGTTCTAAGCACTCAATTACTTACTCGCGGTGAATAGATTTCAACAATGACTGCTTCGATAGTAACAAAAGCAGTACTTGACCTGAGAGACTTAAGTAACAGTTTTCATTACTCTATTTTTTAAAGATACTTTAATCTATACTTACTCAATATAACATCAGTAAAATAATGGATTCAGATAGTTTTGTAATTATTGTAGTATAGAAGGATTTAATATGCGAGCAAAGCTTCAAGGAGAACAAATACGCGTAATGCTAAAGATATAAACCTATTCTCGAAACCTTTTAAAATCTATAATTATATTATAATATTATAACAGAAGCCATCGCTTATGTTTACAATTTATTTAATAGACTTTTAATGTAATTTTCTTTGTTGTAGCTATAGCTAAAAGTCATAATAGAAAACAGTAAGTTCAATTAAATCAAGTAAATAACAGCCAGATCGCAGCATACATAATATATATTTATTTTGTTTTAAAGGTTGGTGTTGTTGCTTTTTATTTTGCAAAATTTTCAAACCAGACAAAACTATAGAGGAAGCTAAGAAGTTCGTAGAATTGAATCCTCCGGGAGTATTACTTCATGGAGACACAGTAATACATTACGAGCCCAGTGATAATGAGAGACATTGTTATCAAAAGTTCGAGCACTTAATAAGGACTATTATATATACTATTATATAGGTAGCTATAGTTTTTACTAACACAAAAACACTTTACATTCTTTACAATGCACCTATTTTATTAATGAACATGTTTACGTTAAAATTTTTGTTGACCTATGTAGTAAAACGACACATGCTAGTTGCCGACTGATTTATTTATATTATACCCACACCTTTATATCTTAATATTACTACATCTTCCCCTTCAATGAGAAAGTTATACTTATGAAAAATAGAAATATACAAAATAGCAAAAATCTACAATAACAAAAACAATGAAGTATTTTAATGTACTATATACCTATATTATTATTATTTTTAACAATATAAACCATATAAATCGTATACCTACACTGATAATGACAAGGCTAAATAAAATCTTTGTTTTTTCTAAAATCTTTTGCATCTATACATACAATGTACATAATAAGTATTTTTGTAATTTCCTTTAATGCTACTACTTATGTATGTATATTAATAAATTTTATCGAGATATACAATATAAATATAACAAAAAAAATATATAATAAACATAGTAACAATCCATATTAGTACATATTATTCTCGTTTTTTAATAATAATTTAGCTTGCCTTCTTGTAATAGGCCCATAAATATTTTTTGGAGGGCTACTACGTGCATGCTTAGAATCGCTATTCTGTTCTGAAATTAATTTACTTGTACAGCCCTCTTTAAATGGCTCACCTTTGCCTACTACGCTCGCTTTGTCCGAAGTTAACGCCGTGTCACCCGACTGTATGATGTCATGTTTTGCTTGTGCCCGTCTGCGCACTAGATGACGCCTATTTCGCCTATATTTACGTCCAGCTTCATCTTCTACAATGTATGATCTGGGTTCAACTGCCTGATGCAAAACTTTTACAAGTTTACGCTGCTTACCGTCGACCATGACAACTTTGTCGTTATTATGCAGGACCGGGAGACATTTTGTTGTTTTATCATAATTATACTTTTGCTTTTCTTGTTGTTTAAGCATAGCCCGATGATTTCTTTCACGGTCAACTGGTACGTCTAATGCTTTATGGTAAATGGGTAAACGTGTGTTTAATTTTCTTCCCATTAGAATTTCGGCAGGTGAAACAACCTTTTCCCGAGGCGTCGACCTAAAATTCAACATACTTAAATAATAATCATCTCCTGAATCGGAACATTTTTTTAGTAAATTTTTCACTGTACGTACGGCTCGCTCACTTTTGCCATTACTTTGCGCATAAAAAGGAGAGGTTTTTGTATGTTTAATATCCCAATCACAAATAAATTGCTTAAATTCGTTAGACGCGTACGCGGGACCATTATCCGTCACTAATTCCATAGGGATTCCGTATCTTGAAAATTGTTCTTTCATCGCTTTTATAACTGATTTACTATTAATTGAATTTAATTCATTAACTTCAATGAAATTTGAAAAATAATCAACCAAAATAAGATAATATTTATTTTTATATTCAAATATATCAGATCCTAATTTAATCCAAGGTATATCAGGAATACTGTGCGGAATCATAGGTTCGCGCCGCGGCATCTGTACGTGACGGGTACAAGTCGCGCAATCACGTACAGCGCGCTCGATGTCCCGAGACATACCTGGCCAAAACATCACTTGCCGCGCCCGCCGCTTACAACGTTCTATACCGAGATGGCCTTCGTGTATCCTATTTAACATTTCACCTCGCAAACTAGCAGGAATATACAATAAATTTTCTTTTACGATCAAACCGTTGATATAGTGTAAGCTTTCGCGATAAGACCAAAATATTCTGAGTGTCGTTTTTATTTTATATTTATTTTTAGGCCATCCTTTCATAATGTAAGCACACAGATCCTGACATTGTTTATCTTTTGCTATATGTTCCCGCAATAAATCCAATTTTTTATCGCTAAATTGAAAATTATTAATTAAAAAACATGTTTGTGCTTCTAAATTACGGTTTAAGCGGTCATACGTATTATAATCTGATAAGGGTGCGCGGGATAGTGTATCTGCGATATACATATATTTTCCCGGAGTATAGATAACATTAACATCATAATGCTGTATCCGTAACAACATACGCTGTAACCTCGCAGGTACCGAGGACAAGGATTTTTTAAAAATTGATTCTAGTGGCTTATGATCCGTATGTATAGTAACATCACACCTACCATAAATATACTGATGAAAACGTTCACATGCGAAAACAATAGCCAACATTTCCTTCTCGATTTGAGCATATCGTCGTTGCGTATCAGTAAGCGTGAGCGAAGCAAACTCGACCGGACGACCATCCTGCAGCAACACTGCGCCCAGCGCCTCTGAGCTCGCGTCCACCGATAGCACAATAGGTAGATCAGTAGAATAAAGTGCTAAAACTGGGGCTGTTGCTATTTTACTTTTAAGTAATTCTACTGCTTTTGAGTGCATTGATTCCCATATCCATTCTATATTTTTTCTTAACAACCCCCTTAGAATAGCTACTGATTCAGAATAATTAGGAATAAATTTTGAAAGATAATTAACCATACCTAAAAATCGTTCTAGAGATTTTCTATCCGTTGGAACAGGCATATCCAAAATCGCTTTTATTTTATTTTTATCTGGTCTCATACCATGTTTATCAAACACGTGACCCAAGTACGTAATTTCTTCTACACCGAATTTGCACTTTTCTTTATTAAACCGCAAGCCAATATCTCTTGCTCTTTCTAATAATCGTCTCAAGCGTACATCATGTTCTTTCCGAGTTCTTCCCCATACAATAATATCATCAATAAATGAGTCAACACCATCTAAGTCCTCTAAATGCTGCCTCACTTTCGAGTGAAACAGTTCGGGTGCACAGCTTATGCCATATGGTAAACGCAAGAATTGATACCTGCCAAAAGGTGTACTAAATGTACAAAGATCCGCACTGGCGTCGTCCAGCTGCAGCATCCAGAAGCCGCAGCGCGCATCCAGCACACTAAAGTAGCACGCGCCGCTCAGTCTCGCCGCCAGCTCGGGCACAGTAGGCAAAGTGTAATGCGTCCGCTTTATTGCATTATTTAACGGTCGCGGATCTAAGCATACACGTAACTCACCGTTTTTTTTCGCTACTAAAACAATAGCATTGACCCATTCAGTCGGATGCTGAACTTTACGAATGACCTCTAAATTTTCCATACGTTTTAATTCGTTAAATAACTTATCTCTAAGCCCATGAGGTATTTTCCGTGCTGGACATATACTAGGCTGTACCGCCTTATCAATTATTATTTTATGCATCCCTGGCAACTTACCTAAACCAGAAAATAATACAGAAAAATCTTTATCAATATTGAGAGAATCTACTCGTTTTATTAAACCCATTTTTACACATGCATTCAATCCTAATATATTTTGACAATTCATATCACAAACAACAAAGTTTAAATTGTACTCATTTTGCTTGTATATAATAGACAAGTTACACTGCCCTATAATCGGTACGACATTACCGGTATAAGAACTTACACGACCATTGTAAACACTAAGTTTTTGACAACTAAAACCCAAATACTCGTAATCCCATTTTGATAATACATTTAACATTGATCCTGTATCTAACTTAAAAGTTAATTTCTTACCATTACAATATAAATTATCAAACCACTCACGAGACTCTTCACACCTCTTGCTGCAATTTATCATATTAATATAAATTATATCACTATTGGATTCTTCGGAACTCACACTCAAGTTATGCACACGTTTTGTCACCTTTTTGCACATTCGAGCAAAATGACCTCGACCTTTGCAAGAATAACACTCTGCCTGCTTCGCTATACACCTTTGTTTACCGTCACAAAACTCCTTGCCGCAACGCCTACATCCACGAAATTCGCCGGGAACACGACCACCGCCACGCACTAGCCCTGCTGCTGCCTCGCCGTTGCGCCAGCTGTTACGTGGGCGCGCCCGCCATGCCATGCTGGCGTCGCGCTCCTTATCTCGCATACTTTTACTATTACCACAGCCCGCGACTTCATCGATTTGAGTACTGGAAGATGCCTCTTCTATCTGTTTACTTTCATGCCTCGACATTTCATCCGCTTCACAAATTTGTATAGCCTTCGCCAAGGTTAACTCATCGGTTCGAAGAAGCCGATCGCGAACGACATTGTTTGAAATTCCACATACAATGCGATCTTTAATTAAATCATCCGTAAGATGCTCGAACTTACAGCCGTGACTCAGCACTTTCAAGGCTGTGACGTATTTGTTAATTGTTTCGCCTTCGATTTGATTGCGCGTAAAGAACTTAAATCTTAACATAGTCACATTAGATTTCGTCCCAAAATGCAAGTCGAATTTATTTTTCAAGCATGTCAAATCATCTGCACTTTCACCTTTGTTGTATGTAAAAGTCGAAAATATTTCGTATCCGTCCGGGCCTATGAGATTCACGAGTAAGCTAGCCTTTACATCTGACGGCTCTTTTACTACACCTGACGCCTTAAGAAATATTTCGAATTGCTTCCACCATCTTAACCACGCGTCAGCGCGTGCGGCGGGACTGCCTTCTATCTGCAACTCCGTTGGCGGCCGAGCGTGTTCCATAATTTATTTTAATAGTAAAACTTCCTTTTATCACTTTTATCGTTACTTATTTTGTTTTAATAACTTCTATACTTGAGAAATCTTTTATTAAATATCCCACCGCTGCCACCATGTAGTAAAACGACACATGCTAGTTGCCGACTGATTTATTTATATTATACCCACACCTTTATATCTTAATATTACTACAACCTATAAATAAATAAATATTGTATAAACTATAAAGCATTCTTCAGACGTGCCCTTATAATTATTATTTTTGTAATGACGTTACACACTCCACTATGGGACTTCTATACATATAATAAAATTGTAACTAAGCCGAATCTGTACATTAAATATTTTTTGGAAAATATTATTGAAATAAACATTATTATCGATACAGAGGCCGAATCTATAGTTTTTACAATTTTGTCTGTCTGTTTGTTACCACATCACAGAAAAACCACTGGAGGGATTTTGATGAAACTTGGTATGGTGATAGCTGGTTATCCGGGTTACAACATATAGGATACTTTTTACCGCGAGAAAATATCTCATTTTTGAGAACAAATACAAAAACTGCAATGTAAAAGTATACTAATATGTAAAACCTAAGAATTTGGTTTTTGGTTGTCTGAACGCGGGCGGAGCCGCGGGCAATGTTATTAATAAATCAACTTATCTGCAATCGATCACACAGTAGTTAAGTAGTTTAATATCGCATAAATAAAATATGTACCTTTTAGAAAAATAGACATAAAACATACCTCTAAGATTTGATTTGCTTTAGAAAAATCGTTTTGGTATAATGCCAACGCAACTAAGCAATTCGGTTTGGCCAGCATTATTGAAATGAAATCTATAGGGTTCTTCTTTAATGAACATGCTGGAAATAATAAAATATTTAAATTTTAATTATTTTAATTTTTTGTCTCTATTAAATTGTAAAAGAACAAATAAATTGTTGTTATTATTAATATACCCTCTACCAACCATGTCAATTTTGTATATATAACAAGGTTAGGGCAAAGATATATGTACTTAATAAAGATTTGTACTGAGAAGGAATCGAACCCTTGATCTTTTACAGAGTCAAATCGGACAGAGAATCAGATGTTCGACTACGCGTATTATCATACAAATATAAACAAATTACCATCCTCAGTTGCTGAGATAGTTGAAGTAAGCATGGCTTGTTCAACTTCTGGTTTTGGATTTGTATGACGTCTACGAACTTTAGGCTTTTTTCTTAAAGCTTTCTGATCAAATTCCCGGTCTTCATCTTCACTACTTTCGTCAACTTCCACGTAATCAAGACACAGTTTTAACTGGAGTGGATTTGTGTCCGGTGATAGTGTTGAAACTAATTGCATCTTCCATATCGAATGATTCACTACATTTGCAAGTGTTTTTAAACGCACCGAAGTATTCGGATCTTCCCTTTCGAGATTACTTATCTCGGCCCTTTCCCACAACGACTCCAAGCATAACTTGAGAGTATTCAAAATAATTTGAGTCGTAAAAGCATTGCACATAAAACCAGTAGTAGAACTATTAACATTTTTAGGACTTCGTGTCTGCTTTTTAGAATAAAAATAAGACGTTTCTGAATGAGTGCCACAAGGATAATCTTGATTCTGTTCATAGTATGAGAAATATTCATATCTCAAAAACAAACATGCAAATATAGTTTCAATAATTTCAATGCAATATTGCAAAGGTTGAATTGATAACACTAAGCGTTTAATGTCGTCCATAGATGTACCAATTTCTTGAGTGCTATCAACAGCTTCAGATGAATTTAATATTGTATCTATAATCTTAGAAATAGCACAATAACTGTTATAAGTTGAAATATCCCAACTACTGTTGTTTTTGTCAAATTTTTCATGTTTTTTATTACTCAATGATAGTAAATCTGAAATAAATTCATTATTCGTATTCAGTAATCTAGATACTTTATATCTATCCACCTTTGATAATCTGCAGACTTGTGATAGGACTGTTAAAGCACTCTGATTTAAAACCTGGTAGAATATGGATGTAGTCAAGATCTTGCAGTTGTTTTCAAGACAAAATTTTATAACTGTTAATTCTCTTTTCACTTCAGTCATGTAAAATTGTAGATTTTTATCTGTTGTGGTATATGTATCAAGTATTGAAAATACATTGGACAATTGATTTACAAGTGATGCCAAGTCATATGTCTCTGGACAATTTGTGAGATCAATAAGCACCATAATGAGTATTTGTTTTGTGAAGTTATTTATTTCAAATGTGACATTTTTCATATCATGCAGCTGCTGTTTGTATATTTGGGCAGCTTTTAGAAGCCAATGAGTCTTGTTTTGATAGCATAGCTCTATCATATACTCAGCTGTCAATTTGAAGTTCTTTTGTGATTCATTTCTATGCATTAAATCACAAGCGATACTTATTAATTCTGGTTTATCATGGGGTACCAGACTAATAAGTATTTGCTTCCTGTGCTGTCTAAATATATCATCGGAGAAATATTTAAATACATTGTTGATAAATTGAGTTTGCAAATTGTCATCCCACTTTGCTAATGACAATGTTGTTATAACTTTATCTAGACAGTTGTTTGATATATGATTTCTAAGCGCATTTAGATAAAGTGTCTGAATTTTATACAAATCTTTTTGAGTTACATAGATTTGTAAAAAATTAAGTATTACTGATGTTGTAACTGGATTACTTAGTAAATTAAGTTTTAAAAATTCTATAACTTCATCAGATAACTCTTTTAGTGGTTTAGATTCTTCGACACTATAGAAAATATGTAACACTTCCTAAAAATAAATCGAAATAAAAATTAGATATTCACTTATAAATTAACATTTCGAATAGATATATTTCTCATTCTCGGCTCTCACCTCAAATAATTCAACTGTTAAATTATCTAATAAACGGAGACAGTATTTTAACTCTTCTTCCTTCATTTTGATTTTTTTTCTGTAAATAAAACTCAATTTATAAGTATAAGCCGTAATGTAATTCTGCAACTTAAAATATTGTATTATCCAATTCTACTCATTTAGTACACCATTTTAAATTTTAATCGCACACAAAATATTTGATTAATTACTATACTTATTGTTTAAGGATAATTTAGAAAAACATAATGTTTAATAAACACATAATATATTATGCTTTTATGAAGCTAATACTTTTATGAAACGCCAACTAGGTATTAATTGTAGTTACATGAATTTGCTTATTTGATAACTTACCTTAAAATATTCACTTTATGTAGTAAATACAAAAGATCCTTGAAATTTATTCATGATAGTAAGAGAATGACGGCTTTACTAAAAAGTAAAAGGTAATAGTAACTGAGGAGAGACAAACTTGTTTATTTTGGAACTTTAATATAGTCTAAGTCCAAACAATATGAAATAACACTGACATTTTAATTTTGACATTGGCATTTGACGTTTCACAAATATTTAAAGTTTTTTTTTTGCCCGAACGCAAGATATCTGTCCCTGTTTTCCATTTACAGAGCAGAATAATAATTATACTCTGTAATTGGAAAACAGGACTCTGGCGCACAATGCCGAAGTGTGTTAATGCTTAATTAGTCGTCTTATTTAGTGTTGTCATTATTATATATGAAATTTAATGTTAAAATTAATTAAGAATTATAATTATGTAATAATTACATTACGGGATTTAAACGTGTGAATTCACCTTTAATTCCCGTAATTTGCGTTTAAGTCCCGTTGTGTAATTATTATATAATTATGGAACGCAAAAAGTTATTTAGTTTGCTATTATTTAAAAAAAACATAATATTAAGCAGCACTATTACTACATAGATTTACAAATGAAAGATATTAATTTCAAATACTGTAAGTTCTATGGAATTTGCTATAACTGTACTGATCCTCATTAAGTGAACCGTTGAACCGTCGACTCATCGTCGATCGGTTGATTGGACTAGTCCGTTCATTCAACGCCCATCGTTAATGAGCAGTCCTTTTGTCAACTGGCCAGTTCTTAAGCCAGTGAATATGTGAAATTTGTTTCTGAACGAATTGTGAATGTCAGTGTCAATGACAGCTAGCGGCTGGCCCATACGCCGAATGCCGAAACGAAATAACTTTGTAAATATTTTAAATTATCACATATTTGTATAAATTTAGGAAACAACATTAATGTAAATGCTTACATTTTGATATACATTTCCAAAAATGAGGTTTAAAACATGTACATATCTAAGACAAATTTATTCTATAAGTTGTAACCACTATCGTCAATATAATGTACTAAGTACTACTCAGAATATACTTGCAGTTCATCGTATTAATAAAACTCCTTTTAAGCTTTCATCCTTAATATGTGTATATTCTTCGGATAATAAAAAACATTTACTAGAAAAGAAAACAGATGCTATAAAGAATGTGCTTGAACAAAAAAAAGAGCAAATTAAAGAAACTGAGTATAAAATTCGTCAAAAAGGTGTAGAACTTGTTCGAGATTTGAAACAGCAAAAAGAAATAACAGGTCAAAAGTTTAAAGTTAAAAAAGATCATTTGGTAAAAGATATATTAGAAACGAGAGCTAAAGTCAGAGAAAAGATTGAAGAAGTTGTTGAGGTATATATATTTAGTGTAGTGTTTTATCGTGTCAAATATAATATTTATTAATATCTAATCTATTTCAGAAAGAAAATGTTTTTACAGTACCTAACATATTGTGTGTAACTAGGATAGTTATGTCACCATATTTGGGTTATATTATATTGCAAGATAATTATAATTTGGCTTTAGGACTATTAGTATTTGCTGGAATAACTGATATGGTAAGTCTTCATATAAACTGAAATATTTTATTTTAAACAAAATTTAACTTACCACATTAAGAAACTGTAACAATGACTAGTATATGCATAAACTCAAATTGATTATAAATATTATTAATACTATTTTTTGTATCTGGTGTTACACTGTAAATTTTTTGTATATGTATAGAATTGCATTATAAGACCTGAATATTGTTTATTTCGCTATTTTTAACTAAAGTTAATGTATAAAAGACCTTAAAAATACTAGATTATATATTTGTCTACTCATATTTTATTGCTTTTTATTATTTCTATCTTATACAGCTGGATGGTTGGATAGCAAGAAACTGGGAAGGTCAGGCATCTAAGATGGGATCTTTTTTAGATCCCATGGCTGACAAAGTATTAATTGCAACTCTTTTTATCAGCCTGACATGGCAGAATTTAATACCTCTACCCCTGACATTACTTATAGTTGCCCGTGATGCAGCCCTTGTTGCAGCTGGTTTTGTTATTAGATATATTAGCCTCCCCCCACCAGTAAGTATTTTACATAGACATTATTTTGAATAGTACTAAGAACTATATAATATAATATTCATTTATCTTGAAGTTATTCTAACTGCTATCTTTTTTAAATAAAAATCAATACATATTTATCAATATCTATTTAATATTTCCTTTGCAGAAGACACTCAGCAGGTATTTTGATGTAACCCATGCAACAGCTCAACTTGCGCCCACATTTATAAGCAAAATGAACACTGCAATTCAACTGTTATTGGTAATGGCCTTGCCCTTAATAATCTTGATTTACTTACAAGTTATGCAGTCCAACACATTTGTAGAGCAGAGTATACAATTTAATTGCATTTCTTAAATACTTGAAATTACCTTTTTAAAAAGCCCTCAAATGTTGGCTCATTACTCAAAATTGCTTATTAAAATTAAATTTTGCAGGTCGGAACAACTTTGGCGTCACCCGTCTTTGGCTATGTTGATCATCCCGCATTACATGTCCTTTGTGGGTTAACAGCTGCATCAACCATTGTTTCAGCACTAAGTTATTTAATAAGTAAGGATACTTATAAAGTTTTAAAGAAGAAATTATGAGTTGAATGAATGACAATATATTTGTGTATAGTCTTCCGGTGCTTATTGTTTGTACATAGTATTCAGAGTGAACACTTTCTAAATTAAATTATAATCAAATCATTTACATATAGTCATAAAGGATGAAAATTTTATATTAAGAGTTAATTTATGGTTTAAATAAATACTCAATATGTATAAAATAGGGTAGTTTTATTTTTTCATTCTATTCACATGAATAAACTGCACATAATGCATAAAATATATTATAAAAATGACGAAGTACAAAATTATACTTAGACCAACTAAACAAAACAAAAATTTTAAATGTTCACATGAACAAAATATACTGTTGTTCCTTAAATATCGCTGAATTCATGAAAGCAATCATATATTTAAAATGGTATGAGGTAAAAACAATTTTGGTTCACATATAACATTTACAAAAATAATGTGTGGAATGTTGAAAATTGTTAAAGGGGAATTATTTGTTATTGTTTGTTAGCCAATTGTTAATTAATATATTATTTCCATGATTTTTATATAATAAGAATAAATCATATACAAATATATAAGTCTAGACAGAATAACCTTTCTGCTTAAAGTACTTCCCAATACAGAATGCCAAAATATTACAAGCTGTAATATTTTTGCATTGTCAATATTACTAAGGAATCTTGGACACTACAGTTACTATATCTAATAGTCTTAATATTACAAATTTCAAGAAAAATCAGTTATAATTTTCTGTTTGTTACATTGGACTGAATGGATGGTGAGTTCATTTTTTAAAGGCACACTCACTATACAACCAAATAGATTTTTTAATAAATAAATACCATATATTAATGAAAATATTGAATATTTAGTTAATTAAACTACCTTACATTGGTGGAGATAATTGGAATAGGAACAGAATTTTAGAATATATTTGACTAATTTAGGCCAATGTGAAATAAGCAATGTTTATTGTGAATGAAAAAAAAAGCATTTAAAACTAACTTCACTTCACTAAATATTAAACACTTAAGACTTCATAATCTCTTTAGAAAACATACAATACAACTGTTCTGAAAATAAGTTTAAGACTAGATCAATATTTAACAAGCAAAATTTAGAGCCTGGATAAGGTATTTCCAACATGTAATACTTTAGAACTTATAATGACCATAACATAATTTTTTTTGTTTAATATTAGAAAGCACAATAATAACAAACTACTCTTATTATTGATATATTATAAGTTTATATATTAATATTTTGTTATAAATCAATCACTTATGGCAGCAAACATTTTATAAGTATCAATTATGCATTTAATATTCACAACAAAACCAAATTCTGTATAAAAATGGTACACAATAAATTATATCCGATTCTGACGACAAGTCACAAATGTCTCCATTATATAAAATTTGCACCATTTATGAGCATTCATGACACATTCTCTTAAACAAATCTTTGGATATTTTAGAGAGTTTGCTAATCAACTACTAAAGCATTTATTAATAGTTGTAAATATTTTTATTGTTTAGTGAAAATTAAGAATATGTTCAGCAAGCATAAAAAGGGCTTATTAAATTTTTGCAAAGCACCAAGTGAATTGCTTGTTATTGCATTAATAAGATATGACACAATTCACAAATAATATAAAATTAATAATGTCATAAGGTAAAAACTTAAATTATAATTAATATTTTTTTATAATTGTACAAAAATAAAAAAATGACATTTTAATTGCACATACTATTAATAAACACATTAAATACAATGTAATTTTTATTAAATGGTAACAGCACTTGCTTGCTTTAAGTATTTATAGTATGATACATTAGAGTATTTGTGAGGGATTATGCTCTAATGCTGTTTGTAGGTTTCTAAATGTTGATTAATTAAATGAAAATGATTATGAGTGTATAGTCAATGCATGCAGTGTTCCAATAATTAACCAACTTTATTTATAAGCTCATCACAGATGGCTGTAAGCTCTTCATTATCTTTAATTTTCTGCGCTAAAGATTCTTGTAGAGAGGAGGCATGCACCTCACTCTTTTTAAGCATAGCATTTAATTTTAAAATTTCAGCTTGATGAGATTTTTTCACAGAATCTAATTCTGCATTCGCTTTGTTTAATTGTTGCATAGCATGTTGTCGTAACGTTTCATACCTGGCCTCTAATTTTTGAATGGCATCATTATTTTCTTCAACTGTTCTCTTTAAGGTCTCTTCATTGCCTTTATACCCTTGAATAATTACTTTGCATCTTTCATATTTTGTATGAACATCATTGAAAGCATGTTCCATAGACGCTAGATGGGCTGCAGCCTCATCTCTTTCCCTCAAAAGCGTACCTCTCTCCTCAGTCCACCTTTTGGCCTCAGTTTCTCTTTCTCCTATCAAGGAGGATATTGTACGTTCATATTCTTCCATAACAACACTCATTTGCTTGTTGTTTCTAACTTTTTCAGCAACTCTTTGGGATAGAGCCTTTTCTTTTTCAGCATATTCATCATTTTGGTCTGAAAGCTTTTTTATTTTTGTTTCACAGTCTTCCAGACGTTCTCGCAACTCTCTGTTAAGATCTCGTAAATTTTGTGCTTCTTCTTCTTGTGCTGTCAACATCTCTTTAACAGCTCTCAATTGTTCCAAAGTATGAGGATCCATATCAGATGACCTGGTAATAACAGGTGGTGGAGGAGGAATATTAACACCCAAACTTAAAAGTCTATCAATAGTTGCAATAGCAGGAGAAACAGGATTTGTTTTCACCGGTGTAACTTTGGCTGAAGCTGCTTGACTTCTATTAACAGCAGGTGTGACAACTTGAGTAGGTTTCTCTGTATGGCCACTATTAGTTGGTTGCACAGACAATTGTTGCAAAGAGTTAACTATATTTTGCTCTGTACCTGACATGGTACTTTGCAGATTTTACACGAAATTTGTAATTGCACTATTTTAAATGGCTACAATCTTCCAACCTTTTCTTCTGACATCCTCTCCTAAAACCATATAAAGGAATGCATTTCCAAGGACAATGACATTGCTACACTACAGACGTTATTGACATTATTCTAAGCAATTATGATAAAGTAATTGAAAGATCAAATAAAGCTCAACTTTAAGCTCACCTGGTGTTTAGAAAAGTTATAAAATTACAAAATAATTGTAAACATCCCACGCATGGAAATAGGAATTTTCATTTTAAATTCGCAATTTTTATATATTTATCGATTCACCACCTATTGCTCTATAATTGTTCCAAAACACTTGTGAATATTTTAATACCCTTGGCACTGTTTCACACTTCACTTTATATGGTAATAAACTTAAAAATTTTCTCTAAATGGTCGACGGATGGATGACATCAGAATTCAGAATATTTCACAGACTTAAATAAAAACAGATAATATAATTGGAATGTCAAAGCATAAATGATGTCAGGTCAGAGAAGAATACATAGCAATCCGTAGCAACTCTTTATAGTTTGTCTTTGTGATGGCAAGACTCACGGAAAAGATAAAACTTATAGTCTACAGTCCCCTACGGGTTTTTTTTAATCATTATTAACACTAACAAATTAAAACTTATAGCTTCGTTTTGACCTACCCTACCCCAGCCTGCAAATTTATGATATTTGCAATGAAAAAAATACTAATCGATAGATTTTCAATAGCTCAATTTAACTACGTAGCCCTTTCAAATTGCTCACCTTTAATTATTTAATTAAAAATCAATAAAGTCTTTGAAAAAAAATTAATTTATCTGTATATTCAAACTCCTATATCTTTTGATGTATACAATATTTCAAATTGCTCAAAGTTCTAAAACACTGCTCAAGTTGCATTTGTAATTGCTCAAGTAGAGTTTTTACCAGCTCCACTTTCGCTGATTATTAAATAATTAAAAGTATAGTTGTAATAATTGTAACGTAGGTTAAGTGAGCGTGCGCATGCGCACCGCGCATTGTCGGTCGGCCTCGGCGGGCTTGGACAATCGTTCCAATTCAACGTCTTAATTCTGTTTCTCGGTGGATTTCTTTAAATTTATTGAATTTATGAATTGTTCACATTACGTGATTCCACTTCAGATATTATAACATAAAGAACAGATCTGGAATCTACCAATAAATGAAAATTAATACCAACAGATAAATTAAGACAAAATCTTATGTTCAAATGCTTATTCTATTAAGGTAATAGCCATGACAGGGATCATTAGTAAAATGTTATTAACATCAATACAAGACGGAACTTTTTTTATTTTTAAATATACATATAGTTTAATGACATTTTTATTTCAAAGAAACAAACTGCATGAATATAAACTGCCTTTAATATAAAGGAATTTTGAACTCTGATCAGCAATCAATAATTTAATAATACTGCTGCGATCCTTTTTAGCTCCTGGAAGCGCCACAAACATTCCATCTCTTGATGCTGAGCTGATCGCCTCTCGGATGTTCCATCTCATTTTCAACAGCTTCGTCTCACTCTTTGACTCCATCTCATTAGAGCCCTTAGTACCGTCCTCTTTTTCCTGATTAATTTAGCGGCGATGTTTCATTTTTCTTAGCGGAGTCCAGTTGTGGGCCGTTTACCGGCATTTATGCTGTTTTCCTTGCCCGAGCGAGACAAGGATTTCTCGTCGTCCTCGTCATCGTTGATTATGCAGAGGAGGTCTGATTCTGAAACTTCTTGGACTTCTACGTGTGTACCTATTAAAATAACAATTGATATTGTACATTGAAAATACTTGTATAGAGTGTGATCTTGAATATCATAAAGAAGATAAAGACATGCGTACCTTTTAAAGGCAATATGGATTCAAAGTTTCAACGAGCTCCTTTAGAAATTTATCATTCTTCTCACTGCTTGCGACCTCAGTGGTTTATAACTTAGTTAGACGAAGTACAGAAGTACAGCGTCAACTCTGGTCTTGTCACCGGTTGCATAGTGCAGGGAGAGAATCGCCAATATTCATCAGAACTTATTCAAACTATTTATATTTATTTAATAATTAAGGAAAGTGGAGCTGGTGAGAACTCTACTTGAGCAATTACAAATGCAACTTGAGCAGTATTTTAGAACTTTGAGCAATTTAAAATATTGTATATATCAAAAGATATAGAAATTTGAATATACGGATAAATGAATTTTTTTTCAAGGACTTTATTGATTTTTAATTTTATAATTAATGGTGAGCAATTTGGAAGGGCTACGTAGTTGAATTGAGCTATTGAAAATCTATCGATTAGTATTTTTTTCATTGCGAATATCATAAATTTGCAGGCTGGGGTAGGGTAGGTTTCGTTTTGACTAGAGGCCCAACTTTTCTTTATACGAAAGTGTGATATTGGTAAATAGGGAAGGATTTTGCCTTTTTCTCGCGCCAGATGTCGCAATCACTATGATCCTCAGTATATTGTAAAGCTCATAGCATCGATGGATTTTTTTTCATTTAAAATTAAATTAAAATGATAAATTGTGCACTGCAAGGATGCAAAGAATCATCTGTTCACAAAATATAAAAAATGAAGAAATTGCAGGCTAAAGCAATAAGACGACCAAAATTGGTGAAATCACAATCTTTATATTTAAGGCTGTGTGGACATCATTTTACAGACAGTGATTTTAAAACTCTTAAATCGTCTACAGGTGAATATTTTTGAAGTTATATTTCTTTTGGCACGTTTGGAAAAAATTATGAGTAAAATTTTTGCGATGCACGCGCACACCGACATGTGACATACGGGATCAAATCTTTACCTATTTTTGTACTCATAAGCTAAAGAAGTATAACTTCTTACGTGCGTATATAAGTACACACACATGTTTATTTTTTGTACTTTTTTACATATTAATAAAGAATTTCGTACAAACTTATATCCCCCATTTTATCCAATTATGGGATTGAATTTCGAAAAATGCTAAAACACGTATTTATTTAATTGTATTGAAGAGTGTCAAATAATTCTGATTAATTATTCTGAGTAATTTAACTGCCTCGATGGTGTAGTGGCTAGCATGTACGGCTGCACACCTGGAGGTCTTGGGTTCGAGTCCCAGGTCGGGCACAATTTATTAATTGACTCTTTCTGTATAGTAAGCCTCAGTAACAGCCCGAAGTTGGGAAGTTGGCGGTGTTTCACCCCCGTGCCTCGGAGAGCACATAAAGCTATCGGTACTGCACCTTAACTCTTACTAGTTGTGTCGAGCAGTCGTCCCACCGGAGTATGAGAGTGATAGGAATAGAGAGTGCACTCGTGTCTGCGCGTACACTTGTGCACTATATCTCCTGCGCAGTTGGCTAGTCTCAATGGGATTGGCCGCCGTGGCCGGAATCGGTCAGGAGAACATCATCATCATGAATAATTTTTTCTGTTTCTGAACATAAATAATTTTTTGCCCATATAAGATTTATTACCTCCTTTTACCACTTTAAGGGACGAATTTCAAAAAAATCTTTCTTATCGGATGCCTACATCATATAAGGAATACGTCCTCCAAATTTCACGTTTCTATGACTAGCGATTTATACTGTGTGTTGATCCATCAGTCAGTCAGGATCACCCCAGGATACACCTCTCCTTCTCAATTCTTCCTTCAGCTGGTCTAACTTCCAGGGTACAATAAGTAATTGCACAGATAAGATGCGAACACAATAGAAGCAAAAAACCAGGTACAAAAGAAATATCACAATTGCATAACCTCAGACTAAATGTAAATAGGCTCTGTAGGCTATGTGTGTGGCGCCCTCCTTTCGAGAAATCTTCCCAAATTTACGTGCAATAAAGATTTATTTATACAAAACTTAGGTTGTTCATAAAAATATATATCTAATTTAAAATATTTATTTACGATATTTACACTCCAACTATATATCTGTCTGTTTTATACATTTCATAGGCAAATTCTTCATTATGTGTTGGATCGAACTCTAAACCTAAAAAATAAAAATAAAAACATTAGAAAAAATAGAGATTCACTATATCAAGTTCTTATTCCATTAATAAGTTGTTTTAATCATACCAATGTATTCAATTTCAAGATTAAATACACCATTAATTTTGTCGCCACAAGATATACCAAAATGCGTGATCCTGTCTAATCGTATTCTTGTTTGTTTGTCCTGTATTCTACCTTTTGATCCCAAAATAAATTTAGAAAATGGTATCTAGAAAAAAAAACATATTTATTACCTACATCTATAATACTAATCCTACTAATATTATAAAAGTGAAAGTTTGTAGTCGAGCTACTCTTTAAATGCCTGGGCGGCTGGGCCTACACACTTTTAATTCCAGCCCTGGCAATGTCCAATGTTTATGTAACGAAAACAAATTTACGGTCATTTAAATTTAAATATTTTTAGAACTGAGATTTTAAAATTAGCCTTGTAGTGGTTATCTTATTTTTTTTTAAATACCTTTGCAATTTGCCAGTAGGGACCTCCTCTGGTATAAAGCACATAATGGTAAATGTCGTTCCATGTGATATCGTAATAACCTTCACAAGAAATATTCAGTAAATAAGATCTTCCATCTCCTCTGACTTTCAAGACTAGTGTATTGTATAGATTCCAATTAAATGTAGACTCACGTTTAAAGGATTTCTGTAAATAATCATAAAATAAAAACATTTTTAAATAAAACTATGTTTTCGGATTATTTCGCAGATTTATTATGATTTTTGGTTCCCGACGTTTCGAATGCTTTACAGCAATAATGTTCACGGGAGAGACTAAGACTTTAGACGTCTTATATACTCAATTAAGAAAAACTATGCATTACAAAATATAAAAATATTTGTTGTTAAACTTTTATTTTAAGTTTCTAGTATATGGTCCTATATAATATTCATAATTGGAATTTAACATCTATACTCCAATAGGTTTGGAGGAAATTGATGTGACAGATAAATAGTCCTTGGCGTAAAATCCTATGATGGTTGCACTATTAATTCCTTTTAACGCAAGGAACCCTAAAAATGAGTAAAACTTAATTCATGTATAGTATATACTTACCCATAGTCATGAATTATTATATTTCTACTTTAATAAATCTTAATATATTTATTTCTTCCGTACGTGTGTTTGTCACCTTTCTCCTCCTAAAGCGCTGGACCGATTTCGATGAAATTTTTATGTGTATATATTTCAATGGGCTCCTGGATGGTTTGAAAACAATTGGACTCGGTAGGTGGCGCTGCTGTCGGTGTCTGTTTCAAATTCTGGATAACAAACTCTGAGTTTGTATTTTTAGTAGTTTGAACGCGGGCGAAGCCGCGGGTACTGCTAGTATAAGTATATAAACGGTCTATGCCGTGATTTTCCGTAACCCAAATGTCTTAAATACTTACTCTTACACGTTTCGATCGCACAGCACAATATCCTGCTTTTTTTATTATTCCATCTTTTGGTATTCTGGTATCAAGGTACCCGTGGAACAGTGCTCGTCCAGCGGGACTCATGTCGAAACCACAGGAACTGTATCCTTCATTGTGGTCACTGTCACATGTTGTGATAAATTTATCTAGAACTGTGGGCTCATTGAAACACCAAATCAGATCTGTCTCACCTATAGCAAAAAATGGGATTGTATGACGAGATTTTTATTCAAATTAGTTAACCGTTGAGATTTTTGGAATGGTATTTTAGTTTGAATAATTTCTGGCGTCTTTGTTAGTTCTTATAAAAAAAAATTATAATGTTATCTGGCTGAAATGAAAATATAAATACAATCACGTAAAATCACAATTTTTGTCTATACATATAATAAAATTGTAACTAAGTCGAATCTGTACATTAAATATTTTTTGGAAAATATTATTAAAATAGACATTATTATCGATACAGTCCGAATGTATAGTTTTTAAAAATTTTTTGTCTGTCTGTCTGTTACCGCATCACGAGAAAACCACTGGACAGATTTTGATGAAATTTGGTATGATCATAGCTGGTTATCCAGGTCAACATATAGGATACTTTTTACCGCGGGAAAATATCTCATTTCTGAGAAAAAATACAAAAACTGCATTGTAAGAGTATACTAATATGTAAAACGTAAGAATTTTGTTTTTGGTCACCTGAACGCGGGCGGAGCCGCGGGCAATGCTAGCTTCAAATAACATTAGAAAAGAGTTTTGAACCTCATATAATTTATATAAATAAATAGGATTTAATTTTGACAGTGAATATAAATTTTACCTATTGTACAATGTATAAATAAATAGAAGTTTTCAAAATAAAATTACACTAGCCAATTACTATTTTTAATATTGATAGCCTAATGCATATGTTTGTAGGCTGAATACTTCAATAGTATAAAATTGTACTGTTTTTTATTTTTACATTATAATTTTTTTGTGAAATAGAGTGAATTAAATAAAAGATATAATTATTTAAAATTACTTTATATGTCACAAATACTTCCAAATACAAATGTCTCAAGCTATTACTAAAATAAAATATTAAATTTTGTTTAAAAAGATAATTAATTATAAAAAAATGAGACTCAATAAACACAATTTATATAAATCAGACACCTACATACCTTAATAATTTAGTCAAAGAAAGCACCACCACAAAAAGCACTTAAATTTAAAAGGATGACAAAATAGACATAACTAAAGAAATAAAATTACAATTATAGTCTTAATTTAAAGTAACAAAGTAACTAAATTCTTTTTGATAATTAATTGAAATTTTTTGTATATAAAACAATCAGAAAGTGAAATAAAGAACTATAAGATATAATAAAAGTTAATGTCACATTAGTTTAAACAATAAGTATATACTTTTAAAAAACATTAGCGAACTTCATTAATAAGTTGATCGCATATTCTGGTTAATTCTTCATTATCCCTTGTTTTCTGTGCCAATGATTCTTGTAATGAAGAAATCATTATTTCATGTTTCTTAATTGTAGCATTCATTTTGGTGATTTCTACATTATGAGCTTTCTTTATATTATCTAGTGTTTCGTTAGCTTTATCTAGATTTTCTGCAGTGATCTGTTTTAGATTGTTATACAACTCCTCATATTTGCGCATACCTACTTCATACTCATTTATTTTGAGATTAAGTACTGTTTCCCTGTTCTTAGATTCTAAAATCAAACTCTTGCATTTCTCATATTTGGCCAATAGATCATTAAAAGAACTTTCCATACTTGAAAGGTGATTCAACGCTTGGTCTCTCTCCTGAGTAAGTTTATCCAAAATCTCTTTTGATTGTATTTTTTCTTTTTGTTGCTCACCAATTATTGCAGAAATTGTTTTTTCATATTCTTCCATAACAATAGACATCTGTTTGTTACTCAAAGTTTTGTCATTAACTTGTTGAACTAATTTGCATTCTCTATCTAGTAATATGTCTCTTTCCTCAATTAACTTTTTAATTTTACTCTCCATGTCATTTTTAGTTCTAGAAAAGCTATGTTGAATATCTTGCAATGAAGATTTCAATTCTCTGTTTTCTTGTCGCAGTTGCAAGACTTCATGGTCCTGATTCTGTAAAATCACTCTTAAGGATTGTAAGCGATCTACTTCTGGTGCTTCATAATGTTTATGACGAGGGCTACGTGGAGCAGCTGTAGGAGGAGTACTACCAGATATACTGATCAACCTCTCAGTCGCTACATGACTAGATGTTAAAATAGCAGAAACACTGCGTATAAGTGGTGGTGGTGGTGGTTTAGTTTGTGTTGTACTAGCCTTGGAGAGATCAGCACTTACTACAGGCGGAACTACTTGGGTTGGTTTTTCTTTTCCACATTTAAGCACTGTTCCAGCAGATATTGAATGTTTAGGAGTTTCAATTATATTATCAGTTATGATTGAAGTTGTACTACTTGTTTCATAACCTGTGTCTTGTTCTGAAGGACGCATTTGCAGGTTTTGTTCCATAGAATCAGCAGTTTGTAAAATTTGCTTTGCATATAGGGGATCAAATTTAACAAATAGACTTTCTTTACCTCTATCTATTAGATTGTGTTGTCGATTCGATTCAGCACATTTAACTAGATAATCTAAACTATTTGCATCAATTAACATATCATCATACATTGGAACTTCTTGCATTGTAATATCACATACACTATCAAACTCATCACCTGTAAGGAGATCACTCGTTACGTCAGGTTGTTCCGAAAGATCTTTTGTTCTTTGAGGTGACAATGCCATAAGATCACCGACCGACGACACAGGAGTTAAGAAACTTTCATCAGAAGTTACGGTATTTGCTCTTGAGGATAACATGTTCTCGGTATTTTTAGCACTGGCTTCTATTTCGTGACCAAATAGATTATGAAATTTATGGTATATATTACTTATTCCGCCATTTTCATTATTAAAGAACGTTGAATTAGTTCTTATTATACTTGAAAACATTCGTTAATTGTACAATATATGTCGGTTCCTTTATTTATAATTTTTAGGAATAAGCAGTCTTTAAAAATAAGTGTATGAGCTTCCTTTATTCTTTACCCTTTTAAAACTTTAGTCAAGTAAAAGACACCATGCAACTATGAAGTCAAATTAATATTCAACAATCAACAATCATCACACAAACGGTGTAACGGATAAAGTTTGAAAGCGACAACTTGAAGTGACATTTAAATGTCAGATTCAAAATTTAAAATATTTAGCACCTTGCCAGAAACTAAAACCATTTTTTGTTAATTATAAAATGCTGAGTAGTGAGTACATGATCAATGTAACGATGATCACTTATAAATATAATATTTACGTACACACAGATACATTAATAGTTAAATTGTATTCTAATTCCTAGTCGTATGTCATCGACCTAGTTGTTGTATCAATGTATTATGTAATTAATTTTAGAAGTAATGTAGGTAACGCATATTATTAGGATTTATGTCATGTGATGATAACGAAAATCTTTACAGACATACATCGAACTCGAGAATATTATGCAGATTCATTGCAATTTTCGAGTGCAAAAGTAACAAACACACTAATTTATCTATAACCATAAATACATACAGTTGTAAAATCTAAAATGTAGGTATCTAGGTATAGTGCAGTCAATCAAAGAATAAAGGCGAAATCTACATAAAATAAATCAATTTCCGCGATAATGCCATTCGACAAAGATAAAGAAGTCTAAGGCCAAGTTTCAGGGGCGCCAGCGCCTCTCGGGCGCTGGTGCTCACTGTCTCAAAAAATTAGTTTTATTCAATATCTCCAGAACCGAAAACGGGTAATCCTAAGTAAAAATTATAGGGGATCTATTCTCTTTGAAATTAAATTTCCTATCTTTTTTACTTAAAAAGCGCGAGAAACGTACTTACAAATTTCGCTACCTTCGTTAATCGTTGGTTTTTCGCGATTATCTCCTTATCCGTTCACTTACATGCAATTTTATCTATTATCATTTATCTTTATTATTGATCTTTTAATTACCTACAATTTTTAATTAAAACTTTTTTCTATTAATAATATCTCGACTTGGCCTTAAACTAGACTAGGCTTAGAAATTTCCCCTTTATCGAATGGAAATATCGCGAAAATTGTTTTATATTATGTAGGTTAATTCACTATATTGACTGGACCTTGCGGGTATAAATTAAATTTATAAAACGCAAGAGGACGCGAATGCACATGTAACAACTCCGAAGGTCGTATAAACTTTATACATAAGACATAAGTGCCTATTAAAACATTCTGGTCACTATATAGTCAGGTTGACTAGTATTTTATACTATATTATATTAAATTATTAAAAATAATTATGTTGAGTAGTAATGTTTGTGTTATTTCAGGTCTCTATAGTCTACCTGTATATTTTTCATTTAAAATTTAAATCCATTCAGCCAGTCCAGTGTAAAGAAGTAACAAACATAGACACATACATATTACATATACAATACAAACTTTCGTTATTATAATAGTAGTCAGATTTATTATTAATAATACTTTTTATTTCTTACCGTTGAGCAAATTATCTTACAGTTAAATAATATCATGATCAAAATATTTTGCCAAATATAATAATTGCAAATAAAAATAGCAAACTTAAAAAAAAATAGTCAGGGTTTCACAGGGCTCTAACAACTATGCTAACAATAAACATGTGCTATTGTTAGCTTTAGGTTCACAAATCTTCCACTTTCAACGAACAAATGCTGAACGCTACGCTGTACGAGTATTTCGAAACAGTCCACAGCCAATACTTGGTCTCACAATTCGCAAGAGAGAAACCTACGTTGTAGGTCTTCCCTCTATTAGATGCAAAGGAAGCGGAGTAAATTGTTAGTAGGTATATCACAAAGTTATATTTTGTAAAGCCTGCAATTATCGCGCGTTTGTAGTTTTTGCCTCGCCGGTAATACTAAATTAACTGAACTGCAAACGACGTCCTCACACGCGTGAAACGATATCACAAGTCGTGGTCCTCGAGGTGCTCTTGTGATTCTCTCTTAACTGGAGCGACAGGTTCGGTTCTATCTGGCTTCTGAAAGCTATTTTGTAGGACCAGCCTTAAGCTGGTCTCATATCCCCCATAATGATATTATAATAAATATAATTTGTAATTTATTTATATACATAATTTGTAACTTGTCACCTGATTAAATTATCGGTTTAAAGTCTAAATACATTTTTAATTCTATTTTCTTATTAATGACGTGAGCATGTCAGTTAAGCAAAAGAAATGTTACAGTTTTTAGGAGCACTTCAGTGGATTAGTAAATATTAGGTATTGTGACTAGGGAGGTAGAAGGGATTCCAACAACATGAAATGTCACTTGTTGTATCATATGGACCTATACAAATTGATAAAAAAATATATATTGATTCCAGAAAATGGACCACACTATTTATGAGAATTTTGAATTCATTGGCTTTTATTTTGCTTAATTATTACATTTTAATCAAACAGTAATTCCTTCAAATTAATCAATCATCCATATTTATGCTATGTACCAATGTCACTTCATTACTTATTACTTTATCCAATATACTTTTTTGATTCCTTCCATCCATAGTAATAACTAGCTGTAAGCACACAAGGCTAAGCAGAGCACATTTATCAAGTTTTCAAAAGCAACTTAATCATTTATTACCAATAGTATTTACATGTATTTATTAAAATACCTTAGGCCTAATAAACTAATGATTGAAAGACCCTGTCCATTTGCTATCTTAATATTATATAGTATACATTAATAATGTTAAAGCACATTAATTAATAGTCGGCTACCAACATCATTGTGTATTCCTTCCTATTCCAATCAACTGCTTTTTCATTATAACATATTTTTTAAAATAATTACTACCTAACCTAAACATTTATGTAGGTATTTACTTTGTAGATATGTAGTTCGTTTAAACTTTTCATTAGTTATAGATAAAAGTTCAAGGAATGAAACACTGGATTGTTTTTGCTGTAACTATCATTGTACTAAGAATAGGATTAATAATGATTTCAAATGTGTCTTCCCTATATTATGTGAAATTAGTATTACTATGTACATACTAGTAACATTTACTGGAATAATATTACCAAAATATATTTTTTTACACACAAAATAATATATTATCATTTATACAATGTCTCACAGTTGCAATAATTAATTTATTTTAATATTATAGTAAAGCTTACCTGGTCTGGCAATAATTAATGGGTCGGCTGCTATAGTCTCCTTTACTTCTTGTGTCCATAATTTAAATTCAGATTTAAATTCTTTAACTCCATTTATAATATGTTGGATGGTTGAAATTTTTTCTTTAGTGTTATATCCACCCTTTCTATCTCTTTCCCAAAAAAGACATCGTTGCGGTAATTTATGTGTTACAGGTAGATTTTGCAAGAGGTTTTTATTAAGAGTTTTACTTAATGTAGAACATAAGCGATAACCTATATTTACTTTAAAAATTTTGCACAGAACCATTTTTTTTATTTTAAATGTTGACATTAATTATTAAACATTTTTATAAATATAACCTGGTTGTTACTTGCTTGGTATTTCATGTCATAAACTCATAAAACATTTTTAAATTTAAATTGACGTTTCAGAAAGTCAAAGTCAATAATCAGCTGTAGCCCACAGATTAAGGAGACTACAGTAGCCCTTAAATTTGAATTCAATAGAGGTACCCTACCCCAGCCTGCAAATTTATGATATTCGCAATGAAAAAAATACTAATCGATAGATTTTTAATAGCTCAATTCAACTACGTAGCCCTTCCAAATTGCTCACCATTAATTATAAAATTAAAAATCAATAAAGTCCTTGAAAAAAAATTCATTTATCCGTATATTCAAATTTCTATATCTTTTGATATATACAATATTTTAAATTGCTCAAAGTTCTAAAATACTGCTCAAGTTGCATTTGTAATTGCTCAAGTAGAGTTCTCACCAGCTCCACTTTCCTTAATTATTAAATAAATATAAATAGTTTGAATAAATTTAACGTATAGATAGGTGAGTGCTGCGCATGCGCGCAAACAGTAACGCGAGTCGCAAGGCAAAAAAATCAAGTGTTTCATAACCTCATCATAGTGAAATGAAACTGTAATACTCCAAGCACAACATCATCTATTATCAGGTATTTTTATTATTTATTGACTTATTCATTATGTTCAATTTATACAAAAATCAAATCATGACTAAAAGGTAACTTTATTTTGTAACTTTATGTAATAAGTCAATAAATAATAAAAATACCTGATAATAGATGATGTTGTGCTTGGAGTATTACAGTTTCATTTCACTATGATGAGGTTATGAAACACTTGATTTTTTTGCCTTGCGACTCGCGTTACTGTTTGCGCGCATGCGCAGCACTCACCTATCTATACGTTAAATTTATTCAAACTATTTATATTTATTTAATAATTAAGGAAAGTGGAGCTGGTGAGAACTCTACTTGAGCAATTACAAATGCAACTTGAGCAGTATTTTAGAACTTTGAGCAATTTAAAATATTGTATATATCAAAAGATATAGAAATTTGAATATACGGATAAATGAATTTTTTTTCAAGGACTTTATTGATTTTTAATTTTATAATTAATGGTGAGCAATTTGGAAGGGCTACGTAGTTGAATTGAGCTATTAAAAATCTATCGATTAGTATTTTTTTAATTGCGAATATCATAAATTTGCAGGCTGGGGTAGGGTACCTATTCAATAGATCTTATAATGTCAGTCAACTCTCAGTGCAGTCTCTGCATGGCATACGTAGTTTGTATTTATGGTTTGTATTTTATTATTTATCTATGCTTTGTATAGTAATCTTTAATCTGTACATGCATCCGTTTTATGTTAACTTTTGATTGGTTTTGATTTTGTAGTTTACTAATTAACTCCTTCAATTTCATAAATCATACTTGTGTTTGTTATTTACTCTTTATAAATTGTGATAATTTATGTTGGATTAATTGTTTAATAGGTAATATAAACATCCATAATGTCATATCAATTATATAGAAACACGACAATTGGTAATACACTACAAGAGAGCCTCGAGGAGTTGATACAAGTATATAACTTTACAATTATTTACTTAATTTATTAGCAAGTATTTTACTATACAATATTTATTTTTTTATTTTTACAGTATGGCCAAATAACACATTCATTGGCTTTAAAAGTCATGCTCCAGTTTGATAAATCTATAAATCAAGCCTTATCCAACAGAGTGAAATCAAGACTAACGTTTAAAGCAGGGAAACTTAATACTTACAGGCAATTAATATTTATAATACTACTATCATATGTTTTAATACTAAATGTACGTTTTAATTACAAAGTCATTACTTATTTTTTACAGGTTTTGTGATAATGTATGGACTTTTATGTTAAATGATGTAGAATTTAGGGAAGTTCAAGAACTGGCAAAAGTAGATAAAGTAAAAATTGTTGCATGTGATGGGAAAAGTGAGTATTAAATTGTTATTTATAAAATCTTTTTAGTATATTTTATCTTTAACCACCAAAAATATTTAACATATTTGAAGCTATTACACGATGAAATATATGTTTTTTCCATTTATGTAATGTGTTGAATTGAATGTAGGAAAAATATTTATATTACATGTTGAAACATTTGTGTTAAAAGTACATATTTGTTATGCTCATTTTTAAACGTAAATTACAAACCTAGATTCAATTTACATAAAATTGTAATTTATCCTTGCTTCCAGATGTGGAGGATCGGAGATAATGGTAGTTTTAAAACCATAAGAATAATATTTGCAGTTTCATCCAAACCTATATTTGATATACAAAAAATTCAGGTATTGTTAATAAAAGTAATTCATTAATTGTAACAAATTAAAATATAAAATATCAAATGTTTTATTATTTACTTCACATTAAAAACTTTAACTGGCATCCTTCGAAGGTATTAATAGGAGAATTGAGAAAACTTGTCAGGCACAGAAACAAGTATGGCACGGACTACTATGCCAACTACAACATATCAACAGCGTATCATACCAATATGTAATGGTCTTAGTGCTGCATATGCTCACCATTGCGCTGCCTGCGCGCAACGGTTCCGCAACGTCGCGTTCCATGCATGGAGTGCACCTGGACTGGAATAATATTCTCGTCGACAATTGTTACCGCTCCGTGCACGGCACGCGACTATGCTAGTCGGTGACGGAAAGTCTAGTGTGCAGTCTCATACTTTTCAATACAAAGAATATGTTTTTGCCTGACATAATCCTAGCATGGTCATGGTATGAGACAGTGGGCAGAGACCTTTAGGGTGCAATCTGTTTAATTTAAGTAGTAAGTTTTAAGATTTTGATTTCTCTACATAAATTGCAATATAGGTAAGAACTAAGAAATTATTACTAATATTATAAATAGAGGACAGTATTATACTTATACAAATACTTCACGGCTTAAAGAAGTCCTTATATCATACATAAATAAACCACTTTTTTTTTTCAACAAAATAGGCTGTAACTTTTAGAAAATTTTAGGCATATTAATTGTAAAACAAGGGACCCTCTATATTGCTCTTTATTATGTTTGATAATATCTTCTGTAGATGAAATTTTTTGTAATAACTTTGCAAAGTCCTTTTAGCTAACTACCATATGATTTTCCTATATACTACAGCTAGTAAGCTATTGAAAATTTCAAGACTACCTGTAAATTAAATTATGAGTATGTAAGTTGTAAGTAGATATCATAGAATAAGTCACACTTTAAATTTTTATCATATTTATTAGTTTGCTTTCAAAGTTAACATATACAGACCATATATGATATTCAAATATACAGTTTTTACAAAACCTTAGTACACACAACAGATCTATGAAAAAATAAAAACTTTAATAGACTTATCATAGTTTCAATACCTTTACATTAATAACTAAATCCAACTTTTATTCTTCAAAATAAACCACATTTAAATATAATGTGTTTCTAATAAAAGAAATGCATACAAAAATAAGTGATGTAATAAATATTGATAACCATAAACAATTATAACTTTTATTTATGAGGTAAATGTATCACCTACTACCCGAGAGTAAAATAAAATTTATAATAAAAGTTATTTATATAAAAAATAGAAAACCTCTAGCTCTTTCCTTGCTGTCACCTATATACAACATTGCCTGTCGAAAATAAGAACCAACACCTATACCTCTTTAATCCAAAATCAGTAAATAAAAAAATGACAATTGTTGCAGAAACCACCTTTGTTGTTGATAATTGTATTAAAACTTTATCTTGTCATAGTCATGGTTTTTTAATGTTGAATATAAAGATTACAAATATTTTTTGCTTAGTTATCAATCTTATGATCGTTCTTAAAAAGATTGTTAATTTGTAAATTGTTTATTTGATTAAAATTATTTTGTTGCATAAAAATATTTTTTATCTACACATTAAATTATATTTTAGTACATTGTATTTAAAGTCTTTAGGCAATACAGCATTAATATTCGGTTTCGGTAAATGAATATCGATTGTATATTTAAAATCGTCAATTCACAATTAAAAAAGTTAATTTTTTTTTATAAAAGTAAATTGTGCCAATACAGTACTCCTAGAGGCTACTAAACAAAGAAATTGAATTGAATGTTATGCAGTAATAATTATTTAAAAAAAATGTTTAAATTCTCTTGACCATTTGACTACCAAATAATCATACAAGTGGCAAATTATTCGTACAATCTAAGTTGGCATAGCATATTAAAATTGATAAATTGTTTTAATTATCTTAATGATTTAAAAGCATTGCACAAGCCATAATACAATGGTGTACAAGTGGTTTTAGTACACGTGTTCTAAATTATGCGCAATTAGTGTTTTATTTACAGGACATTTAAATATTCATGGGAAACAATATCAAGTTTTCTAATAAAAACTTTATACAAATTAAAATCTTCTCGTTCACTTTAGAATTAGTAGCAATTGAAATTTTGGTTATAATATTTATATTTGCATTTGCAATGATTAGATAAATCCTAAAAACCTTAACTATTTGTTCCTTCACATCTTGTTCCTTAGGTCCTAAGCACAGTAGGTGGGAGGGGAGGTGAGATCGGCTAGGAGGTCCAGTTCCTCTTCGGTGAGCTGGTCCCTGTGCTTGGGCCAATCGTCCTGGTGTGTTCTGCGGAAGTCAGCGAGGGCGGTGCGTATGGTGGCCGGTATCGGGTCCGGGGCGTTCGTATGTCGCGCCAGTTCAGCCAGCACGGTTCCCAGCTTCGGGCCCAGACTGTATGGCCTCGACGCCATGTACGCGCACAGTCCTAGCACACCGCAATGTCGCTCCACTAGCTCTTTGGATCGACAGCTTTTCATTAGAGATTTTAATGTTTTCTCCTCGTTTGGTAATGCGCGGCAATGCATTAGTCCCGTTAGTAATTTTGCTGCCGCTTGTCGGACCTGTTAAAAATATGATTCTTAAATAAGCGAATATGTTAAACATAACAAAAATATATAAATAAAATTATTTTTCAAGACGAGATGTTGGCTGATTTTTGCGTAGGTATTTACAAAAATCTCACCTCAACTCGAGAATCTCTCATGAGTTTTAATGCGAATTGCTCAGCTCGGACCGCTCGGCCTGCTCTATCACACAGCATTGGCAGTCCATAGAAGAGTAGTGGTTGTGCGAAATCCAGACAGGCCAGCCGTGCCCACCAAGACCTGCCATTGGCCAGGGTCTCCAGGACATCGAGGGCAGTGTCGAAGGCCGTGTAGGAGTGGTGGAGAAGTGCCAGGCTGGCGAGGAAGCCTCCGGCGGCGCGCGGTAGCTCCTCGTGCGGCTGCGGTGGGCCCCGCGATGCCAGCGCGCACGCCGTGCTTACCAGCTCGTACTGCGTGCACGTGTTGCCGTTCACGCCGCGCACTATCACGCCCATGCAGCCGCGGAGGACTACATACACAATTATATTAGTTACACACTCATATTATGTGTAATTTTTAAAGCAAAATGTTAATTATTTGAATTTTTATTTAAATTAGGATATTTATTTATTATAGTTAACCCAATATAAAAATGAATAAATTAATAATTTCATACACTAATATCTTTTATCTTTAAGGCTAAATTGTTATATTACTAACAAATATGGATGTAATATCTTGAATTAACATTATTATTATATTATTACTAGCATTGCCCGCGGCTCCGCCCGCGTTCAGATGATCAAAAACCAAATTCTTAGGTTTTACATATAAGTATACTCTTACATGCAGTTTTACTCACATAATACTCATAATAAACTCTTATAATTTGTATTTTTCTCAGAAATGAGACATTTACTCGCGGTAAAAAGTATCCTATATGTTGACCCGGATAACCAGCTATCTCCATACCAAGTTTCATCAAAATCCCTCCAGTGGTTTTTCTGTGATGTGGTAACAAACAGACAGACAAAATTGTAAAAACTATAGATTCGGCCTCTGTATCGATAATAATGTTGATTTCAATAATATTTTCCAAAAAATATTTAATGTACAGATTCGGCTTAGTTACAATTTTATTATACGTATAGCTTAATTAATTTTATTAAACTTAATATTTCAAATGAAATCTTGAGAAATACAATATGTAACGTCAAATATATATTTTACATTTAACTTAAAATTACACTAATCTCAAAATCACTCTAAAAGTAATTTCTATTTTTTTTTATTTGTGTATACATGTTGAGTATGTGTGTGTGTGTGTCTGCGCGTGTCACCTGTAGTGAGCAAGTTGACGGCGCGCGCGTGGTGGCGCTGCGTGGGCGCCGCGTCGCCGGCCAGCCGCAGCGCGCTGTCGAGGCGCTCCACAAGTTGTTTGTCCACGCGCTCTTCGCGCTCGCTCTCCGCTGCGTCACTGGTTTCACCCTAATGAATATCGTTGTATTTATTATTTATGATGATTATATTTCCTTAAATATTAAAAAAAAATGTTTTACTAAGTTATATACTGACAACTATGTCAGTCAGACATTAACTGAATGAATTGTTAAGAAGCGTTCAATTTAATGAAGAGCAAGAGTAACTAAAACAAAATAATTAAGCAATTTTTTTTATATCACTTATACAAAATGTAAAGCACTGATTACCCTGCGTCCAGTCAACTCTTTTTACATTTACGTCAATTAATCTTGTGTCATATGCCCGTCTCGTTAAAATCATACTATAGGTTTAAATCGAGACGCCTACATTCACACTAGGCGTCATGGTACATGGCGTTGACTGAGTGTAGGTCACTAAAGGCAGTGCATACTAATTTCGATAGAACCATATATGTAGGTGTGGCCGAGGCGGTTACATCTGTTGCACGACATAGACTAATGTAGTAAGCAGGAGTGTGCGTACGGCCATGGGGACTCATCAGGAACAAAGATAAATTTGTTCAAACAAATGTCAATAGATCACATTACATGTATCGATTTGTTATTGAAGTTGTGTTAAATTGACGAAAGATAAAACAATAGATCCCAAAAAGGTGTATTGTTTTTTTAAAAAATATTCTAAGTGAATGGAAACGAAATAATGCTCTCGTAAATATTATTTAAATATTTAAATTTAAATGTATTATTTTTTTTATTTGTATATAAATTTGTGGGAATTTTTTTTATTAATGTAACTTCTCTATTGTACATCACGGTTAAAATTTTTAAAATCACTGTTTTTTTATTTCAAGTTTAGTTTTATTCAAAAAAAAAAAACAAAAAACGTTAGAGAAAGTTTGTGTGCTAAAGGCTTAAATACAATAAATGATTTTATAGAAGATGGCAAGCCTTGGGAATGAAATGATCGCCTCCAAGCTATTTCAACTTGATAGAAATATTGTAAATTATAATTTAACTTCAAAAAAAAGATAAGGAGTTAATATTAGTCCCGCTGAGTTTCTTTCGCCAGTTCTTCTCATGACTGAGGCTTCAAGTTTCCGAACTGGTAGTAGTAGTAGACTGATGACGTTCAGTAAAAAATTGTAATAATTTAATCTATACTAATATTATAAAGTTTGTGAATTGTGCGTTAGTTTGTGACGTTGTAGGGGGTAATCTCCTGATCTACAGGACCGATTTAGACGAAATTTGGTATGAAGATAGTTTGAGACCCTGGGAAGGACATAGGATACTTATTATCCCGGAAATTATCCCTTAAGGAGGTGAGAATGGGGATGAAAGTTTGTATGGGGAATCAACCTATTGAATGCTAGTGCTGAATAAAATAATTTGAATTTTGATGTGGTACGGCGTACCTGCGGCGAGTGTGGCGGGCGCGGCGCGCCGGGCGCGAGGCGCGCGAGCGCGGCGGGCGGCGGCGCGGCCACGCGCTCGGCGGACAGCGCCGCGCCGGGCGCCGGCCGCAGCGCCGCGCCGCACCCGCCGGACGTCGACGCCGCTGTCTTTATTACTGCGGAACAGATTTCTTAACATGGGTCCGTATAGCGAGATACAAAAATATTGTTCTATAAATGGTTTAATTACTATTATTATATTTGCAAAAGTTTGTAAGTATGTGTATGTTTGTTACTTCTTCACGCTGGAACGACTGGACCGTGGACGAATTTACATGTCGAGCGAAGCGAAGTTAAGTTGTTAGAAAGTATAAGTCTATATTAATATTATAAAGAAAAAGTTTATTTGTTTATTTAAGCGCGCTTACCTCAGGAACTTCTAATCCGTTATGAAAAAATATTTTTGCCTTATATAGCCCGTTTATTGAGGAAAGCAATAGGCTATATTATATCATATAATATATAGTCTATCTATTTCATACTAACTGTTAAAATGCACCTAGGGTCAAACCCGAGCGAAGCGAGGTGAGTCGCTAGTTTTATATAATAGAATAGTAAAAATAATAAATCCTATGAAATAAACCAAATGTTTGAACGATAACATAAAAAATACTATAATCAAATGTCATGTAATGAATAATCAAAGTCAAATATCAAGTTACAAGACAGTTCATTTAAATCTAATAGACAATAATATTAATAGACATAAGTCATCACTTACCAATATCTCCATTCTCGTCGTACAGAGCCGTGAGACGCGGTTTCACCGTGGCAAGGAAGTCCTTTAGACGCGGCGCACCGCCTCCCTCTCCACCCGGGAACACTATCTCCGTGTCAAATATTGTCATTAATATGCTGTAAAAATTAAATAAAATTTGATTAAATAAATAAAAAAAGCACTGTACGGTATTCAAATAAAAACTAACTCGGAGGTTTTGCTAGAAGCGAGCCCATAAACAGATTAACTTAATTGATATCAAGTTATTGTATCAGCATTTCACATACAAAATATCAGATCGATACGACAAAATAAGCAGTGTAAAATAACCTTCTAACATTTTATACATAATGTTACAAGTGAAAGTAACGTAAGCGAGTTAAAAATAATGTTAAATTTTCATCAATCATCATGTTAAAAATCGGTCTTTGAAGTTCTTTAAGAGATGAAGATTTACGAACACAGTACACTGGAATTTTATATATAATATATAATGCGTGTAATCTATACAGATAAATAAAATTGAAGTGTCTGTTTGTAATTACAAAGTAATAGCTTTTTACTAAATGCATATAAAATTATACATATACGGTACTTATAAGAAAAACACAATTTTGAAAATTTTTGTCTGTCTGTTTGTTCTGGCTAATCTCCGAATCGGCTGGACTGATTTTGACGGGACTTTCACTGGCAGATAGCTGATGTTATAAGAAGTCACTTAGGCTACTTTTGTTTTAGAATAAGATTACGGTCCCGATCAAAAAAATTAAAACGTACCTAGAGACGAATCCGAGTTGGGCGAGGGTAAGTCGCTAGTTACTATGTATAAATAAAGCAAAGATTCTAACCTGCCGACACTTTCTCGTACATTCTGATATGGGTGTTGTATGAAGTTAGCAGCGTCCAGCCTTTTCAGAAGCTCGGCGGCCAGCGGCGCGCCGCGCCACGACAGCGACCCGAGAGCACCCTGTGGTATTTACTGACATTAAACATCAACAAACTCTCGTCGGATAAAACTAGGTAAAAAAAAAAATATTTTTATGACTATTTAAGTTATAACTCAATGTCTTAAAAAATGGGAACATTAGATTTTTTTAACAAACTTAAAAAATACTTCAGTTGTGGTACCCAGGAAAATAAGATTTATGAATAACGATACCTTAATAAAGAAATCTATCGAGTGGTTTCAAAGATATGAGGGAATAAAGAATATTACAAACAAACAAACATACAAAGATAGGCGCGAGAAACATAAGTCGGGTAATTAAATATGCTGCACGTTGCATAATTTTGCAACGTGCAACAGAAATAATTATAAACACTATTTATTGATATCAAAAGATTTGATTATGAACTTACGTACTTTTTTCCATCTTTAAATTGTCTACCTTTAATTAAAATAAGTGTAGAGCACACTATGAAAATGATGTCATAGGTACTCAGGATTGAGGGTAATAATAATACTTGGCTTAGAAATTGTATTTTTAAATCTTGAGAGATAGGACTAGTTTGTACATTACGTAAATAGTAGTAAATTTTACTAAAATTCAAACCTGTAAATAATTTTGTAAGCACTCCACCTTATTGTAACCTACATACATACCTATAATTAAAAAAAAAGCAAGCCATGAGGACTGCCGACAAAAGTGAAAACGTAAAACTATAAACAAACAGTTATTATTTTTGGATATAAAAATTAATTGTTTGATCTTAAATTAAAATTTGTAAATTAAAAGTGTTTACATTTATCTGGTTTTGACATCTATCGGCACTCTTAGTTTTAGCGTCACATGACCATGTCGATGACGACTTACATGAATTTACTCCCCATCCAAATCTGCCTATAGAAGTTTTCACTTCAAAAATAAAAATCTTTATTGAAGACGTTGTAACCTTTTTTTGCATAAAGCTTGGCGTACACCACACATGAGGTGTGGTACATAGTTGAGTAGTACTTCACCTTTACTGTAACCTACAAACATACCTAATACCTATAAAGCCGGGCGCACACCACAAACGAGGTGCGGTAAATAGTTGAGTAAGCACTCCGCCTTTACTGTACACTACATATGTACATACCTGCAAAGCATAAAGCCGGGCACACACTACAAACGACGTGTGCTGGTCGGGGTCGAGGTCGCCGCGTGCGGGCGGCGGCGCGCACAGGCGCAGCAGGCGCTGCAGCACGTGCTTGCCGCGCGTGGGGTCCAGCTTGTCCACGCCCGTGGCCAGGCACGTGCCCCAGTCCTCCATTGTTTCTGGTGTTACCGATGTTAGACCTGCGGTGGGAAATGACAATTGTGGTAATTACGCTTTAACATAATACCATAACACTTTCAGTAATATATGAATCTTGTATAATTATAATACTAGCGGCTCACCCTTGCTTCGCTCGGGTTTACCTCTAGAAAAGCAAAAACAAATCTATTTCACGGGAACCGTACATTTTTCCAAGATAAAAAGTAGCCTATGTATTATTCTGAAGTATGAGCTATATTATTGTAATGTTTCATTAAAATCGATTTAGTAGTTTTTGCGTGAAAGAATAACAAACATCCATACATCTATACATCCTCACAAACTTTCGCATTTATAATATTAGTATGATCTTTTATCAAATGTATGCAAGATATAAATCTTATATAATCCGTCCATCAGAAATATTATCCAGTATTTTTCTATAAATATAAAGCAAATTGTAATTAATGAAGATAGTAATCTAATATATTTAAACGAGCAATTCTTGCATATATATCAATATATAATCTGAATCTCGGAAACGGCTCCAACGATTTTTATGAAATTTAGTACACAAGGGGTTTCGGGGGCGATAAATCGATCTAGATTAGTCTTATGTCTGGAAAACGCGTGTTTTAGAATTTTCATGCGGTTTTCTTTTGCATTATTCCACGCAAAATATTATGTTCGATAATTTCGCAAGCTTGGATATAAGCATTATGTTCAAGCGGCCAAGGCGCAAGATTGAATAAGTGTCTGGGTTCGAATCCCGGTCGGATACAAAGGTAAAATTTATTTTTCTTTTTTTTTGTATTTATTTAAGTTATTTGTTTTTCTTTAAAAGAAAATTGTACTTTTGAGCAAAAACTCCGAGCGAAGCTCAGTGGCCCAGGTATTTTTAGAAAATGTCGTTTTATTCGTGTTTTCAATAATGAACTTTATCGATAATCAACTATAACATAAACTTATTTTTTTTTTATTGGAAAAAATAATAAAAAGGTGGCGTTTGGGTAGTCCTAATGTTGCCACTTAAACATAAACTGAAAAAATGACTCTTTCTGACATCTATTGGCGAATAATAATACAATATTTTTTAATTGTAATCTGAATCTCTGAAACGGCTCCAACGATTTGCATGTAATTTTGTACACAGAGGCTTTCGGGGGCGATAAATCGATCTAGATTACACGTTTGGCTCAGTTTGTAGTGACCCTACTTGCTGTGCCAGCGGTCGCGGGTTCGAGTCCCGCTGGGGGTATTCATTTGTGTGATGACGAATGTTTGTACTCCAGTCATGGGTGTTTATATTTATAATATGTATGTATTTAAAGTTATATAACATGTGTAGTGTATCAACTATCTGGTATCCATAACACAAGCCTCGTAGCTTACCATGGAACTAGATGGCGCTGTGTGTTAATGTCCCAACATATTTATTTATTAGATTAGTCTTATGTCTGAGAAAACGCGTGTTTTCGAGTTTTCGTGCAGTTTTCTTTTGCTATTCCACACAAAATATTGTCGGTAATTTGCACGCCCGGGAATAAGCATCATGGTCAAGTGGCCAAGGTGCAAGATCAACAATCACAGGTGTCCAGGTTCGAATTTCGGTCACATACAAAGTTTTTACTTTTAATACTTTCTTAGATTTACGCGAATATTTGACATTTTAAATAAAACTATCTTTTTACTTTTATTTATTTTTTAATATTTATTCAAGTTTTTAGTTTTTTTTAAAAAGATGCAAGATTGACAATCATAGGTGTCCGGGTTCGAATCCCGGTCGGATACAAAGGTATAATTTATTTTTGTTCTTTTTTGAATTTATTCAAATTTTTAGTTTTTTTTTTAAAGAAACTTGTACTTTTTAACCACAAACTCCGAGCGAAGCTCAGTGGCCCAGGTACTATATATATATATATATATATATATAAAGGTTTTTATATTTTATTTTTTAAGTATAAAATCTGTTTATATATATATATATATATATATATATATATATATACACACACACACATATATATATACATAATAAACTTATACATATTTAAATTAAAATAAATACATAATATATTAATATAAATAAAAATAATAATTATTATTATAAATGTTGCACAATGTCGACTTCTCATTTAGAGAAATGATCTAAAAAAAAAATTTTAACAGATTTTTTAAATATTTTCAATATTACTAGCACAAACACCCTACCACTTACCAGCTTCTATGACATCAAGCGCTTGTTGCTGCAGTGCAAGCGCGCGCTCCCGCGGCCAGTAGCGTGGCGCGCGCAGCGCTGCGGTGGCGACCTCTGCGGCGAAGCGCTGCGGCGCTTCCTGAGTGTCACCGGCGCAGCGCTGCGCGTGCGTCAGCAGCCTCTGGGCTGCGCGCTCACCGAATTGTGCGAATGCCATCTGTGGATATATTTATTTTATTAATAAGCTATTTTTATTTTAGAAAAAGAATTAGCGTTCCGCTCAAAAATATTAAAACGTACCTAGGGACGAACCCAAACGAAGCGAGGCTGAGTCGCTAGTTATATATATGATGTTTGTAGGTAAAAATGATATGAATGGATGGAATATGAAACGACGGTTAATTTATTTTTTCTAACACTTTTCTTATAACTGACATACACATACATAATAACACACAAATACCACAGATAATACATATACATATTCTACAAAAAGATTCCTGTTTTACATGTCATATTCAGGGGGACTATTTTTTTATAGGTTAAAGCAATTTACTTCTTTATGAATGTTCTTAATTTGAACCTTCTCCACGGTTAAACTAGATGTTAATCTGAGCATTTTAAAAAGTATTAGTTTTACTTGTCATACATAATTAAATTTAAAGAACATTCTAGCGATTTATTCATTTTATTATTAACCTGTGTTCTATGTGGTATTCAAGATCGTAATATATCTGTGTGCTAAACTTCATCTAAATTCGTAAAGCCGTTTCGGCGTGATTCCTTCACGCAGACTGTATGTTTATACACACATATATGTTTTCTCATTTATAGTAACAGTAAGTAATTGTTGGAGTGAGGAAAATAATGCAATAAAATATCGATTTACCCGGAACATGGCAAAACGGACACCATTGAACTTGTCCTTTCCTTTCTTCTCTTCCACAGTGAGGAAGGCCACGAGCTTGTCTATATTGGCGTCATTGTTAAAGAACTCGAATAGGTACCGCTCACTTTCTGTCATTTCTTCAGGTGGGGTGTCAATTGAATATTTCTGTTCGTTCACTGGGGCTGCAACCTAAAAAAAGTATACTTAGTAATTCTTAAAATCATACACAGCAATTAATTAGTATTATAGTAATATACTCGTACATAAAAATATGCATGTATTTTCTCCTTTTTTAAGACAGTCAAAAATACATCAATTTTGTCGTTAATTTCTTGGCTTCGCACCCGGCTGATCAACTATTAGATACATTTCTAAACTATAGATAGGATTGAAGTAAAATATAAATGAACAAAATTATTTTATTAAAAACAATGTTTTTGGCAATAGGGTTTAGGAGAAATATGCATTTCGCTGATTGAAAATTGATTAATTTTACCTTTATTTTCTTGGGCCATGAGTAGAAGCCGTAGCAATAGTCTCGTAGCCATGGCTTATCCCAATCTTCATCCGTGTTTATTTCCCTGTCCTCAGACCACATTGCCCATTCCAGGTCTTTCCTATATCCTTAAAAGAAAATTCTTTATTATAAAATTGGTAGAATACGGTAGAACTATAGAGAATCTTATCAGTTCAATTCAAGAAATGTATTTTCAACCATTTGCAACTTTATAGAATTTCCTTAATATTACAATTTGTTACAGTATAAAACAGCTTTTAGATAAATATTTTATTTCTGACTCATAGATCACGCTATTAGCATATTTTTAACTGTTTATCTTAGTTTTGATATTTGTATAAATATTTTTGCATATTTCAAAAAAATCATTATTAAAGAAAAAAAAACTTTATAGAAACTTTACCCATTTTATGCAAAAATCGATAATTCGGGGGCATTTTTTACTATGCCGAGGGGCGGCGTTAAGGTTGAATTCGGCACTGACCATACTCGAGTCTTTCGTCACTATCTGATGGGGCGGAAGGAAAAAGGTGAAAGAAAAGAGATGGAGGAAAGATATAGAGAAGAGAAACCTAGAATGCTGAGCCTTTAGGCCATGCCGTCCAATTAAAAAAAATATGTATGTTCCTCCATATGTATGTTGCTCCAAAACCACTCACCAGGCACATGTTTCTCCGGCCTCTGCACACCAGCCACCTCATATGGATCAACGTCTATCTTCTTCAATTTATGCTTGCACTGTTTGAGCGTGTAGTGGGTGAGACGTAGCGCAGTGCGGCGTACGGCGATATCGTCGTGTATGAGCGCGCGGGCCACAAGGCGCGCGGTGCAGGGAGGGTAGGGCGTTTGTATTAGCGGGCAGTAGGTCAGCAGCTGCATTGCTAGCTCTAGGCGACGCCATTGACTGGAAACGTATCAAAGAAAGATTTTGTATAAAGCTATTTCAGTTAAATAAAAATAAAATAAAAAAGCCTGTATTTCCTTATCCTTAATTTCCATTTCAAATGTTGGTATTTGTTTGTTAGTGTTTAGTTAGTTATTAATGTTTTGCTTATTGTCTAAATGTTAGTAATAGTTAGTTTTTGCTATTGGATAAGAACCCCTCCTCGGGTGAAGGCCTCCTCCAGTCCTTTCCACTTATCTCTGTCCTTGCCGATAGTTTGCCAGTCTTTTCCTATTAATTCGGTTATATCGTCAGCCCATTGTCTTTTCGGTCTCCCTACCCTTCTTTTGCCAATTGGCCCTTCCCACCTTGTAGTATTAATTGTCCACCTGTTGTCTGTGTATCTCGATACATGACCTGCCCACTGCCATTTCAATTTTAGAGCTTGTGTGAGGGCATCTGTTATCTTTGTTTTCTGTCTGATTACTTTGCTCCTGACTTTTTGTATTTTTCTTATGTTAAGGATACTTCTCTCCATAGCTCTTTGTGTTGTTGTAATCCTTTGTTTTGCTTTTGTTGTGTATATCCAAGTTTGGCAGCCATACAGTAGACAAGGCAGTATACAGGTGTCTAGTACCGTTTTCTTAAGGTTTATCGAGTAGTCTCCTTTTAAAATTTCTTTGAGTGACCAAAATTTCTTCCAGGCTATGTTTGTTCTTCTTTCAATTTCATCTTCATTGTGCGTTTTCAAAAATGATATTTGTTTGCCTAGGTAGATGTAACTGTGGACATATTCTATATATTTTTCTTTTACATTAATGGGCCGTTCTATGCTGTTTGTCATGATTTTGGTTTTTGTCGCATTCATCTCTAATCCTACTTTCGAGCTTGCTTGAGCAAGACAGCGGAGCATATCTTGTAATTCATTTGCTGTTTCAGATAGTATGACTATGTCATCCGCGAATCTGAGATGGCTGAGATAGCTGTTGTTTATTTTTATGCCTCTAGTTTTCCAGTTTGTGTTTCGAAATACATCTTCCAAAACCGCAATAAATAATTTAGGTGACAGGGGGTCCCCCTGTCTGACTCCTCTTTCAATTTTAATTGCATCGCCTCTAGATTCTAACATGACATTACTTATGCTGTTGTTGTATATGTATTTTATAATATTTATATATTTCGAATTTATGTTTAAATTTTGTAGTGATTTCCATATAGAATTGTGGCTTATACTGTCAAATGCTTTACTGTAGTCGATAAAACCTAGATAGAGTGGCTTATTAAACTTTACGTATTTTTCTATAACTTGTTCCAGTGCCTGTATATGGTCTAATGTGCTAAACCCAGAGCGAAAGCCAGCTTGTTCTATTGGTTGTGCATTTTCAATCTCTTGTGTTATGCGTTTAAGGATTATAGATGAGAAGACTTTATATATGTTTGCCAGTAAACTAATTGGTCTGTAGTTGTTGATATCTAGAGGGTTTCCTTTTTTATAAAGTAGTATGATGTCTGACGTGCACCATTGGATTGGTACGGTTTCAGCTTCTAGTATGAGATTGAATAATTCTGTGAGAGGTCTAAGTAAAACTGGTGCACCTATTTTCAAAGCTTCATTGGTTATTCCATCGGGACCAGGACTTTTATCTGATTTTAGTTGTTTCAACTGGGCGTATATATCTTTTTCTTCTATCGGTCTGATTATTTCCATGTTATCACAATAGTGTGATACGTTGGTTTCCTCGATGGTGTTATCTTTGTTTTTGTATAGTTCTTGGTAGAAAGAAGTTGCCTGCTGTATGATTTCTTGTCTCGTTTTAGCTTCTTTATGTTGGCCTTCTAATTTTTGTATCCAAGTTTTTCGTAAGTTTAATTCTTTAAATGCTTTCTTTGTGCTCCTGAATTTGTTTAGATTTTCTGTTATTATCCTTTGTCTGTGCTTACTATAGTCTCTTTGGATTGCTTTGCTAGTTTCCTTATATAATTTGCTTAGTTCTTTCTTTGTATTGGCATCCTTATTCTTTCTTATAGTTAGTTCGCTTCGTTTGTTAATTAAGGCTATTGTTTCTTCACTAAATATTTTATGTCGTTTTCCTTTTTTATTATTTTTTTGGCTAGTTAAACTCTTTGTTACAGTTCCTTCTATCGCATCATAGTAAGATTGTACGTTTCTGGTATCTACTGGTTGGTTTTCGATGTTCAATTTGAGGCTATCAATGTAATGTCTTGTTTCCTCTTCAGTTTTCGGTATTTTTAGAGGTGGTTTAAAACCTTTTCTACTTTTTTTTGATTGGCTCAATAGGACTGTTGCTCTAATTAGTCTGTGGTCTGTTCTGAACTTTACGTTGTTGAGAACGTCATAGTTTTGGATTAATCTTGGGACATTTGTCATGATGTAGTCAATTTCGTTTTTAACACTTTCGTCTGGTGACTTCCAAGTCCATCTTCTGCTAGGTCTTTTTTTGAAATAAGTGTTTATTATTGCTAGTCTATATTCAAATGCATATTCTAGCAATCGTTCGCCTCTTTCGTTTCTTTGACCTAGCCCATACTGTCCCATGACGAGTTTTTCTTCTTTTCTTGGTTGCCCTATTTTTGCATTGAAGTCTCCTAATATTATGATTTTCTCATCAGCTAGTGTGTGAGCTTTTTTCAGATCATCGTAGAATTTTTGTGTTTCTGTATTGTCAGATCTTTCCGTAGGTGCGTATGCCTGGATTATAGATATGTTTAGTCTGCCAAATTTCATTTGTAATAACGCTACTCGCTCCGAAATGCCAGTCAAAGCTATTTCAGTTATAACAATATAATTACAATGTCAAGTATGGGTATAACATCGTTTTAGTGCTTATTTGATCAATTGATTAATACTTGTTGTAATTCATAATAAAGAGCTTTTTTGGTGGTTATAAAATATAATAATGGCAACACTAAATATAGATTACTAATTAATATTTTTAAAATTGTAATAAATATTATAATAACAGCAAAAATTAAATAAATGATATTCCATATTCAATTATAAAACTAATTAAAATTATAAAAATGTGTAAAGTTAAAAAATATTATAAGGTACTTTGATGCAATTTTTCAATTTTTGAATTCATTTTGTTATTTGTGGGCAAAAGCATACACCTCGGACAATTTGCCTCTATTTTCCAAGCAGAAGTCTATGCTATTCTAGAATGTGTAGAAGCAAATCTGTCTAAGCACTACACAAATCAAACTATCTATATATATTCAGATAGCCAAGCTGCACTACTAGCGCTGGACTCAAACACAGTCTCATCAAAGCTAGTGGAGCAGTGCATGGACCGACTAAACCTCCTAGCAAAAAGCAACAAAGTAGTGCTAAGATGGGTATCGGGTCATGCATGGGTAATTGGCAACGAGTGTGCCGATAAGCTCGCTAGAGGGGGAGCTCTTGGCATGCAGCAGGGCCCTGAGCCCTTCTGTGGAATACCTAAGAGCCTAGCTCAAAGAACCCTAATCATAGCATGTCTCAAGACTGCGAACAAGGCTTGGACTGAATCAAAGGGAATGAATCACTCCAAGGCACTAATTAGAGCCTACGACAAAAGGTTTAACAATCTTATGCTAGGGCTGAACAGAAAAACCTTACGAACACTGGTAAGGGCTTTTACTGGACACTGCTGCTTAAATAAGCACATGTTCAATCTGGGGCTGAGCGAAACGCGAACCTGCAGAATCTGTAGGCAGACGAAACGCCACTACATCTTCTGAAGGAATGCGGACCGCTCATGCACAAACGCAGTATTCATCTAGGAAAACAATTTCCAAGCCTTGATGAAATAAAAGAGTGCAACCCTAAGAAAATCCTGCAGTTCTTAACATCAGCAGGGTTTAGTGGTTCACTCTAGCACAAATAGCGGCGATCACAATAGACCAGAAATGGTCGATGTGATACCAAATAGCCGCAAAACGGAAATAAAAAAAAAAGAAAATATTTGTGGGTAGGCTGTCTGTAACAACTATATAATACCTTTGAGACATTTAACACGTCAGTTTCTCCCGTGACCATGATTGCTGTAAAGCATTTGAAATGTCCGGAACAAAAAATCCAAATAAATCCGCGAAAAAATCCGAAAAGATAGTTTTATTTAAGATGACAACATAACTATAACATAAAATAAAATATGACTCACCCATTAGAATTTTCAGCGACGTCAACTAATTCTTCTATTAACTCATCATAAACTCGTTCTGCTTTATCAGAAGTAGCGATCTCTTTATCAACGGCTTTATTTAGCTGTTGTATGAACTCTGCATTATTTATTTGCGTTTCGTTTAGGAGTTTCTTAGCCGCCTCTATTGCTGTATCGGATATGATTAGACGCGTATTCACTATAGGGAAGTGGCGTTGGATGGAATCGCAAAATGCCTGAACTAATCTGTGAAATAAATTAAAAATATCTGTTAATCTGTATGTCATGAAAGCCAAAATGGTTGCATTTATGTATTCATTAATGACTATACAGAAACATTCTTATAATTTTGTTCCTCATTGGTCTAGTGACTTTAATATACGGCTGGTCCTAGGTTTCTGTCATGAACACTCAATAGCAGCACGAAGTTAGAAAATCAGTATCCACGCATCGGAAGGCACCTAAAGCTACTAAAACTTCTCTTCTACCAAATAAATTATCATGAACCATCCTCAACTCACCTATGTATACTGGGTTTCTCACTTAGCGGAGCTTTCAGTACCGCAGGCCATATAGCTCGTACCACCTCCCAGTCCTGCTTGGCTACTAGTGGCCCAGCTTTAGGTCCTAGCATGATGAAGAGAGCACCCTTGTGCCGCGCGTGCCACTCGTCGCCCTCGCCGCCCGCCGTCAGCAGGTCCACCAGGCGCGGGACTAGCGCGCGGTACGAGTAGGGGTAGTGACTCAGCATCCAGTAGAGACGGATCTGTGCTAGAATTCGCACCTGTTGAGGAATTTGTATTATAATTAGACTCTGAAACTAATAATACTAATATTATGTCAAATTCGAAAGTTTGACATTCATATGTGCCATGTTAGCCAAAAGGACCCAGGGTTAAAACTTATGAATCAAAGCAAAGTCGTTGATAAAATGATATTGTTTTGTGCAAATTTAACCATTTACAGCTTAAGTTGTTGATTATTTCATCCATCAGAAATAGATATTTTGACTGAGAAGCTTCAATAAAATATCTGTAGAACAAACAGTGGTTTTTTAGGAATATTAAAAAAAATAAAATAAAAGCATTACTCACTGAACTGTAAGTATTGATAGCGAGCTCGTACAGAGCGTGCAGCGCTTGAAGCGCTGAAGGGGTGATGCCGGCGTCGCATACTAAATCCAATCTAGATTCGTCTTGTAATCTAGCGGCGTCAGCGACTAGCATGCGCAGACGTGCAGCTTTGCCCGGGTCCCCCCCTGTGCCCACTCCGCCTCGCCCGTCTAGAGCTCTCTCTAAAGCACTGTATGAGCGCAATCGAGCTTCCAGGCCCGGTCCAGTGCGAAGACCTTTCATAACCACTACGCGTTCCCACACCTAAAAAATATTAAGATTGTCTAGGCTTTCGTTCTTGGTTAGGTATTAAGAGTTTAGGTTGAAAGTCTTAAATATATAACATAAATGCCGCTGATCTTATGTTGATAGAAAGTGCGATAAATACTAATTGTGTTCATAAAAATGTCTCAATTAACAACAAACATGACTTCAACATATTTCAAAACATCCGGAAAGAATATTCATTATTATATCGTTTATTGATACTTTAATCTAAACTTAAATGATATAATGAAGAATTTAATCTAATTGAAAATTATTATCCATACTAAAAATTTACTAATTGTACAAGGTTCTGCTCACGACCTATATTATATTAGGTTAAATGTACAATAGCAATACCTGAATCAACATCTCCAATCCTCTCGTATCATCAGACTTATCTGTGAGCATTCGCTTCTGAACTTCAAGCAAGAGTCGTGTGAGCGCCACACGCATGTTCTCTCCATCCAGCGTAACTGTGTATGGAACACCATTAGTGAATGGCATACTCATTGCTGGCACTTGTGATTCTAATCTGAAAGTATTAAAATACATAGATGAGTATAAGATTATAAAGTATAAAAATATTTAAAGTAATAATATTAAAACTTACAGAGACACGGGTGTTTCATTTGCCTGGGGCAGGAATGTACTGCAAGACAACACTGCATTTATAATATGGAAGCTCCTTAGTCTACGCTCTTTACACATTGGTCTCTCCCCACTTAGCCACTGCTTTAGTCTATTGACCTCATGCTTTAAGTACCTATCTGATATCATCTGGGCGCATTCTGCTTCTTCAGCAGTAGGTACGTGCCATTTAAAATTTGCCTCTTTCAATAAACAACCGCGACCCCATTCTCGAATCGGCAGCCATTTTTCAGGAGCAGTACCAAAGTCTTTGGACGTACTTCTCCATTCCTTTAAGTCTACGTATGACAAAGAGTTTAATATATGGCTTAGAACTTCGCACGCTCGTACTAAAGCGTATCTAGTGTGGAGTTTTAATATCCTATCTAACACGGGCAGTATTTTCGGAATATATTTGAGCAAAACTGTTCCGTCACACTCTACAACCTGCATCAGAAGAACTAATCTGTACACGAGGTCTCTGGGAAGATTTTCTTCGCGTAAAGCTTCATCGCTGGATATTAGTTCTTCTAACTCTTCCAATAGTTTAGGCAAAAAAGCTGCTAGCGTTGACTCTGAGTCTATTCGAGCGAAAACATGTAACAGCACACCGACCATACTTCCAGATACATTAGTTTCAAACGTTGTCTCAGTTGCAAACGCTTTAAACTTTCTTAACGCTTCTTTGAAAATTTTCGGTGAGCATTGAATCAAGACCGCCGTAGCCGCGGACGATATGGCAGTTTCCATCACCGCATCTGTCTTACTACGAATCCAATCAGTATCTTTAGTATCTAAGCGTGCTTGTTCTAGAACACTAGACTCTATAATGGTGAAGATTCTATCTAAGAAGATGAGAACGAAATCTTCAAATTGAGCGGTAGATTCGCAAACCAACAATTCTTCTTCCGTGAGATCTGGCCAATGTTCGTAAGCTGAACTACAATCAATATAAGGTACCATACCGCTAAAAATCAATATAAAATGTAGGGTGACCAATGTTTTTTTGATATCGTTTGGATCAAGGCCAGGTAGCACGGCCATGAGGAAAGGAACGACGTGTGTTGGACCTTCTGGGTAATCAGCATCTGCTCCTCGTAACATTGGCCTAGCAACGGCAGCCACCGCCGACATGGCCGCTGTAACTCTATGGGGCTCAGTGAGGGATGTTAAAGAAGTCCTTAACTTTTCTAGCAATGGCGGTATTACTATTGCTGGCCGAAGAGTGGCCAAGTTTTGTAAAGCTATTGAAATATCCAGCGAACCACTCCTGCTGTACACGGCCTGGAATGTAGGCTCGAGAACGATTTTTACGAATTCAGTTATATCTTCGTCTCGCAGCTTGTAGGCTTCAGGTGTTAGATTTTCCCAAGTATCCCTAAACCGTTTCTCACGTTCACGACGGACCCTGCGATTGTAAATTATTATGTAATAATAATATATGAATAATACTTTCTTAGATTTACGCGAATGTTTGACATTATTAAATAAAAGTCAGTCTCTCCCGTGACCATGGATGCTGTAAAGCATTCGAAACGTCGGGAACCAAAAATCAAAATAAATCCGCGAAATAATCCGAAAAGATAGTTTTATTTAATAATATATGAAGATAAAATTTCGATGAATAAATTATTTCAATAAATGAAATACCTATTAAGAAATTCCCTTGCTAATTTTCTTAATAAATCACGTAATTTATAAGACCATCGACCGGAATTCGCGCTGTGCAAATAACTCTCCACACCAGCAAGAAAAGATTTCAGATGTTTTAATACAACACCATCCGGATTGATCGTCCATACTATCCACGAGGCTACATACTTCATATCTGTATAAATGAAAGTTAACATAAATTAGTAAAAAATGTTATATTTTGGTAGAAAGCGTTATTTTAGTTTATTTAACAATATATTACCTAGGGAATGGTTCCTAGAGTATTGCATATCTTTATAACTGACAGGTAAGTTTAAGGCATGAAGAAACCTTACAAACATTTTTGGTACATGTGGCGTCCAATCTACTGCACCTGGGTTTCTTTTTGCTAGGCCAGAAAAGCATATCATTACTTCCTGTAAATATAAAGTCAAATTAGAATTAGATTAAAATGACAATTTATTATAATATATATTTTCATGCCTCTCAAGAATTTTGAATAACTATAATATTTCGGATGATTGTACGGCTGGAGTTTAGAATAGGGGACATTACCCCTGGCGGAGTGGGTGGTATTTCTGGATAGGGCACGTGATAGGGAGTCGAAATGTTAAATAAAATTTTTTCCGGAAACGTACGAGTAAAAAGTTATTGAGACTTAAAGTTACAACATTTCCATACATTATTTTGACATTACTACCATTTAGACACTTGGAAATGTCAAAACGTCACTTTCAATTATCAAAATGATCTCCAGATGATTGTCTTTATTTGTACTTTGCGTGAAATTCGAATTTTCTAGTTTTCTAGTCATTTATGCCACTCGCCGGACGCTACCGCGGCACGCTCGCTTCGCTCGCTCGGCTCGTGCGTTGTGGCAACTGTTCTAACCTAACCTAACCAAGATATGACGAATAATAAATAAATAATGTATTTATGAAGTGAAAATAATATTTTTCTTTTTATTTATTTATTAATATTACCAACAGAAAAAGCAAAAATAATCAAATATAATCTGTTGTCATTTAAGCGGTAATATAAAACAAAGTGATAGTTTTGCTTTTGTCAAAATGTAAGATCATTTTGTTTGTGTTGTGAAATTATTAAAATATTAAATACAATAAAGCATTAATTGTTGTGAAAATATGTATTGTACATAAAAAAGGATGCGTACTATTCGTTAAAGGTATGTTTATCTGTTATAATCACTTATTTAGGTAAAGAAATGTATGGAAATGTGTTAGATATGTTATAACTTTAAGTCTCAATAACTTTTTACTCGTACGTTTCCTCCAAATATTTTTAATATATTTTGACTCTCTGTCACCTCCCCTATCTAAAAATACCACCCACTCCGAATGGTGGTAAAGAAATATATGAAAATGTATGGAAATGTTGTAACTTTAAGTCTCAATAACTTTTTACTCGTACGTTTCCGGAAAAATTCTTATTTAACATTTCGACTCCCTATCACGTCCCCTATCCAGAAATACCACCCACTCCACCAGGGGCAATGTCCCCTATTCTAAACTTGTGCCGATTGTACAAACAATTGCTTACCGAAATACCGCCTGGAACATTATAACATGTGTCCCACAATGTCATAAGTTGGTCGAACCAGAGCTCATGACCCTGTTTTGCATATTTCGGAGGAAGACCGACCGGCAAAAAAGCGGATAAAGGACTCAGCATCTGGGAATTCCCTGACCATGGAAATATTAAAGGAAGAACTTCGTCCAATATCTCCTGCGTTGCATTTACTTCAAAGTACCTAAAACATTTTTTTTTTAATAATCATCTCGAAACATGTTATGAATCATTTGAAAAATATGAAGGTAAACTTACGGCTTTGCACATTTTACCATGGACATGTACGATCCCTCTAAGGACCTGCAAAATCAATTTTATGAACTCTATAATACCTTTATAAACAGATGTGGAATAACGCATGCAAGCCCTGCCACCTATTCTCTATTTGAATGTGTCGGTGCTCAAATGAAATAGCATTAATGTAGTTTGAGAAAGGTTCTAAAATCACTTTTACCTTAATTAAAATAAATAAACAAAGGATTAATTTATACCATATCAGCTATAATAATGGCAACATATTTCACTGTTTGCAAGAATCAATTATTTGGCATCAATTCAAAAATATTATATATGGCTTAAATAGACAGTGACGAAGATGACTTTAAAGGTAACCTCGATTACTAGCAGAGAAATATACTGAAGTCGTCTATGTAGAATTGTACATATTTTAGACTATAAAAAAATTATAATACGTCTGTGATGATGACTAAAATGATTCGTGAACCCTCTTCCACTGCCACCATACAAAAAAACCAAAATAATTTATATATTTTACGTGGGAAGCTCTTTGTCACTCTGTTTGGCAAGTCCAAATAATTCAAGCGCGTCATCTAAACCATATCCTGACAGAAACTTTCGAACCATGTCCATTACACACTCTCTTTGTTTCTCAGGAGTTTTAGGCCTAGACAAACATATTGCAAAACAATAATATAATATTATTTAATTTTAACGGAATATATTCCATATTGTGGGTATGAGAGAGTGTATTTCGTGCCGTATCAATTTATTTTGCTCATATTTAAAATATTTTATTACCGATTTGACTCAGCTAAGGATAAGTAGGCACGTCGACGTGATCCGATTTTGATTAATGGCAGGTTATATACGATTAATAATAAAATATCAGTAACTTTAGGTTCAAAGGAAGAAATCGTTAAATATATGGGATTTATTAAACCACTAAATTTGTTTGTTGCGTTTTTACAACGTAACATGATGTGATCTCTCGTTTACTCCAGAGCAAGATATCCAGGGAAAGGATTGAAAAAAATATACATAAAGTATTCCCTATACTCTAAAGAAGTCAATGGTTTATTATAAAATTTAAATAACATAAAAAACATGCATGGTATAAAAGCTAAAAGAAAGTAATATATTACTAATACAGCTAAGTATAATAAAAGAATAATATATAAGTTATATTCTGGGAAAACTACACTTTACCTAAGGATTCAAATTAGATTGCAAATTTTACTAGTAAGTGAAGTTTTGCATTAATTATGATGTTATTTTACATCTGAGAAAAACAAATATTTTTTCAAATTACAGAAATTATCTATAATATATATAAATTATTATAGTTAAAAATACAAGAAGATTTATTGATAGTTAAAATAAAGCCAATATCAAAATCCCAGTTTTAAATTAATTTTGTTAGTATTTTCTACATACGTAAGGAAGTGGTACATTCCAATACTCGTTGCACTCTTATCAAAAATTTTTATTCCAACTTCATATAGTGGCCGCCAAGGTAGGGTAAGTTCCTCAGGAGATAAAAGGAACCTTTTTCTGTAAACGTAAATAAATAAAAGGAAAATTATAATTTACTTTATATATTAATAAAAATATATGTGTTATTTTCATTTTACTTACTTTGTAAGCATAAGGAACATAGTAGCAAATTTATGAACCTTGCATGGTTCTAAATCAGGTATAAGTACTAGTTCATAGGCCAGTTTTATAAGTGCAATGTGGTCCTCTTTCCCAAACTTTAATCCATAAATAGATATGTATCTAAAATAAGTAACATATGAACATAATTAGAGTCACCGTGTAATAAAAATCATAACAAGCTGAACCAATTTTAATTTCTCAATTTTAAAGCCATAGAACCTTTGTGGCATAGTTACTGCTAATTTTATTTCCTAAAACAGTGCACCATGAAATAATTATATTATATGGATAGACAGAAAACACTTAAATTAATATTTAAGTATTAGTTAAATATAAAACTCGTACGAATAAATGATTGCCATATGAAAACAAATACAATTATTAAAAATGAACTCCATCATCTCTTCTCCATTCTATGTAACATTGGTGATGTTCTCTATTGGTATGTTTTGAAGTCATTAGTTTTGACAGACAATTGAATTGAACTGAAGGAACTCATTACATGTGTCAGTTGTGTTCAAAAAATAGTTATTATCCTCAAAATACAGATTTATCTCAAAATATTTGGAAATCTGACACCTTATATTATTTGAGTAAAAAGTTTTTTTATGAGAATTCACACTTTAATTGCTCTAAGGAACCCACACTTCTAAATCCAAAAACACAACTTTACGCATACTAGCAAAATTTAAGTATCAAATTAAACTTTTAAAGCAAAATGAGTTTTTGCATATTGTATTATAACATATTTTCCTATGGGAGTGATATAATCTTTGGTGGTAAAAAGTAAAATCAGGTGGGGTTGTGTCAGGGCACACTGCTGTTGGCTTAACGTGAAACTATTATTTCAGTGAGTCACTTCTAGGAAAAGAAAGAGTCACTTTTAGTGTTTTCATTTTTTATAAATATTTTGCATATTAGTAAAAATAGTAATCTTTGAAGATAGGAATGGAAAGAATATCATATACATAATTTTTCAGACAATAACACATACATAAACAATAACACACATATCTTCCTTTTAAGAATCTTATAAATATTATAAATGTAAAAGTTTATCATCATATATGGATGTTTGTTACTTTTTCACTCCAGAAAGGCTGAATGCATCTGGATGAAATTTGGCACAGGGATAGATTATATTCTAGAACAGCTCATAGGTTACTTTTTATCCCGGAAAAATGTTTTGGTTCCTGTGGGATAGATTTGTTTTTGTCTAGGGATGTACCCAAAGCAAATCAAGGGTGAGTCTCTAGTATTTTTATAGTTATTAAACAATTAAAAGAAGATGTGGGTTCTAATTGAAATTTAGATTTCTTTTTTTTTCTACCCGTATAAATGTATGAATCAACAAAATTATAGCTTTATAATTTAACACTTTATAACAATTTGCTTGTTTTTTTAATCAAGCAAAGAAGAATATATATTTAAAGGTATGTGTGTTTGTTAACAAAAATAACTTTGCCTAAAAACATAATAAATGGCTTCAGTTTCAAATGAAAAAAAATATATAGTGTGACCACAATTGGTTTAAGTAATTAAAAGTATGTAATGATACATTCCAATGCCAAGTGTCTTGGTCAGGGAGTTCTGGGCTATAGCCAGATATTTTAGATACAGGAGATGTTGCCAAAGGTTAGTTAATGGAAGCCAAAACAATTCTGTTTAATACATTTGACAAATTAGTCAGTTAAGGAATAATAAATCTTAAATGATAGTGCACAACTTCATTTTGTAACTTAACTATTATTCACTTGCATTTGTAAAATAATTACTTTTTATATATTAGTATAGCATATTATTGTATTTTGTATTAGATAACAAATCTTTCATTTTTTTTATATCTGAAGATATATTGTTGAATATATATATATTTACTTCATCAATCTGGAGGACCAAACTCCACAAGCTGGTTTCATTTCTCGTAGCATAACTGCCTTTGCTAAATTAGTTTTGACCTGATCCAGAAATCGTTTAGACTCATCATCTAATTTGTCAGCATATGGTAGCAAGTGATTTGTCAGTATTTCCTTTTGCGGTCTAAACCCAAGAGCTTTTATTCTTTCTGGGGTTGAGACGAAAGCCTCGTATTCATCGTCTTGAATCATTTTAAAGAATTTTTAGCACTTCACATGAAATAATAAAATATTTTATTTGATAAACTTTAGCACATGTTACTGTTCACACTTAAAAATCACATATCATCATCAACAAAATTAATCAACATTGAATTTCACAAGTCATTGGTATAATTCAATATGAAAAAATTACGAATAAATGGAAGGATTAATGCGTTCCATTTTACTGTTTTTACGTGAATTTGATTGACGTAGTTTTTACATATTGCGATGTCATGTCATTAAAACGTCAAAAAGGCCATTGGGAAGGCCAACCAAAATCATTGTCATCTTGCGTTTCGTTTAACGCTTTATTTAAGTAAATATATATTTTTTATTATATGTACTAATGAACTATTATCTATATTACATAAATATGTTTTAACACTGTTCTGTACATAATAATTTGGCATAAATACCTACTTAAAATTTTCAAAAAAAAAGTTGACGAAGTATGATCTCTCAACCATTTAGTTAGGGTCTAGGAGTGTATCCCACTAGTCTTTACGTCCAAATTCCAATCACGGAAGATAAAAAATATGTTTTTTCTCTTTCGTGGGTCCAATCCATTTAAAAGTCTGAAACTTTTTTTGTTACAAAGATACCTTTTTTAATTTAGTAAGTCTAACTAAACTGCTAAGTCAAGATAGTTTTCATTGTACATGTTAATTATTAATAATTCTAGCGACTCCTGGCTTTTCTCGGGTTCGTGCTAGATAAGTTTTAATGGTTAGTATGGGATACATTAATGTCAATCGCCTCCTTTTCTTACAATATCACGGGACAATTTTAGGTATATTATAATTTCACTAAGCACATTATATTTATTTTTTTATTTGTTGTTATAGCGGCAATAGAAATACATACTCTGTGAAAATTTCAACTCTCTACCTATTACGGTTCATGAGATACAGCCCTCTGACAAACGGACGGACGGGCAGCGGAGGCTTAATAATTCCATTAGGAGGGTTCCACCCTTCGGGTACAGAACCCTAAAAATATGTTAAGATAAATTAAGTGTTTATTATTTAATAATATTTTAAGAACGTGCATGAAATAAGACCGGCAAAGTCAAATAAAATAGTAGTTTGAAATGTTTTTGGCATGTTTATTGTATGATATATCCCATTACATAATGAATAATTACACAAAAAAATGCTAAATATCACAAATTTTTCATTTTGCTAATCACATTGCTTTTCTTACACAATAGCTTTCCATTCATAGCACTGGTTATGGATTATTGAGCATCCAATTAAGTTTACTATATAAATAGATAATTAACTTAATAAAAAAAACTATAACATAATAGTCTCTCTTTGGGTGGTATATAGGCTGGCAGCAAATACAATGTCTCTTTTTATAGCTGTAGATGCTTCCATCATTTTTGCTTGGAGTTTGGGATCTCCTATAGCCACTGCTGCATCTTTAACGTCGACTAATAACTATAAGAAATGTAATGTAAATTAGATACTTTGTACAGATTATAAAAACTTCATTCATAGACAAATGAATGTTGACAGGTTGATTATTAAGTAGGTAGCTAATTTTATTTTTAAAAAGGAGCAAAAATAGTAATGGGGAGTTACTAAATCTATATATATATATATATATATATATATATATATATATATATATATATATATAATAATAAAATTGTAACTAAGCCGCATCAGTAGATTAAATATTTTTTGGAAAATCTTATTGAAATAGACATTATTATCGATACAGAGGCCGAATCTAGTTTTTAGAATTTTCGTCTCTCTGTCTGTCTGTCTGTTACCGCATCACAGAAAAAGCACTGGAGGGATTTTGATGAAATTTGGTATGGTGATTGCTGGTTATCCGGGTCAACATATAGGATACTTTTTACCGCGGGAAAATATTTCATTTCTGAGAAAAAATACAAAAACTGCAATGTAAGATAAAATAAAATAATTGATTTGGGGAGTTAAATTATAAGACTACGGAATTTTTATTGTTCTTGAAAAAAAAAATGCTTTATTGGAGCAACTAAAAATATCTCTCATAAGAATCTACTTTACCTCGTGAAGCTGTTGGATGCATCTTACAATAATTCCTTCTTGTACATCAGTTAAATCAACGATTTCCGAAAACGGTTTTTCTAGCGCCCATTCATACACCACTCTCACGAGGCCGAAATTCAGTCGTTCTGCTTGGCCCTCGAATTGACCAACCTGTTTATAAAATTACTTTCTTTAGAAAAAACATTAAAACATTTTTTAAATGTTTAGAATTAAAATCAACAAATATTGTAACAAATGTTTGAAATCGTTTTTGTAAAATGGTGGGTAGGCACTATCTGTAACTAGTATATAACGCCTTTGAGACGTCTAAAACTTTAGTCTCTCCCGTGACCATGATTGACGTAAAGCATTTGAAACGTCGGAAACCAAAAATCTAAATAAATCCGCGAAATAATCCGAAAAGATAGTTTTATTTAAAACCTGATTATGGTAAATATTATTTAAAAAAAATGTCTTTATCCAACACGTATACATAATAAAATAAATTAAGCCGCATACCATATATTTAGATTCAACAGCAGTCAATTCGCCATCTATCTTTTCGATCGTCTTAACTCCTTCCGCCAAACGTTCCGTCAGCACTTGCTCCACTCTAGTCTTAGCTTGGAACACGAAACAACTGAGCAGAGCCGCTATTTCCGCCGGGTTCATATCTGTGAAGACGTTTCTAAACACCAATTCTGATATGATTAGTTCGTTGGTGCCCATACAACAGGCCACTCTGCCTTTTAGTATAACACTATCATGTTCATCTATGTAGTTCAGTTCTCGTAAGACTAGAAGTCTTCTCTGATAGTCCGGGTAGAGGGCCAGGTTCTCGAATGAGAGTAACCGCTTATATTTGTCTCGCTTCCTTTCCGCTTGTTTACGCTCGTAGACGATGGCGAATTCGCTTTTAAAGTTTGCTATATCTGTATTCTTTTTTTGAGCATCTAGTGCTTCCTAAAAATAATTATTCAGTGATATATATAAAATAAATTCATTATATATATGAGCAATAGCTCAAAAACAGATTTCAGTTTTATAAGGTGCAATTTGACTTAAAATGGTTATGTCTTAAGCAATCACAAAGAATACAATGGTATAGGTTAATTCAATTCATCCATGATCTAGGCTACATTTTAGACACTATTTTGTGTGTTAATTAAGAAATAATTAAATAAAGTTATAAAAAGTGATACGGAGGACAAAACTAACTTAGACACGTACCCTAAGTCGATTCATCTTGTCCAACGAGTGTAATATTTCGCCAGTGGAGATAGCGAGGGATTGTGTAAGGCTCAGTTTCTCCAGTGTGGTAGCTCCGGTGCGAACTGCGTGCGAAATGCGAGACAGCTCTTGTACTGCACTAGCGCAGCTCGATCCTACTGGCGCGTCTCTGAATCTGAAGAAAAATATTTATATCATAATAATCTATACTAATATTATAAAGAGGTAAAGTTGGTGAGGATGTGACGTTGTAGGTGGATATCTCTGGATCTACTGAACCGATTTAGATGAAATTTAGTAAGAAGATAGTTTGAGACCATGGGAAGGAAATAGGATACTTGTTATCCCGGAAATGATCTCTTAAGGGCGTGAAAATGGGGATGAAAGTTTGTATTGGAAAGGAAGCTAGGGACGAACCCGAGCGAAGCGAGGGTGAGTACTAGTAATAAATAAATTAAAAATATTTAATGGAACAAACTGTAAAGTTACATCATAGATTGTACGATAAAGACTACGTTAGTTGAAAACTGTGTTGCAGACCATAAAGACCAACCTCAAAAAGAATTTATATTAATTTAATACTATAGTTCATTCGCGTTAAGACAATAGTGAGTCATCGATGTTCACCGGCCTAGCCACGCCCACCGACCAATTAGATTGCATAAAATTATAAAGTCATGTTTCACAATGACCAGTTGAAAGCAGACTTAAATATATTATTAATTAACATAATTATGTATTTCAAATCAAAATAAAGTAATTATCATTGTATAATTACTTTATTTTGATTTAAGATAAATAAGTTTATTAATTATCTAAAATCAAAATAAAGTCATTATCATTATATGATGATTTTGTTTTGATTTAAGAGAATTAAGTTGATTAATTATGTCATATCAAAATAAAGTCATTATCAAAACTCTCAAATCAAATTTGAGATAAGTAAGATAATTAAGTTGATTTTTATCCATTAAACTTAACCTTTTGAAATATTGAATTTGAATTAAATTTTTACTCCCACTTTGTATAAACCTTTACCTGCCGTTGCACTTGATGACTCATTATTTTCTTTACGCGAATGTACTATAGTTCCAATAACTTATATAAAAGTAAAAATGTATAGTATATTATATATACACACATATATATATATATATATATATATATATATATATATATATATATATATATTTCTTTACATATATATATATTTCTTTATTCTTTATGCGATTACTCAATATATATATATATATATATATATATATATATATATATATATATATATATATATATATATATATATATATATATATATTGAGTAATCGCATAAAGAAGTGTGCGTTTTTGAAATTAAATTAAATAAGTTTAGGAAAATTGAGAAAACAACACTTACCTTGGTATTTGCCTTTTTTCCCAGTCTTGTATAATGATGTTAGCATCAATTTTGAGATTCATTTTAGTGATAGCCCTAATATTCTTAGGCGCTATACACAATATTGTGTGGTCCATTGTACTTTCCTCAGTGCCTGCAAACAATGTTTATTAAAAACTTAATAATACCACAGATAACAATGTATACAGTACCTCCGTTTTTGTCTATTGGTTATGGAACCTTAGGTCCGATCCACACTATAGTGCCGCTCACGCCTCGTTCTCGGGCCGATACCAGTCTAGTAAAGTATTTTTATACAATAAACAATGAGTGCATTCACACCATCAGTAAGAGTCAAGTTCTGGTCCTGTGTTTCTTGTATAAAAATACTTTACCACAAACGATATCGGACTGAAAGATGACTGTGATCGGCACGATAGTGTGGATCGGGCCTAAAAAGAACTGTACAATATTGATATGCCATACCTATGTAGTCATAAAGCGCCGAAAACCCAAGCATCCCGTACCAATTGTCGTCAATATCAAAGTTGTATCGCGTCGGATCAGTTTCTATTGCATTGAGAACCAACACTTTATATGGAGTTTGTCTGGGACCTGAAATATTTGAATATCTTAAATTGATATACAAAAACTCAAGGTACACAATTATCATCTTAAAAGTGTCCTCAAAAAGAAACACATAATTCGAAATTATGCGCTTTTTCAAATCTCTTTTGTTCATTGCTTTTCGAATGACAAAATTAAAACACACGTTTTGTTTCTCGTTGTGTATTTAAATAATTAGTTAGAACTTTAAATTTCTGAATTTTATTCTTTGGTTTGACTTAACGTCACATGAAATGTGTATCTATGTTTTTATATATTAATGATATTTTATTTAATTTTCCTTTATTATAACGACTCTTCGATACTGCTAGGTAAATATTGTGTAATATGAATTATGAATATAATGTTCTTGTAGCGCATTCATTTTGATAGGGTTTAAGGCTACTACGAGTGATGTAATATGTAATAATTATATATTTAATGTAACTTAATAAAATATCTAATTTAAAACTCACCGCTGCTATTCAAAAATATGCCCAGCTGATTAATATAGGGTCCGGCAGCCAAAATCAGCACTTTCCCAGCAACTAGCTCCTTGATTACTTTGGACTGATTCAATAGTATAGGCATTATATCGTTTAACACATCAATATACGCCGCAGCAGTGTCATAGAATGTTGCTAAAAGGGACAAATGTGAGGCGAGGGGTGTACTGCACTTTTCAGAATATTCTTTTTCAGCTATTTGCAGTTGTTTCCTATAATTGTCCGCTTGGCAGATCTGATGGAACTCCCTAAAAGAGCGTTGCATCATACCTTCCACAGACACTGTAGCTACTCTGTAATAAACAATGAACATTCATACTTTTATGTTATAATATAAGACCTATATGCACATTTTGGCACACCAACTAAGAATCTAACGAAAATACAAACTAGCTGCTAAGTAACATTTTGTTAATTGCATAGATTTTAAAATTAACTTAAAACAAATGTCTTCTAAAAAAATTTGTAGGTTACAATAACATGAGCTTATGAATGATAGAAGTATATATACAACAGCCAATTTGGATACGTAAAGAAATTTAAGCCTAATAGAGTAAATAATTAATTTCGTAATGCACTATATATCACAGAAATGGTTTTTTTTGGCATAAAAAACTAAACTTGCTTTGACGTCATCTAATCTATAACCACTTATTTAATTCCTACAAATATCTACTATACTAATATTATAAATGTGAAAGTTTGTGAGTATGGATGTATGGATGTTTGTTACTCTTTCACACCAGAATAGCTGAACGGATCTAGATGAAATTTGGCACAGTCTATCTTAGACTATAGTCTGGAATAACTCATATGCTACCTTTTATCCTGGAAAAATATAGTTCCCGAGGGATAGATTTGTTTTTGTTTATCTTTTTATATTTATAAATGAAATTTTTTGATTTAGCCTCACCTTAACAAACTCAATATCATGGCATACGTGAGTCTAAATTGCGAGGACAATTTATGTGGAGTACCTAACATCATGCCTTTCAGAGTCATCTGGTCGGGAACTCCCTCTTTGCACAGGATAATTACCGTCCCGGTCGCGTCAAGACCTGTTATTTTAGATATGAACAAAATAAATTTTATACTATCAAATTTAACATTCTGATTAATTATTCTACAGTACAACTGCTAGTAATGCAAGAATAAAAATATATAACAGAATACTTTCTTAGATTTACGCTGATGTTTAACATTTTGAATAAAATTATCTTTTCGGATATTTTCGCAGATTTATTTAGATTTTTGGTTCCCTACGTTTCGAGTATTGTATTCAGCCCTTTTTAACGTCCCACTGCTGGGCACGGGCCTCCCTTCAACACGAAGGGGATCAGGCCATAGTCCACCACGCTGGCCAAGTGCGGGTTGGCAGACTTCACATGTCTTTCGAAAACTTGCTAGGTTCTCTCAGACATGCAGGTTTCCTCGCGATGTTTTTTCTTCACCGTAAGGCAAGTGGTAATCATGTTGGAAATGATTCGCACATGAAAATATCAGAGGTGCGAGACCCGGGATTTGAACCCGCTTCACTCGGTTTCCCAAGCAAGCGTGTTACCACTGGGCTACCACTGCCTTGCTTTACAGCAATCATCGTCGCGGGAGAGACTAAGGTTTTAGACGTCTCAAAGAGTCAAAGGCATTATATACTTTACAGTTACGGACAGTGCCTACCCACAATTTTACAAAATGAGAGTTCTAAAACCTTAGTCTCTCTCGTGATTGCTGTAAAGCATTCGAAACGTCGGAAATCAAAAACCAAAATAATATCCGCGAAATAATCCAAAAAGATAGTTTTATTTAAAATATATATAACAGGGTTAAATAATTAAAAAAACAGAGCCGGATTTAGGAATTAACAAATGGGCTCACGTGGTAGAAATTTCATTGTTGTATGTGATATTAATGAAACCATTTTTCTTGGTTTAACTGTTAATAAAAAAAATTGACAATTTTGAGTAAAACTTAAAAAAAATCTAACTGAATTTGTCACTATCCCAATGTACAAAAGAAACGGAGTCACTACAATCATTATAATAAATTTTTTTAACATGATGACACGAGAAAAAAAGTTTTACTACAATATCAAATCGCGTAAATCTAAAAGTATTAGTGAACCACACTAACATTATATAGTTATTTAACGTTTGTGAGTTTGTATGTAGGGAATTATCTATGAGACTACTAATCCGATTTTAAAAATCACTAATAGGGAGCTATATTACCACCGTGTGCTATAAGCTATTTTTTATTATAACAAAAAATTTGAGTATTAAAAATCATACTAACTTTAATTGAAGTCACTAACCTATAAAAGTGAGCCACGGACCTGAGTGAAGTTAGGATAAGTCTCTAGTATATAATACAATATAAGAAAATAATCCAATGATAATAATCCCAATATTATTAACTTAATACCTTAACTGACTATCTTTATATACTTTATAACAAAAAAAGTAGACTCAATAGATAAACAATGTCAAATAATTATATGTAATGCACTGGACAGTCAATGTATGAAGCAACCGTTTCGGCTATCTCTTTTTATGTTTTCGCTTGTCGTGGTAGCCTTTAAGTAGAACAAACGTTACCAATTGTCAAATTTAGACATGTAGTTTTTGCACAATTTAAGCGTATGCTCTGTTGGTTACTCTAAATGAATGAATGAATGAATGAATAAGTAAGACAAACAACACTAGCCTCTGCGCCCGGCGCGACCCGCCATCTGTATGTACTCGGCGGGCGCGAGGCTGCGCGACTGGACGCCGTCGAACTTGCTGATGTCGTCGAACACCACGGTGCGCGCCGGCATGTTCACGCCCATCGCGAACGTTTCCGTCGCGAACAGGAGCTTTACCTGACATTTTTTTAAATATTTTTAATAATATTTCAGCCCTTTTTAACGTCCCACTGCTGGACACGGGCCTCCATTCAATACGAGGGTTAGCGGACTCTACATATCTTTTGAAAATAGAATAGGTTCTTCCAGACATGCAGATTTCCTAACGATGTTTTTCCTCACCGTTAAGACAAGTGTTAATTATATTGGAAATGATTTGCACATGAATATGTCCGAGGTATCAGGCCAGGGATTTGAACCAGCTTCACTCGGTTTGAAGCGAGTGCGTCACTACTGGGCTACCACTGCCTTCTATTTACATATGTATTTGTTTAATAGCCTTTACATACAATTTCATTCCTTATAGTTATTAAAGAGGACTCCCAACTGGGTAAGCAATTAAGCAGGACTCGGAAACCCGTTCACTTATTAAACCGGTTTTGGCCATTGACCCCAAACCGAAAGGCTTTTCGTTTTGAGGGTTTGGGTACGTTTAATAACCAGTTAGAATCCGGAAAATGGTTTTTGAAGAAAATTAACCAGTTAAATGAACTTTTGCGGGCTAAAATTTGATGATAGCTAAATCCACAAATTATTTGTTTACGATGATTATACTTACATGACCGGTTTGGAAAAGCATTTCAACAATTTCCTTAAGTAGCGGCAAAATACCGCTGTGATGTACGCCTATTCCGTTTTCCAATACCCGTTGTAAACGAATTACCTGTAAATTAAATTAAATGTATAAATAAAAAAATGCATTACCTGCACGCACAATCCACTTTTTTTAATTTCACTCTTTACTTATTTTCATTAAAATAATGTTTATATATGTACGTAATAATGTATATAAATTATGTTAAATTGAATACAAAATTGCATTTTTTTATATTTTTCTCGATAATTCGTTTTCAAAAATAAAGTTTTGGAAGTCCCATCAAAATTGGCTCAGCTATATCGAAGACGAGCCCAAAGGCAGACAATAGTTTAAGGTTAATAAAAAGTAGCTATCTCGATACAATAAACTTAAGTACGCGCATTGAGATAAAATAACACAAAAAAATAAGCATAGAAAATAACGCACCTGAGGCAATCTTCTGTCAGGTTCCTTCAAACGTTGGAGGCACCTTGAAAAGAATAACCTTATATGGCTCTTTTCTTTAGCAGTTGTCAAGTCTACAGACATTAAGTTTTCTGCATTTTGGTCACACCTGAAAAAGAAAAGAAAGTAATATCAATGACAACAATCTTCAATTCAATTTTCTTGCTAAAGTATAACTAGCTAAATTAAATACATAACTATCGGTGCTGTTTTATTAAACAACTGGCGACTTACCTTAACTGCGCTCGGGTTCGAACCTATTCACATTTTAAGGTTTAGTATAGATTTCTCAGAGATGTGATATTTTCCCGCAGTAAAAAGTATCCTAAATATCTTGACCTGGATAACCAGCTATCATCATACCAAATATCATGAAAGTCTGTCCAGTGGTTTTCTCGTGATATGGTCACAGATAGATAGACAAAAATTCTAAAAACTAAATCAGCCTCTGTATTGATAATATTGTCTATTTTAAAAAGATTTTCCAAAAAAAAATAATGTACAGATTCGGCTTAGTTACAATTTGATTACAAGGTAAACAATATATATTAGTATTATAAGATAAAACAAATATATATAGATAAAAAATGTCACTCCTTCACACTGAAAGGGCTGGACGGATTTATTATTTTATGGACGGAGTTAATGTTTTATGTTTGTTTTATGAATTTTTGTGTTATATTGCGTTAAGATAAGTTAAACTTGGGCGACAGTTATAGCCCAGTGGTAACGAGCTTGCTTGGGAAACTTAGTGAAGCGGCTTCAGATCCCAAGTCTCGCACATCTGATATTTTGATGCATTAATCATTTCCAACATGATTACAACTTGTCTTACGGTGAAAGAAAACATCGTAAAGAAACCTACATGTCTGAGAGAAACTAGCAAGTTTTCGAAATATTGAATCCTCGTATTGAAGGGAGACCCGTGCCCAGCCTTAGAGCATTAAAAAGGACTGTAAAAATGTAAAAATACATACATAAAAGTTTAAACTTGCCTATTTCTTGATAGAGTAAACGCTACGACGGGTAACTTGTCGCATGTCCGGAGATGGTCCACGAACGCCACCCACATAGTCTGTTCGGCCTTTGAATTGCCAAACTGTTTTCCGCCTGCAATTTTTAACACTTATTTACTAGATCCATTTAACTTTTTTACTATTACTTTATATTATATGAATTTCGGGTGACAGTATAATGTTTAATTACTTATATTACCTTAAGCTATAGTATTAAATTAGATAAGATGGCCATATGGAAGGTTAGACGTACGCGACACAGGGTATCCTAGTGCGTGCGTCTTAGCACTCCATTGCCCATGTTTTGTTACATAATAATTGTTATTAGATTAAGCGGTATATTTGCATCCATTATGTTATTACGAAATAAATAAATAAATAAATTAATTAATATGATGAAGAAGCTTATAAGCGAGTAGTATATAAAAAATCTAGTTTCACTAGATTTTTTACTAATAAAACCTTTGTAATTGGGCTCATTTAATTTGTTTAAAGAGCCTCAGACCTAAGCGCTTCTTTAGTTTATTAAAAACTATAATTATTATTACCTTAGTTATTTACCAATTCTGCTTTATATTGTTGACTTATAAAAAACGTGCGTTAAGATCGTTTTATTTACAAATTAAATTATGTAAGTTTTATTCCTTTACCTTTAGGTCCAAAGTTTTTCTTATGATCGTTTTCTCTAGCTTTTTTAGCAGCCACAGCTTCGTTATAGCCTCGTAGCTGGAAGTTTCCTTCTTGATCCACAACTAAAAACCTTTCATTTTTAGATTTACCACCGGACCCTGAAATTATTTTTCAAAAATGAAAACAAATATATGTAACAATGAACAAATTAATCATGTATTGATATACACAATAATTAAGTGATCCGATACGAAGTAGGGTGATCCTTAGACTAGTCATTTGTGACACTAATAATTGGACGTAGTTATGCTAAATAGATCCAACCACAAAAACTTACTTTTGAGAAAATAAGAGTTTTAGTGAAATTGGTATATCAAAATAACAAGACCGTCGTTTTTTTAATTCCTTTTAAATATTGTGTATTTTATCTATTTTCTAAGTTGATGTGTAGGTACCATTTATGACAGTAATTCAAAAACTACGTCCAATTGTAAAATGCAAAAATGTACAAAGTTCATCCTTAGGTGACAAACAGTACCCTATGTATTTAATTTCATCTAAATCCGTTCAAACATTCGCTTATATAATAGTAGTTGGATAATCTTTAAAAACCAAATTAAAAATAATAATTAAAGAGTGCTTGTATGAATGTGTACAAGCGCAAGAAGTAAAACTTCTGTAGGTTATCGGCGCTCTTTATAAAATTCAGTTTGTTTTAAATAATTTGGATAGGTGAGATACTAAAAATAACGCATATTAGATATATTACAAACATAATATATTTATAGAATATCATTTATAAAACAATAAAACGGTTACCATGGCCACAAACGTACATACATTTTTTCCTAACGCATTCACCAGCTTACGACCCAAGTCAAGCGTGCGTAAAGAAGTTTTACTTCTAAAAAAATTCCAAACATCCTATATTTTTACACAAAAGCACCAACCTGTATACAGATAGTGGCACAATGGCACAGGCCGTTTGGGCGTGGACACCACGTACACCTTGCGCTTCTTGGTGCGGCCCACCCAGTCCGCGAACTGCAGCGTGTTGGGTACCGTCGCGCTCAGCATCACTATGCTCACGTGCGCCGGCAGCAGTATCAGCACCTCTTCCCAGACGTAACCACGCTGGTATATAAATGAATTAGTGTTTAAATTATTTGATATTAAAGGACATTGGACATTTTACACAAATCTGCAAGGCGCGAAAAGGATTTTAAAATTTTTGTATGTATACTTTTTATATTTGTACTCACTTTCGCTTCGCTCCGAGTTCGTTCCTAGACAAAAAACAATCTGTCCTACGGGAATCGTAGTTTTTCTGGGATAAAAAGTAACCTATTTTCTATTCTAGAATATAATCTATCTCTGTGTTAAATTTTATCCAAATCCGTTCAGCCGTTCTGGTGTGATTGAATGATAAACATCCACCCATCCAAACTTTCGCATTTATATAGTAGTAGGAAGGAAGATAAAATTAAAGATGACATTGGACATTTTACACAAAGAAGTAAGGCGCGAAAAGAGACCACCTATTCACTTTATTTTTTATTGAATTTCTTTATTTTTTGTATGGATAGTTTTTTTTACATTTGTATACATACATTTACTACTTTATTGTCTGTTTATCGATTTTAATAAAGAAAAGCATTTGTTTAGATTGTGGTCCAACGTTGCAACACTCTAATGTTAACCAGAATGACTGCAGAAATAATCATTTAGTAAACCTAAAAAAAAAACTTGTGTATTAAATAAATTAAAAAATAATCAATTTTACCTCAGCATTATTAATATAGTGGACTTCATCAAATATGACAAATTCTAGATCCCTAGTGACGTCCGACCCGCAATACAACATGGAGCGCAAGATCTCCGTGGTCATGACGAGGCATGAGGCTGTGGCATTTATCTGAAGATCACCAGTCAACAATCCCACTTCGCCAAACGTTTTGTTGAAATCATTATATTTTTGATTAGACAACGCCTTGATAGGAGATGTGTAGATGGCCCTTGAAAAAAATACAATTTTATGTATATAATTTCTTAATGCAAAAGATCTGTTTATTTGTCTATCTTTACCCAGCAAAATCAATTGAGGTAATTTTTTGTACAAACATATAAAGATTAAAATATTTTATATTTTAGTTTCATTTGTATACTTTATTTTATACAGGCTAGTGCCATAACTTTCTCTTAAATTATAATAATAGAAATAATGTTATTAAGTCGTCTTATATTACCTGGTACAATTCCTTCTTGACATAGCAATGGCATATTCCGCAACTACTGTCTTGCCAGCTGAAGTGTGTGCTGCGACAAAAACATGATGACCTTCTTCTAATTTTAATATTGCCTTTAAAAATAAATAAATATTGTATTATAATTATAACAAAAAAAGAAAAACAAATAATAATACGTAAATTTTATATGAATAAGAAAGTACCTGCTTCTGAAAATTATCCAACTCAAATGGAAATGTATGTGCCATATCATTTATTTGTTCTTTGAAATTAGGCACCGGTAATGTGACATCAATCATTTCAGCCCACTCAGTAGATGTTACTCCCATTTTAACAGCCGAGTTTGTTATGTTTAGCACTGGTATCTCCGGAAGTTCTACTGGAGGTCTAATGACAGTCTCCTCTAAGAAGTTGTCATCACCTGAATCTTTTTCTATGTGTAATTCTATTTTCTTCATTTGTGGTTTCTTCTTTTGTTGTTCCACTTCAGTATCATCTTGCCAAAGACCTAAGAGGTAATTTAAAATATTAATGTGAAATGCTTTAACATGATTCTGACTATCTTTGGACCATATATGATATTTTGTAATATTTTTTGTTTGACAATTTTTTTTGGTTTTACAATAATTTGTTTAGAATGACTATACTGTATACAGTGATTATATATTATAATCTAAGTGATTTTTTGACATTGTAAATGCCAATGACATTGAAAATATATAAAAATATGTGCCAATACTGAAATATAAGCTGAAATAGGTACCAATGGTAAATTGACTTCAGGGTAACATTGGACCAACATTTTTTCTCACCTTAAAAGCTCATTTTATTGAATTATTTGATATTAAAGATTAACATTCGACATTTTACACAAAGCTGCAAGCAAAGCAGGTAGAGTCTCTCGATTTTCTTTTATTGAAGATTTTTAAACTAAATATCTTTATTTAAGTGAAATTTCTTAAGGCGCTTATTGAGACAGAAAAAATGGATTGGCGTTACGATTTTTGTAACGAAACGTTACGCTGGGCTGTTAAGTTACGATAACGTTACAGTATATAATTTATAAATAGTCAATTAAATATTATTATGAATATTTCAAAGAATAAATTAAATTAAATATACTTCTTTTATTTATTTAAATGAGCGATGGAATCATATCAAAATATGAATATTGTTAAAACAATATTTATTTGAAATATTTTTTTTTTACATCTATATCTATACTTAAATACATATTATAAGTGTGAATGTTTGTGAGTATGGATGTATGGATGTTTGTTAGTCTTTCACGCTAGAACGGCTGAACGGATCTGGATGAAATATGGCATAGAGATAGATTATAGTCTGGAATAACACATAGGTTACTTTTTATCCCAGAAAAATGTACGCTTCCCGTGTGATAGGTTTGTTTTTGTTTTCCTAGAGGCGAACCCGAGCGAAGCGACGGTGAGCAGCTAATTATAAATATAATTTTTTTCACTAAAAAATTTGCATCCCTGTATTATTATTTAGTACCTGGGCCACTGAGCGAAGTTTTTGGTTATAAAGTGCAATTTTCTTTAAAAAAAACTAAAAACTTGAATAAATATAAAAAAATAACAAAAAAATGATACCTTTGTATCCGACCGGGATTCGAACCTGGACACCTATGATTGTCAATCTTGCGTCTTTTTTTTAAATAAACAAAAAACTTGAATAAATATAAAAAAATAATAAAAGTAAAAACTTTGAATGCGACCGAGATTCGAACCTGGACACCTGTGATTGTTGATCTTGCACCTTGGCTGCTTGAACACGATGCTTACACTCGAGCGTGCAAATTACCGACCATATTCCGCGTGGAATAATGCAAAAGAAATCTGCATAAAAACTCGAAAACACGCGTTTTCTCAGATATAATAATAATCTACATCGATTTACCGCCTCCGAAACACTTGTGTACTAAATTTCATGAAAATCATGGGAGCCGTTTCTGAGATTCAGATTTTATATATATATATATATATATATATATATATATATATATATATATACAAGAATTGCTCGTTTAAATATATATTAGATTGTATATAGAGTATATATTTTATTGAATCATTACAAAATTTGATTGAAAATTAAATTTTATATACTTACCATTTTTACTATGTGAATAATAAAATATTGTTTTCCTTTTTAAATCGATAAAAAATATATATTTTTTTGTATCTCTCCTATCCTAATTACTTAAAACACAAACTCAATTTCATAAAAAGTACCAATAACCTATAGAGCTTTCACTTGCGCATGTACATTACTACTTTATTGTCCAATTTTATATTGTTTAGAAAAAGAAAAGTATTTGTTTAGTAGTTGTGGTCCATAGTTACAATGCTGAGCCAATGTTACCCAGAAAGACTGTACTTAAAGAAATAATCATTTTTATAACAGAATTAAGACTGATTGAGTTAAAAAGACACAAGTATACAGGAATCAAGAATTAGTAAATTAAGAGTACATACCTACTAAATGTGCATTTGTGTCAACCACTTCTTCTAAATTTATATTACCCTGGAGATCAATATCCTCACTCTTGTCTTCCTGTGGTTCATCTTTGTTGAGTTGTTCTAACAAAGTAACTCCATCATTGGCAAACACCACATTTTGTTCAGAGCCTGGGGGTGTTGTTAATAATTCTGAAACAAATATTCATATTATATTGATGTATTATGTGCAATTGCACAATTTATTATTAGTCTGTGAGTTTTGCTTAGGTAATATTATTATTTACTTGCTTTAGAGCACAGTGAAACCGTCTAATGCTGACTATTGCACCTGTGATATATGCATTTGGAGTTGGGAAGGTTAGTTAGTAATCCTACATGTCTGAGAAAATGTTACTAGTTTGAACAGGGTGGTTGATTATTTAACCCATCCTCCCTTTCATGGAAGCCTAGCAGTAAGATGTTATAAAATACAAGTTAAATTATTATTTATTGTTTTATATATTTTTTTTTTTTTTTTTATTAAAAAACAAGTTCAATAGAGGTAAGGTACCTTCACCCAAAAATTTTCCTGGCTCGTCATCTTCTAAATTTAAAGTTATCTCTCCAGTTTTTGCTGCTTCATCAAGCATCTTCTGGAGTTCTTCTTCAAAACCAGCGGGAAGAAATGGATTCTGAGTTGTACTTCCCCTAGTAGCAAGACTTGGGGGTAATGGTGCTCTAGACATTGAAAGACTCTCTTCATCATCTTCTACAGGTATATTTAACTCTTGAACGCCAATTATTTCTCCTGTAATAGGATCTCGCACTACCTAGGTATTAAATTAAATTGATCATTTTATAGTCTGAAATTAAATATTTTTCATAGTCCTAAAAAAGTAAATAATGTGTAAAATATATGTCTATATGATACAAGTGTATTTTTTGTTAGGTTCCAAGTGGAAATATAAAAATAATAAAATTAATAGCATCTATACATAATTTTTACAAATAAATATTACTTTAAGGGTGTGCAACATATAGATCCATATTTTTCTTATACAAATACATATATCAAACATTCATGTGATTGTGTTTTTAAAATATGTTTTGAAGAAATCTTTAAATATGAGAAAAGATTCTGAATTCCATTTTTACTTCATATTTGGTAGTACTTCTTACAGTAAAAAAATAAAGCTTGGTGGAATGTATGGTGGTAAGGTTAAGATCTAGTTTAATTACCTCAGAATGTTTTTTGTTATTGAGAAATCTTTGATATCAAATATCTAGCTATAAAAATATTTCAGAAACTAAAAGTTTTGTGAAACTCTAATTACAGGGTCATTCTGAGAAGCCACTAAACAAAAAGAATTGTATTTTACAGTTGGCAGTTTTACAGCATATCATAAAGTTCTATGTTACCAATGGTTAATATCTCTACATAATATACGAGTAATAAAATTCTAAGTGAGTTGAATCTGTACATAAAATAGTTTTTGGAAAATCTTATTAAAATAGTCATTACCAATACAGTTTGAATCTAGTTTATAAAATTTTTGTCTGTCTGCCTATCTGTCTGTCTAAGAACGCATCACGAGAAAATCACTGGACGGATTTTAATGAAATTTGGTATAATGATACCTGGTTATCCAGGACAAGATATCTCATTTCTGAGAAATTTCTACTAGATGTTAAAACGTAACCAGGGACGGTCGCTACTCATTAGTCATATTATATGACTAATTTACTTACTTCTAATGTAGTATCAAGACCTACTTCGTCGTCATCAATTTTAAACAAAGAATCAATATCACTAGATCTATGCCAATGGGTTTGTGATCTTTCCCATTTATGAATCGATAATCTTTCTGGTTTTAGTAAATAATCTTTAACTTTTTCTCCAAGATCCTCAAAAATAGGTGGTGACTAAAACATATGATAAATCATTAGTTAGCACGTAACAATACATTATAAACTTATGGTACTATAATGATATTACTTTAAAATCAGTAAAAAAATCATCTTCAGGTTCAAGTGACATTTTATAATATTATAACATGTATAAAATCATTCAAAATTACAAAAAATCGGCGAGGTTAAAAATACAGTGTTTATTTTCAATTTTGACAATTAAGACGTCATTTCAATATAGAGAATATAGATGTCAAAATAGAAATTCTACATTGATTGTTTAAACCACAGATGAATAATAAATATTTCAATTTTCAATACTGGGTAAAAATATTAGGAACATTATAATGTAGAATTTGTAGTGTTATTCCTCGTTAGGTACATTTTAACTTCCATCCCCTTTACACCCTCTTAGAGATGTTTTCCGGCATAAAAACTTCGATCTACGTCCTTCCCAGGGTCTCCAACTATCTCAATACCAAATTTCATCTAAATCGGTCCAGCGGTTTAAGCGTGAAGAGAGTTGCTTGAGATATACATATGGAACTGTATTTTTTTGTAGTCAGTCAGTGAGTCGCGACATTGCCTTTAATTTATAATAATAATAACGGACAACTGCGAGTCAGACTCGCCCACCGAAGAACCTGTAGGAAATCCGATTAACATTCATTTTCAACTTGTTTATTTTTTGGAATTTTTCCTTTATTCCATTCTTTTATAAGCATCATCGGCCGGCCCTTTTATACGGAGGCGATTACTGGCCAGTACTATCTGATCACACTCAGGACGATTATACGGATACGATAGCTTCACATCACGGAGATGAAGATGCTGAGGTGGGTGTGTGGCGTAACGCGGCTTGACCGCGTAATACGTTCATCCTAGGCAGAGGTGGTATGACCAATGACCATGTCGCGACTCGGGTGTCGAAAAACAACACTATGTTGGAAGAAAGTGTCTTGATATATGTGTCTATGGATGACAAATAAAAGTTTTATCGATGTTTAGAAAGGAAGCGCGCAGGTTTATAGTATACTGTGTTTTGCAAAATCATACCAAAACTCAAAAGTATTAAATAGATTTTTTTTCTAAAGTGACACGAAGTAATTTGTGTTCAACTCGCACGCTTTGAAGAAATTAATATATTTTTTATTGTAGAAGTAATATAGTTTCAATTAAAAATATAGCTAAGTTTCATTTCATCGTGGGTTTTCATTGAGTAGCACCTAGCGTTTTTTATATTATGCGTTCTCTAAAAACAACGTAACTAATTTGTTTTTTTGTGGGTAATAATTTAAATAAAGCAGTTTTAGCCCAGTGGTAACTCTCGCGCCTCTGATATTTTCATGTGCGAATTATTTTTTACGGTGACGGAAAACATCGTGACTCATGAGTAATCCTGTATGTCTGAGAGAACCTAGCAAGTTTTCGAAAGACATGTGAAGTCCACCAACCCGCACTTGGACAGTGTGGTGGACTGTGACCTGATCCCCTTGTATTAAATTAAGAGATGCCCGTGCCAAGCAGTGGGACGTTAAAAAGGGCTGTCTACAATAATTAAAAAAACATAAACATTTTCGCTATTTATACTTTGTTAAGCGTCGTTAACTTAGCAACTTTTTAAGACCTCCTAAACCAGACGCCCACCGCCCCCCCCCCTCCTTCCTATCCAAAATCAAGTGTAAGTTTTAAACAGTATATTATATATGTTTAAATACAGGTATAACCTAATTTCATTCTGAAAAATTAAGCATCGTGATAAAAATGTACAGACACATGTGTATAGAAAGGTATAATCACGTGAAAAACATATATCTAATCTTATCTTATATCTTTAAACGAGCAATTCTTGTATACATATATATATATATATATATATATAAATTATATATATATATATATATATATAATCTGAATCTCGGAAACGGCTAAAACGATTTTCATGAAATTTAGTATATAGGGGCTTTCGGGGGCGAAAAATCGATCTAGAGTCTTTCGATGAGATTATGTCTGGGAAAACGCGTGTTTTCGAGTTTTTATGCGGTTTTCTTTCGCGTTATTCCACGCAAAATGTGTTTGTAAAATAATTTCACACGCTCGGGCATGAGCATCAAGATTGATAATCACAGGCGTCCGGGTTCGAATCCCGGTCGGATACAAAGTTTTTACTTTTGTTTTTTTTTGTATTTATTCAAATTTTTAGTTTTGTTTTTGATCTAAAATATACGATATAACAAAAAAAGAACACCGAGCAAAGCTCGTTCACCCAGGTACTATGTTTTTATACTGGTGTCTGGTACATGAATCTGTCATCGCGCTCGACATACTCTGCTACGACGTCATAGCCGTCGATAACCATGTTATTCCATACTTCTGCGAGAACTTCTCCAGCCTTCTGAACGCAAGAACGACGAACGACGTTGTAGACTTAAAAAATAAATACACGTGTTATTTCACTACACCCCTCTCGTCTTCTGACGTGTTTTTTTTCCAAACCCCTCCCTCTCTTCCCCCTTTCGAACCTCACGTGATTAATGGACAATCTCTAAGTAAATAAGAAATGGAAAAATGTTTTCTTACTTCGTTCACGGTTACAAAGTAAGCGAGAAACAAACGCAAGACGGTACGTTCACAATAACTCTTGCTTATAAGGCAAAACCTTCAAAGGTAATTTACCTTGAGCAAGAATCAAACCTGAAATCGCTGACATTATAGAAGTTAGTTCGGTGACCGCTGATTGTTCTTAAAATAATATTAAAGCTGTTCCACCTGTAATGTGCATAATATATTTGTTATATCATAAACATTCGCTCAGTCAAATTTTGTTCCGTTACAATATTTTTATACGTAATGGATCCTATGTATTTCGAACTAGCTATTGTCCGTGTCTACGCACATGTAGTTTTTATTAAACACAATTATTCTGCTGCTAAGGGACGTAGAATACAGATGATGTTAGATTACTTATACCTTCCTTAATTTATACACAGATGAACTGTATATAGAATTTCTTAATTCGAACTGGTAGTTTCCGGAGATTAGCTCTTTCAAACGAATTCTTAAGCTTTATATTATAGCTGTACTGTAGCTTTATCTAGTATGTAGTGCCTATAGTTTAGAGAATATTTTTATACTTTAATCATTCTTGCTTATAATAATGAATGCGATAATATGTATGTTGGTTTGTCTCTCCTAAAACGGATGACGAAGCAGCAGGCAATGGATCAACCCGATTATGCGTGATAAGCGAGGAGTGACGTGGTGTTGAAAAAAGTAACTTAGAGACAACTAGACTATTTAATAATTCATAATACTCTTTTTAATGAATAGGTTCTTTTTCATGATCACATTAATATTGATTTCAAGAAAAAAAAAACAAAATCAAGTCTCTATGGAAACGTGTTAGCAGTGAAAGTTCATTGGAATATATTTCAAATCTATAAAATTAATAAATTAATAAAAACTTTTAATATTACCTGAGTGTAAAAATATGATTGAAACGAATATCACACAAAGGAGAGGAATAATATTTTATATCTTTCTATCTAGCTGGATTCTTACATCATCGCATATACTCTTAAGGGATAAACCCGAGCGAAGCGAGGGTGAGCCACCAGTTACAAATGTTTTGCATATTTGAAAAAAAATCTTTGAATATAGCAACGGAAAAAATCTTTTTTCCTAAGAATTTTCCCCAATTACAGTCAGTTATCCCAATAATAGTCTAAATGTTTTAACACAAAAATGAATCTATATTTTACGCTACATAAGAAGGATACATAGTAGTATAGCATTCTATAATATCACATTTATAATTCCTAGTCTTTGTTTTTCTAGATATCAATAATCTTTATTGTAGGTGTACGTGCTAGAACAGAAATAAATATTCGGGTAAGTGGCAAGCTGAAAAGATAAAAATATTTTAATGTTATACGAGTTATCGTATACCTACCATAGTAAATGTTCGCTAATTAATTAAATGTGTGTTTATGGCTTTTTTGTCAACTTGAAGAACAACAACTACGTGAGTCGATGAGCGTTGATTGCCAAGGTTGGTTGTACCATATTCAGCCCTCACTTCGAAGGCGTAAACTCTTCGGAGTTCGGACACAATCTCATTCGGTGTTCGATAGTTCACTCGCGAACTACGCGGCTATCTTTTATTTATTTTAAATTCTAAAGTTTAAATTATATTATTAATTAATAATTACAATATGAGTTTCCTAAATAATGTAAGGATTTTTATTTTAATAGTGTTCTCAAATTATAACTTTGTTGGAAGCGCTGCGCTTTCATTGGTAAGTGATATTTATACGTATTTGTGTATAATATACACACACACACACACAGGTTAAAATTTTAATTTAAGAAAACATATTTAATGTTAATCACTGGTTTATTGTAAGGCTACTTTGTATTATAAAAAATATTGAAAAAAATTATATACATACTATTTATGTTTTATGGTCTTGATTTTGAGTTTTTTATGCCAATTTAATTGCTTATTTACTTATTGTCATAATTAGATATATATTTTTCCAACTCTTTATACCTCCTGCACTGATAGATTTATATTACTTATACTATATTTATATAAGTCTATAAATCTATATATAGAATTAGGTGATCCGATTATCTATATCGTCAATAAATAAATTGAAATTTAGGAGTTATTGTAAATTGTAGCTTAATAACAATCCCTTTTTATAATTTTAAAGAAAATCTATGATCATCGGGAATAATTTAAACCTCCTCCCTTCCCTCTTATACAAATCCTATGTAAATAAACATTTAAGTACACTGATTTAGTATTTTATCTTAGACAATTTTATCAATTCTGTTGTTACTGATCTTTTAATTTAAAATTATAATTTCGGAATTCCAAACACTTGTTCAATGGTTTTTTTTGTATAATATGTAACAAAAATTGGTTTAAAATTTGTGTGGTCTGTATAATGTTGTGTGTGGTCTTTCGAGGTCTTTAGAAAAAAAAAACTCAAAAAAAGTTTTTTAAACTATTGTTTTGTTTATAATATTACTTTAAATACTATTAGTACCATGATAACAAATATATAATTTGTTACTTTATTTAAAATATATATTATTAGGCAAAACAACTCTAACTTTCTCTAAAATGTTATAGAGTCTATAACCGCGGCGTGCTTTTAGTTCTAAATTGATGGTATCTACGTACCATAAATTTTATTTTAGTACAGACCCATACTTTTTACATTTTTCTATGACATGTTATAGTCTTTTAGAAATGGTATTTTGATAATGATTTGCTCTTAAGTTTATTGATCTTCGGGTGATGAAGTTCCGGGTTTCGCACCACTGTGATTTCACTTTTATGATTACCATTTGAAAAAAAAAACATTATGAGGAAACCTGCATGTCTGTCTTGTTTTCGAAAGATGTATGGAGTCCGCTAATTCGCATTTGGCCATTAGTGGGCCATAGCCTAATTCTCGTATTGAGGACCGTACCCAGCAGTGGGATGTTAAAAAGCGCAGAATTTATTTAATTACTTTTATCCCAAACCGAATATTATCACGATTATAATAAATCGAAATTTGTTCATTTAAAATTTGTTTGGACCTCTTGAAAAATGCTAAATTGGACCCAGTTATGCAAAAAACAACCATGTGCGTAAAAGTACCAACAGAGTTATCAGCATTTTATTATTAAAAATAAAATAATTATAAAAAATAAACAATACTTATATAAATATTGATCAATTTTAAAATAACCAGAAAAAAAAAACATAACCCAAGTGCAACTATCGACAGAAAAATGCTCATAACTCTGTTGGTACTTTTACACACATGGCTTTTTTTTGCATAACTGGGTCCAATTATAGGTATAATTTCTATTTTATTTAAGGTGCTTACTTATAAAATTTATGATACGTATGTGGAACGTAAGTGGCATTTTTGAGCTTTCTGTTCTTCTGAATGCTTAGGCATCTTTAGAGATTAATATAGACCTACAAGGTCCTTTGAAATATTGATATATCGGCCACGTTACTATAAATTTTCGATGCATTTGAATAGAAAAATGTATAAAGTTAAAATTTTATTACATTTAAACAGTTTTAAAAGGTGTGGTAGTCCAGTAGTAACGTGCTTGGAATAATAAATGAAGACAGATCAAATGCCGGGTCTCGCACCTCTGATATTTTTGTGTGAACATTTTCTACCTGATTACCACTTGCCTTACGGTGAAAGAAAACATTGTGAGAAAACTTGCTTATCTGAGACAACTTAAATAGTTTTCGAAAGACATATGAAGTCCGCCAACTCGCACTTGGCTAGCGAGGTGGGTCTTGGCGTGATCCTACTCATATTGGAGGGTGGCCCGTGCCCAACAGTAGGTTATTAAAAAGTGCTGTTTTAAATAAAGTATGTCATATATACATGTTTGTATATAACATAGGAATGTATTATAGTTTAAATTCTGATATAATAAAATTATATGATTAAAATTGTAGAGAATTATATATTCTGAGAAAAGATATATAGGTGTATTATTCAAATTTTCCTTATATATTTAAAAACCAGAAATCACATAGAAACATGATTGTAAAATAAAATACTAAACATCCATTTTCCTATAATTGAATGATTTAAGTAACAAGCTATAAGCTCTCTAAGGCTATCCCTATATAACCCTCAAGTACACTAACGTGTGATCTGTATTACAAGTTTTGTTAAGATTATTACTTATTATTTAATAGTCACATGATATTATATCTATCTATAAATATCAGTTTGTCAGTTCGTGTTGTATTGGTTCCAATAGTATGTAGCTTTGTTGTGATATAAAGGTCTTTGGTTGTCATAAAAGTTTCTGACATTATAGCGTCATCAGCGTACATTGTAGTATCATACCATACAACAGCTAAAACCAGTACATAATTTGGCTAGTGTTTTAAATTTACACCTGGGCGAAACCACGGGTGAACCTAGTATTAAATAAATAATTGCGCTCACATAAGTCAGGCTATTTGCTCAAGGCAAAACGGGAAGCGTTTCGCAACCGGCTCACATAATACCTTTCCATGTTTGTGTGCTGATCGCTTATTGCCTTATTGCAAAATTATATTAAATAAATCTCCATAGAATAGATTAATGATTAATATATAAAATAATTTTTTTCTTATGAATAAAAATCAGTGCAAACTACGTCTTTATTTGACTTACATAATTATTAAAAGAACTAGCATTGCCCGCGGCTGCGCCCGCGTTCAGATGACCAAAAACCAAATTCTTAGCTTTTCCATATTAGTATACTTTTACATTGCAGTTTTTGTATTTTTTCTCAGAAATGAGATATTTTTCCGCGGTAAAAAAATATCCTATATGTGTACTCGGACACCCAGCTATCACTATACCAAATTTCATCGAAATCCCTCCAGTGGTTTTTCTGTGATGCGGTAACAGACAGACAGACAGACAGACAAAAATTCTAAAAACTATAGATTCGGCCTCTGTATCGATAACAATGTTTATTTTAATAATACTTTCCATAAAATATTCAATGTACAGATTCAGCTTAGTTACAATTTTATTATACGCATAGATTAAAATTAAATCTTTAAATTAGATCTTTAAAATGTATGACATAAAATATATTTTATGCTTATTTAGGATCTTACTCTCCACTAGTGACTTACCCTCGCTTTGTTCGGGTGCATCCCTACGTACGTTTTAAATCGATATGAATAGTTATTACGAGTGTACCTTAGGAGAAAGACCTACGTTGTTGCAGATTTTTCTGTAGGCCTCATTAAGACCAGCAATTTACTAGCATATTGTTTTGATGTACTTCTTAAGGTATAATAGCCAGCATTAGACATGTAAGTTTCTAAGAACGACTTGATAGAATCAGTTTTTGTGTTTTCCCGCGGGAATGAGAGACTTTCCTGTAGTAAAAAATATCCTAAATGTAGTTATCACTACACAAAATTTAGTCAAAATCGGCCCATATTTTTGACTGAAACGCGCTTTCGCGATTTCACTTACTGTTTTATTATATGTATAGATCTTCTCTACATATAGTAAAATTATTGTAACTAAGCCGAATCTGTACATTAAATATTTTTTGGAAAATATTATTGAAATAGACATTATTATCGATACAGAGCCCGAATCTATTGTTTCTAGAATTTTGTCTGTCTGTCTGTTACCGCATCACGGAAAAACCACTGGAGGGATTTTGATGAAATTTGATATAATGATAGCTGGTTATCCCTGTCAACATATAGGATACTGTGGGAAAATATCTAAATTCTGAGAAATCTATACTAAACGTTAAAACGTAAGTAGGGACGAACCCGAGCGGAGCGAGGGTGAGTCGCTAGCAATTTATATGTGTCTTACCCTACTTATGTCATCATGGAATGAATATAAATGCAATGACGTAAAATCACAATTTTTGTAAAGAATATAGTCGTTATGAATGAAATGTTGTGAGATCACCTCGACCATGATGCATTTCTGTCCTTCAAATTATCTTTAGTTGGAAACTTAATTTATACCTGCCAATGTCGGTTCACATAATTAACGATGTAATAATTTAAATTTTTAAGGTTACATCGAAGTGCCCAAAATATAACCCTATTAATATCCAGGTTTTAAGAAAAAGTAATTATCATGCAATATAACACTTATGATTTCAAAGAATGCATTCAGGTTTAACAGGTTTTCATGGTTTCAAATTACGTCTTTATTTTTAGTACCATTGAAACCTGATTTATAAATAAGGTTTGTTGTCTTCAAATATTTAACAATTAATATTTGTATTGTACATTTACTTTTGATTCATAATTTATTCAACTTTATATACCTTGTATATTTAATATCTTTGGAATTTATACAGGTACATACTTGTCTTCGTGGTAATGCAATACTATTTAATTAGTAATTCATAAGTGGTGATTATCCCGATATAATGACGAGTAAATTGCTTATATCATTGTTTCTTTATTTATTACAAAACTTGTTAAGAAATTTGAAATAAATAAGAACAGATAAATATTAAATACTAGCGGCTCACCCTCGCTTCGCTCGGGTTCGAAAAACAAAAATAAATATCCCTCGGGATATTTTACATTACACCCGGTATAAAAAGTAGCCTATGTGTTATTCTGATTTATGAGCTATATTATTGTAACCATTCTTTAAAATCCATTCAGTAGTTTTTGCGTGAAAGAGTAACAAATATCTATACATCTATACCTACATCCCGACATCCATACATCCTCACAAACTTTCGCATTTATAATACTATGTAGTAT